GTGGGCCGCTTTATTTTTTTATAATCCACCTGTTTTTGGTTCTTTTTGGGGTGTTTTTTGTTTGCACACGAACTATTTCAGACAAATAGCTTAATATTTTTTTTTTTTTTTTTTTTTTTTTTTTCATTTATTTTTGGGTTCTCTTCTTAGCCAGTTAACCAGTAGCGTCTTCTGGTCTGTTTAAACCTTCCGTGTGCTCCTCTTGTTGTATTTGGGCTCATCTTCTGCTTCCTTCCTTCCGTCCCTGTGATCTTTTTGTTATCCATCTGCTTGCTTGCCAGTTCTTCTGTTTCATGAGGGCTTCCTTCCTAAGACTAAACTCCTTCTCACCCTCTGCTATACTAACGCATGGGAAATCGCGGTTTCAAGGTAGATTCAAAAAGATCGCCTCCGAGGATGAAATCCCGGCGATACTCAATGACTTGGTCATGACTAACAAAGCTGTCCTGAGAGCTAGCCATCCGCATATAATTGCATGGAGAATACATGAAGACGGTAACTCTTCTATAGTACAGGGCTTTAAAGATCATGGAGAGAAAGGTGCAGGAATGAGATTGCTAGATCATGTTCTAGTGAAAAATGATTTAAGAAACGTACTAGTAATAGTTACTCGGTGGTATGGTGGAAGTCCGATCGGCTCTTCTAGGTTCAGGTACATCAACAATAGTGCGCTAGAGAGCTTACGCCTTGGCGGCTTGATAAGGGGAAACAAGAGGTAACAAATGGAACCTTGCAAAACTGCTACTTAACATGGTCGCATTATAGTTTTGCAGCCGGGACTATCTTCAACATTTTTCTATTGAGCTTTTCATGGTATTGCAACAAGATCACCGACAGTAAAAGCATGCCTAAACTCAAGATGAAAGCTTCAAAAGCAAGGTGTCAGTATCACCCCTTACGACACCAGGCTATCCAACTACACACTCACCCAAGTACACTAGTCTTACAGACTGGTCCAGGTCACGTGAAAATGCATAAATGTCAATTTTTCACTTTTTTTTATTTTTTTCTTTTTTTTTTTATTTTCAATGGTTTGATTTGACTCTGTTCTTGGTCTCCATCTTTTCCCTATTTCAGATTAAAGCACAACATGATTAGATCCTTGCTTAGATCTACTGCCTCTAGATCGTTCGTATGTAACTATTCTAGTAAGGCCGTGCCCTTAACTGCGGAAACTTACTCATCCAAAGTCTCAAGAAACCCAAGCTTCAAGAAATTGGATGAGACCGATATTAAGCACTTCCAAACCATCTTGAATGATGGAAATGGATTGATCACCGACGCTGACGATCTCCTTTTCTACAATGAAGACTGGATGAGAAAGTACAGAGGACAATCGCAATTGGTTTTGAAACCAAAATCGACCGAACAGGTATCCTCAATCATCAAGTACTGTAATGAACAAAAATTGGCTGTTGTTCCTCAAGGTGGAAACACTGGTTTGGTTGGAGGTTCCAATCCAGTTTTCGACGAAATCATCATCTCATTAAGTGGTTTAAATAAAATACGTGCCTTTGATGAAGTCTCTGGGATCTTAAAGTGTGACGCTGGGTTGATTTTGGAAAACGCTGATAATTTCTTAGCTGAAAAGGGTTACATTTTCCCATTGGATCTTGGTGCCAAGGGTTCATGTCACGTTGGTGGTAATGTTGCTACCAACGCTGGTGGTTTACGTCTTTTAAGATACGGCTCATTACACGGTAGTGTATTAGGTTTGGAAGCTGTTTTGCCTGATGGAACCATCTACAACTCAATGGAATCTCTTAGAAAGGATAACACAGGTTATGATTTGAAGCAATTGTTCATTGGTAGTGAAGGGACTATTGGTATTATTACTGGTGTATCCATCTTGTGTCCTTCTAGACCCCAGGCTTTCAGCGTTGCCTTGTTGGGAGTTTCATCCTATGAAGCCGTACAAAAGGTCTTCGTTGGTGCCAGGAAAGAACTTTCAGAAATTTTGTCAGCCTTTGAGTTTATGGATAGAAACTCTCAAGTGTTGGCTGGTCAACATTTGAAATTAGACCACCCAATTGAAAGTGACCAGTATCCATTTTACATTTTGATTGAAACTTCGGGTTCAAACAAGGAGCATGACGATGAAAAGTTAGAAACCTTTTTAGCAAACTCAATGGAAGAAGGCTTGGTTGATGATGGTATTATCGCCCAAGATGAAACCCAGTTGAAGAGTTTGTGGTCTTGGAGAGAATCGATCCCTGAAAGCTCAACCATGAACGGTGGAGTTTATAAATATGATGTTTCGTTACCATTAAAAGATTTATACGGCTTAGTGGAAGCAGTCAACGTCAAACTTCAAGAAGCTGGAATTGTTGGATTTGATGATCCAACTAAACCTGTGGTTGAGGCTATTGGATATGGTCATGTTGGAGACGGTAACTTACATCTTAACGTTTGCGTAAGAGAATACTCTAAGGAAATTGAAAAGGTATTGGAGCCATTTGTATATGAATGGATTCAATCAAAGAACGGTTCCATTTCAGCTGAACATGGATTGGGCTTCCAAAAGAAAAATTACATTGGATACACCAAGAACGATGTAGAAATCAAGTTGATGAAGGAATTAAAGAAGCACTACGATCCAAACGGAATCATGAACCCATACAAGTATATATAAGCGGACATGGGAATTTTCAATGTAAAAATCCCCTTTAACATAGATAAATTCAAAGTAATAAGAAAATTTCTGTAGAGTGTTTATAATGTCTGATCGAATGGGTTGGCTTCACGTATTCAAAAATACAAAAAAATTAATTTACCTCTGATTTCGATAATTTGGAGCATAAATTATATCCATTCCACTCATTTCTTATACAAAGTAAGAACAATTTTTAATCTCTTATTCTTTATTCCTATAAATAATATATGTAACATGTTTAAAATTTAGATTCTTGTGCTTTGGTCAATGAACCTTCATCGTACAATTGCTTGAATTCCTTTTCAAAGAACTTCTTAGCAATAGGTCTCTTAATCTTCAATGTTGGAGTGATAACATTCTTTTCGATGGTTAATGGTTCGAGATCTATAAGAGCGTTATTGACTTTTTCAAATCCATGTAAAAGCTCAGAAGCGTTGGCGTTTATTGCTGTCAAGAATTTGGTCTTAATTCCACGTTCATTGACCTTTTTCAAGAAAGCTTGGTCGTCTTCAATTTCTGATGCACTAGCACCCTCATTCTTTACCAACCAGTTTCTACCTAATACTGGATCTATACCAATAATAGCAACCAAATATGTTTGTAATGAATCCCCATGGACATAAATTTGTGAAACAATTGGGTTGGTGGTCAGATAAGTAGTTTCAATCCTTTCAGGTGTGATATATTCACCTTGAGCCAATTTAAAGAAATTCTTGACTCTATCAACGATTGAGATTCTACCAGTAATTCCATCAATTTTGGCAATATCACCGGTGTAAAACCAGCCGTCTTTGTCGAATGATTTTTCAGTTTCTTCCGGGTTTTTAAAGTATTCCTTGAAAACTTGAGGCCCCCTAAGAAGTAATTCACCTCTTGGTCCGCCCTCGTCATCGGCATGATAGTTCATTTCTGGAATTTCTCTCAATCTCATTTCTGTAGTTACGGCAATTGCACCACATGAACCTGGGTTTGCCTCGTATTGAGGAGAAACACAGACACCAGCAAAAGTCTCAGTTAATCCATAACCTTGGCCCAATCCCATGTTTAAAGCTGCCTTCAAGAATTTAACACTCTTTGGGGCGATTGGTGCAGAACCAGAGGTAGCAAACCGACAATTTTCTAAACCAATTTTTTTTCTGAGTAAGTTCAAGAGTGGGTCGTAGAAGATATGCTTGCCTTCAGCTCCATCTTGAGCACTTTGCAATTCAATCTTGGCATCAATTGCCTTCTTGAAAATACTGGCTAACCATGGTTTTTCTTCGTTATTTATAGTTTGTGCCTTAAGGGCAGCTTCAAGCTTAGAATAGACTCTTGGGACCATATTAAAGTAATTTGGCTTTAATGCCTTCAAATCATCTAAAAGTGTCAATGGAGATGGGCCTTGAGGAAATCCTAATGCCGCACCAGCATATAAAGCAAATGCAGAAACACATCTTTCGTAAATGTGGGCCAATGGTAAGAAGGAGAAATTCTTTGCACTTTTAACCATTGGACAAACAGTAGCAGCAAATGCAATGGCAGCAGCAGCATTGGCGTGAGTCAAGACAACCCCCTTTGGATTAGATCCTGAGGTACCGGAGGTGAAGGAGATAGTATAAATTGTTTCAGGCTTTGGAACAATAGGTGGCTGTGGGTAAATTTCTCCCAACTTTTCAACCTGCTTGAAGTCGAAAAGGGTTAAACCTGCGGCCCTAGCCTTTTCACTGAGTCCCTTGTCAGCAGCCGAACCAACTAAATCCAATTCATCAATGGAGACAAGCAGGATCAAAGATGCAAGATCTTCTGGGAATTCATTCTTCAAAGCTATAATGCCTTCAAGTTTGTCCTTGGTACAGACTAACACAGGTGACTCTGTAAGTGCCAAAATGTATTTCGAAGTGTCCTTTCCCAAGGTATCGTAAAGCGCAGTACTGTTTAAAGAGTACAGGGAACAGGCAAAATCAGTTATTAACCATTCCTTCTTATTTGCAGAAAAGATGGAAACAATGAATTGATCGTCACCAGTAAGCAAGTGGTTGTCGATCTTCTGATGGAATGGAGCATCTGTTTTGAACGGGTTGTTTTGTAAGATGAAGAAGAGCCCAGCTCCGAAGTCATTCTTTCTCTTGTTTATTTCACTAAAAGTTTCAAACTCATAAGGACCCACGGTACCATCTGCTAATTTGGGTCTATAACCCAAGCATGGTTCATCGGCAAAATTATTCACAGCAGACAGGAAAGACGCGTATAAAGTGTTGATAGAGGGGTGGATCGTAGACTTGATACCACTGGTAGCAAACTTGGCATTTCTATAAACTGGACTGAACCCATCTTGCTTGGTGTTTGGTATTGGCACAGAGTAGTGAATTCTATCATCTTCAATGGGGCAACTTTGCTCCACCAACGTTTGAATCTTCCTTGTATCTTCTTGGACGATCGACATTATCGAGAAATAAACAAATCTAGTGCTTTAAAATCTATATAAAATAATGTATCTTCTTTTTAAAAAATGATCACAAGTGAATAAATTAGTCAGTTCTCTCTAATTGTTCTCGATGTGCTGCCTACAGAAATCCCGTTTTTCAACGAATGTGTTACTTATTTATACTTTCATCGGAATTAATCATTTGTAGCTTCTTGAATTTTGTATGGGCATCCTCGGTAATTCTTTCTTGTGGGGTACCAACAAATAAAGTTTGAATTTTAGGATTTTTTTTTTTTTTCTAGTATAATTTTAACTTCCTTACTGGGTCAAGGAACCCTGGATGAATCGTCGAGAGGGAAAACGTATAACGGGTATTCTTTTAGCAGAGTGAGAGAGGAGAGAGGGCGGTTCAAGGTTTAACCGCGTTTTTGTTGATCATACAAAGTATGGGAAAGACGGAGAAGGTGCAAAGAAAATCGGAGCCAGACATATTATATTGTTTAGGTGGGGCATGTTAAATGGAACTCATTAACATTTGTCATCGAATGTAGTTTTAACCTCGCCCACAATCAACTTGTTCCGGCAATCAAATTAGCGACTGGGAGAGTAATAGGCACGTGAATATTGTTGACACGGAAAGAGTGAAGGTGACAACCAGAAACAATGCAACATGATTGCGCCCTGGGCTAAAAAGCAAATGAAGAAAGGAAAATGGCGCTCTTTGGATGTCCCAAGGGAGATACAGGCAAAGGAAAGAAAAGGAATAGAGAAATGTAGACTCCTGTTGCTACTATAGGTTTGTAGCAGTTGATAAGACTCTCTCTCTCTTTTTTCATTTACTCTTCTTTTTTTTTTTTTTTTTTTTTCTTCCTTTCACTCTATCATTTCTAATCTGAGACTACTGCTCACGGTTCCTTATTTCCGACCCTAGGTGGGGAACAAAAAATATCAGAAATTACACCCATTCATGTCATATTTAGTGCGGTTTATGTAATCGTAGGAGTTGAAGGCGGAAATAATGCACGATTTACGAGGGCTACCATTCATAGTTGAAAAATGGGCAAGTAATATGGAATCTATACGGAATGAAAAGCTGCCATTCTACTAGATCTCTCTTGTCATGTGGCAAGTACCAGCTACTTAATTTATACCTTAAACGGGATAATACTTTTGTAACATTCCAAATATGATATACGCTTTTGGAATAGTGTAAACTGCGTCCTTGAGTTGGTGTGTCCACGAGAAAAATTTATCATATGTTCTTTTCTTAGAGAGGTAAATTTTACTATCAAGTCTTCTAAGAATGCAATTGCTTAATGGAGAGATCTGTTCTTGCAAATCAGCTTCAGAGGGTGAAAGACTTACTCTACAGAAGCCACTTAAAGGAAGTGCAGAATAAAAAAAAAAGAATAATGACTCCTACGCGGTTCGAACGCGTGCATCTTTACGATAGTAGAACTTGAGTCTACCGCCTTAACCACTCGGCCAAAGAGCCAGTTTCTTATAGTGGATTATTCTTCGAGTAATCAAACTACGGCAAAGAGATCGTCGAGCTTGCTCATCTCCAACTCACAAATGCGCCAGATGATCTGGCCCTGTTCAGGCACCAACGTCGACTTTCTGATACCACTACTGTTAGTGTGATGTAAAACTATCCGCGATTGAAGTCCGCGGTTTTATAGAAGAGAGTCTTGGTGTCTTTGGTAGTTTTGCAACTTTTAACTTTTAAACGCTGGAAATCATTTAGCTCACTTTACTGTCTTGAGAGATTTGGATTCAAGCTCTTAGCCACGGACCATCAGATACGCATGAAACTAAGATATTAAATAAGATAATGGCAGAAGTTCAACCATATCATGAGATATGCTCTGCCCTGATTGGCCGGAACTTCTACTTTAACATTGGTGAATGTATACATCATGGTCGTAGCTGTCTAAAGATTCCCTGTGAACGCACGAGCATTTTCGGTCAAAAAAAGGTAAGAAGGTTCAAGGTTGCCTACGAAGCTTTATAAGGGATGCGTACTGTTACGTGAATGATTGATAGTCAACTGAAAATTACTTCATCTTTACCAAATACGCTAATCTAGGTACATTGGCTAGTAAAATACCTTGCATAGGGAGCTAAAAATCCTGGCAAACCTTGGAGTTTGCTTTAAAATAAAACTGAAGTAACTAGCCAACAACAATTAGATTTTTCTTCGCTGGTGGGAGTATTCGCCCTACACTGTTGCATAGAAAGGTAGAGCAAAATAGAGAAGGTATCTATATACCAATAAACTACAGTTAGTAGTTATTTTGGCGAGGCTTGTAACTTTCCTAGAGCATTAAGTCGGCCTAGATACATATAACATTAGAATCTAAGTGATAGTAGAAGCTTAGTGACAGTGCCTCATGGAAAGAGTTTATTAGCTTAACCGGTCTACAAGGAAGACCGGTAGCACTACGCTATACTTTTGCTACAATCTCTTGGGAACGAAATCTCAAGAATTAGAGCGCCGTGGCGCAGTGGAAGCGCGCAGGGCTCATAACCCTGATGTCCCAGGATCGAAACCTGGCGGCGCTAGCTCTTTTTTTTCAGTGTCGTACCTAATGGAAAACTAAAGCTAGAAGACTAGATGATTGTCCAGTTTGAAAAATATATACCTTAGAGAGTATCGAACCTTGTAACTTTCACATCCACCTCTCAGAAACAAAGAATATGTCATTCATTGCACACCAGCTCACATACCAAGTTCGACCTTAAGACTGAACCATATCAATATTAAGCGTATTTTTATTAAGCGGGGCTCATAACCCTCAAGGTTTGGCGGGGCTAACACTTTTTTTCTTTTCTATCGCTTCAGAATCACGCGGACACGTAGCGCATAGTTGCAATCGTGAAATCAAAACTTAACACTTCTTCATGGTATTGGGTCTTACTTCTAACTAACGAAATCTACTATTTAAAATGGTAAGTACATATGTGATAGTCTTGTAATGTCTTCTCATTTGTTTTGTACGCTTACTAACATACCAACTTCAGGCTCAACAAACACCAAAGCAGAGAGCTGCTAATGCCAAGTACGCTAAAAAGATCGAGAAACAACATGGTAAGAAGAAGGTGGAAAGTTCTGGCTTTGAATTCCCAATTTCTAAAACTTGGGTTTTCGTACTTTTATTTCTCGTTTGTGGTGGTGCTGTCTTAGAAGTCCTCCGTATCTTCTTTTAAATACTAATGTACATTAAATTATATCGAATCATTGTGTAGTTTGATGGACTTCTTTCCACTTGGTTGACCTGATACGGTGCTTATGAGTATTTTTCAGAAATCAAGAGAGCGATAATTTCCAAAAGTTCAACTACACTTTGGGCAAACAAGTGTCATTTGCATCCAATTGATTCAAACATAATCGCTATACTACTCTACTGGAATTATCGTAACAGCTATTGCAAACTAAAATTTTCAATAATATATAAAAATCATTCTGATATCAAATCAAACAGTAAATAAAATGGTAAAAAAAAAAAAAAAAAAAAGAATTTATGGTAGACTTCCAACCTTCCGTTAACAGTCTACTTCAAATATATCAGAACTTTCACTTCCATAAAAGTTCGATATATTACTTTTATATGGTTTGTTGAATTTAATTTTTGTAGGGCACTGGTGCCCTTATTTTGAAACCCCTTTGTTGTCGTTTGTTATGCTATTTCATTCCTCATTGAAGGCAGCATTCTCTTCATTTCTTAAACACTTTCTTCACTTGTTTCTTTGGAGAGCTCTGCATTGTTTGCTTCAAAATCTGCCGTGGCAAATTTCGTACTTGAATCTGTATCCGGCCCTATTTCCTCCTCCCCCTCCTCTTGATCAAGAATGATCAGCCTTCTTTTAATGTCTTCAAATACTGTATTTGGCGCCTCTTCTTTGTTAAACTTTATCACCTTGTTTGTCACCTCATTGCCAAAAGTTTCAAAGCTTATTAAGAAATTATCCAAGTCATCCCCTTCACTATAATCATAAGTTGAAAACTCAATATTCTTATTTCGGTAAAGGTTTGGATAAGGTGCACAAGTTTCAATTTCTGTCCGAGATAAAGGATTGATATGGGGATCAGTGCTCTCTTGTTTTGAACTTTCTCTAGCTTTCACAAAAGTGGGAGCATGCTCCTTATTAACTTGCACGAACGGAAGTTGATATTTGAATAAACTGGTCCCATTCAATGGAGAAATTAGTCTTAATTGATTTTTAGAATCTAAAATTGCAAGTTGGTTAATCCTGCTTGCTGATACTCCTGTGTTCATACTGTTACTTTTGTTTGGGAGCGTTATAAATTTAGTTGCTTGCATAGATGACAAGATCCAGTCATCAGAAAATTCGGTATAAGATCCTTTTCCATCGATAGCACCCCTATGACTACCAACTCCACCATTATTGACACCCGCGCTGTCTGCACTGCTTTCAACGCTACCCACACGAGAAATTGAAGCTGCTGTTGAAGTTGAAATCGCCTTTGATTTACCTGACTTCCTGCTTCTATAGTGTTGACCGAGAACGTTTGGGAAATTACTATTCAAATTCCCCGATAAGTAATTAATATTAAACCAATGGATCGATCCACTTGATTTAGTTATACATCCAAATCCATAATTATTTCCCTTGATGGTACTTGAATTAGTATTATTGATGAACCAAAATATATCTTTTATCTTAGCAGAAGTCTTACCTCTAGTGAATTTTCCAATTAGAGAAACTTCCAAAGGTAACTTGTATAAATCCCACATGAAAAACAAATCCCCTCTGAGATTAGAATGAATCAATTGAAGATCATATGGGGAGAGCGAAAGGTTAGATACTCCACCTGGAGGTTTGAAAATACCCATGACCTTGTCATTCTTCAAGTCAATAACCTTGATAAGTTGATTATCACCAGGTCCTGAAGATATAGTTGATGCAGCAGTAGAATATATTGTTTTCGTTATGGCTCTGGTAATATCATTGAAAGTAGGCAGATTCTTGTCCATTTCTTTATTTTCCTTTTCCTTTTCTTTATCAAAATAAGATTTCACAACCTGAGACGACAATTCTGAAAACTTACAAATTCCATCCAAAGCAGTATTTGACAAGGTGGAAATCACACGATTTAAAAGCGGACCAGGAGGAGGCAATTTTACTTGAGTGAGCAATTGTGGCCTTTTCCTTTTGAAAGATTGCTTAAATTTCCTCTTTCCGCTGGAAATCTTTGTCGTTTTATCATTCGAGGGCGATGGAGAAGATTTAGAACTCAAATTGCTATTAGTGCTGCTGCCACTAGAAGCCAATAAATCATCTGCATTGAAAACTCCGTTAGCCAATTTGGCTTCAAATAGAGATTTCAAGTGTTGGTATTCACATTTGGTTGGAGAATAGACCAACCAGTTACCAACGATATCAAATATAGCTTTCTTATCAAAAGTGCTTGTCCTCAACACCATTGAATCCATATTGTCAAATTCATACTTATTGATAAGCGGTTGGCATGACTCTTTGAAAATTTTGGGTAGAATAGGTTTTAACTTATAATTTCGGCCATCAAATTCGAATATGACCAAATAGCCCTCACTATTGGTTATGATAACATAGTCACCGTTGGACTTGATTTGATACTCTGGGAGCTGTCTCTCCTTGGATGCCAACAGTTCGGGCACACCTGGCGAAGGCGGATTTTTGGACTTGACCTTCGTTTTAACTTTCAATATGGCAGGAGCCTTCAATTCTTGGATACATTTCAAGTGGGTAAGCGAGAAAGAAGAAAACTTGACATCGTCAGCACTCTCAAAGTGAAAAACTATGGTATCAGTGTTAGCGAAAATGAAATTAATCATTCGCCAGCCTTCCTCCATTGGAATAGATCTCTGGTTTAACAAGTATAATGTATCGTTGTCATTGATATCTTTGGTCAGATCGGGACAATCCCAATCCCACATCTCCAAAACGTTAGTACTTGGGTAGTAGATTAAGATATTGCCCTGATCGTCAGATCTGATGATGACATCTGCAGAATCCACTGACTTGTCATTGCTGCTATAGGTAGCCAGCTTAATCTTCTTCCAAGTGGCAGAGGCGGTACCTAGCTTGTAACCCTTTTTAGGACTGGAGTGGCTAGAGGAGTTAGTAAGGGAATATGATGAGACATTAAGAAGGTTATGATCATATTACATCACAACACAACATTGTTATAGGAATCAACGCCGAAGCAAAAACAAACACGATAAACATCAGTACATCAGCACATCAGAAGCACAACCACCACCACAACAACAACATCAGCGTCAACTACCACCACCACCACAGCAAAGAGAGCTAGCATACTTACATCTTGCTAAGTTTGATCTTGTCATTGAATTGAGATTCGGTCATCAAAACTGGTAAATTCCGGGAAGTATATCGAGTTCAATTACTTTGAAACAGTAAAAGCAATAATAGCTGTCAAAGCCTTATTTAGTCGCCGCTTATTTAACGCCAAATGCTCACAAACGAATGATGGCTCTAAAATAAAGAGTCGAATGGGATTTGGAGTGTTATTAAGCTTAAACTATGGGCCGAGAGAGAAAGAATTGGTTTCAAATAAGGAGAAAATGTGAACGTAAACCGTAAAAGTAGAATGCCACTAATAAAGAGACCCTGTTTTTGTAATTCTCTCTGCGATAAGATAAGGGGCCGCTAGGGCCAGAGAATCTTTGGGCCCCACTTAGCGATTGTTGTGAGCAAAGCTCATGCAGGAGAAGGTAGGCGGTGGGATGTCTAAGAAAAAAAAATAACCACAAAAAAAAAAAAAAAAAAAAAAAAAGAATTAGAAATAGAATTAGAAGTCTATGTAGAGCTCTAAAGTATAGCTTGTCGATCCATAAATAGTCCCATTTTGTCAAATCTTTAACCATCTAAATTATACTTCAAATGGACAAACAGGGTGGAGAGGATCGTGGAAGTTGATATTCCACCGCGAAAAGTTATCCCCTTTGCCACTTTAAACTGAAGATAAACGAATATCTCAGGGCAGACGGAAGGCATACGCAGTGGGTAGTGTAGTGTATATATATAGAGAGAGGTGATAGGTGATAGTTGATTTGAAACGATTTGAATCGATTTGAACCGATTCGAACACAATTGATTATCGCCCCAGTTTCTTACAATATGCAGAGCAGTGCGGGTAGAAGGTCGTTTATTGAATGTTGTTGTTACAGCTGGTGCTGCTCTAGTGAAGAAGAAGAGTAACAGTAGTATAAAAATTTTCAGCGTATTTTTCTTGATACTGCTCACTCCGTCGCTCAGCAGCCGTGGTGTGGGTGTGTCCGGGTAACCCACGAAGAGCCAAAGTATAGGCATTAAAGGTGTACAGCAGGTGAAGGATATACGGCGGGCAGCTCAACTTGAACCAAAAGTGCAGAGCACGAAGAAAGATATAGAAGTGAAGCTAGCGCTGACACATCTACACTGCTTTACTCCAAGTGCAGCAGGAAGACGAATAGTGGCCATGGTGCACACTACACCCTACCCAACCTTACACTAAAGCTAGCACAGTAAATTCGCACCCACTGCCTAAAAAACGGCACCAAATTACGCAGCGCTGGAAAATCAGCATATCAGCGTAGGTAAGAAGCCTAACTACAGCACACCTACAGTGAGTGCGCTCTACCCATCACAACAAAAAGCGTTCTACAAAATACTATCACCTCCACTGGCATCTTTTCTAATACCTTTTTCTTTTCTTTTTTAGTCCTTCATTCCTCTGATTTCCATTTATCCCATCTCCCTTCCTTGAATTATCCCTCATAGCTCGTTATAACCTAAAATGTGCCCTAACGCCGTCCAAGCACACGCTGTTCTCCCTCCCAATTTTCTACCGTCCCAATTTCCTCCGTCCCAATATTGGGCCCACCACTCTAACCAACTTCCCATTAATTCACCTGCAGGACCCATCAGCTCCAAAATTATTAACCTTTAAGATGTTGGTCGAGAGATTTAGTACGCGAAAACTGTTGACCGTTTGGAGCCCCGTGCATAGATCGCTACGGACTTTTTGTTGGGCCACCAGTTTAATCCGTTTGCAGCTTTATATAAAATTTCAGTGATTGGCATCAATAACGAAGAAGACGTAGGCAATTGAAGGAAGAAGAGCAAATTTCCAATTTTTTTTATTGCTTATTTAGTTGAGCAGCCATATACCTTCATCCAATATGAGACCTGAAGTTGAACAAGAGCTTTCGCACACCTTGTTGACTGAGCTTTTAGCTTATCAGTTTGCATCTCCAGTGAGATGGATCGAAACCCAAGATGTGTTTTTGAAACAACACAACACCGAGAGGGTTATTGAAATCGGACCTTCGCCAACTTTGGCTGGTATGGCCACTAGAACCATCAAGTCCAAGTATGAAAGTTACGATGCTGCTTTGTCGTTACAACGTCAAGTGTTGTGCTACTCCAAGGACGCTAAGGAAATCTACTACTTGGAGGATGCCGCTGAACCTGCTCCAGCTCCTACCCCAGCTGCCGAGTCTGCTCCAGCTGCCGCCGCCGCTGCTGCCCCAGCTGCTGCTGCTGCTCCAGTTGCTGCTGCTCCAGTTGCCGCTGCTGCTCCAGCCGTTGCTGCTGCTGAAATCCCAGACGAACCAGTTAAGGCTTCCCTTCTCTTACACGTACTCGTTGCCCAAAAACTTAAGAAGCCACTTGAAGCCATCCCACTTTCCAAGACCATCAAGGACCTTGTTGGTGGTAAATCTACAGTCCAAAATGAAATTTTGGGTGACTTGGGTAAGGAATTCGGTTCCACTCCCGAAAAGCCAGAAGATACCCCATTGGAAGAATTGGCCGAGTCCTTCCAAGATACCTTCTCAGGTGCCTTGGGTAAGACTTCTACCTCCTTGATTGGTAGATTAATGTCCTCTAAGATGCCTGGTGGATTCTCTATCACTGTCGCTAGAAAGCATCTTGAATCAAAATTCGGTTTGGGTTCCGGTAGACAAGATTCTATTTTATTATTGGCTTTAACCAATGAACCAGCTGCCAGATTGGGATCTGAAGCTGATGCTAAGGATTTCTTGGACACTTGTGCCAACAAGTACGCTGCATCTGCTGGAATTTCATTGTCCGCGGCTGGTGCCGGTGCTGCTGGTGGTGCCGGTGCTGGTGGTGCTGTTATTGACAGTGCCGCTCTTGACGCATTATCTGCTGAAAACAAGAAATTGGCCAAGCAACAATTAGAATTATTAGCCAGATACTTGCAAATTGACTTAAACACTGGTGCCAAGTCCTTTATAAAGGAAAAGCAGGCCACTGCTGTCTTACAAAAGGAAATTGACTTATGGGAAGAAGAACATGGTGAATTCTACGCTAAGGGAATCAAACCATCTTTCTCTCCATTGAAGTCTAGAACTTACGATTCCTACTGGAATTGGGCTAGACAAGATGTCTTATCTATGTACTTCGATATCATCTTTGGTAAGTTAACTTCTGTTGACCGTGAAACCATCAGTCAATGTATCCAAATTATGAACAGATCTAACCCAACTTTGGTCAAATTCATGCAATACCACATTGATCATGTTCCACAAGAAAAGGGTGAAACTTATAAATTGGCCAAAAAGTTGGGTCAGCAATTAATTGACAACTGTAAGCAAGTTGATGGAGTTGATCCAGTTTACAAGGATGTCAGCAGAATCACTGGTCCATCTACCACTGTTGACAAGAAAGGTAATATTGTCTACAAGGAAGCCAACAAGGATTCCGTTAGAAAATTCGAGCAATATGTCTATGAAATGGCTCAAGGTGGTAAATTAACCAGAAACCAACAACAATTGGAGCCAACTATCCAAGAAGACTTAACCAGAGTTTACAAGGCTATCTCTAAGCAAGCTTCCTTATCAAAGTCTACTAAATTAGAAGTCCAAGAATTGTACGATCAATTGATCAATTACGTTAACAAATCTAAGGAAATTGAAGTTGGAAAGCCAGCCACTAGTATCCCATTGGTTGCTAACACTGGTACCACTACTCCTACCGAAGATACTTCCGATTCAGCAGCTTCTGAGGATGATGAAATTGCTTCTTTGCCAGACAGAACATCAATTTTACAACCTGTCTCTTCTACTGTTCCAGCCCAAACTATTCCTTTCTTGAACTTGCAAAAGAAAACCAAGGAAGGTCACTGGTCTTACGATCGTAACTTATCTTCCGTTTACTTAGATGGATTGGAAACTGGTGCCGTCAACGGTTTGTCATTCAAGGACAAGTACGTCTTAATTACCGGTGCAGGTGCTGGATCTATTGGTGCTGAAATTTTACAAGGTTTAATTAGTGGTGGTGCTAAAGTTATTGTTACCACTTCAAGATTTTCTAAGAAGGTCACTGAATACTACCAAACTATGTACTCCAGATATGGTGCTACTGGTAGTACTTTGGTTGTAGTTCCATTCAACCAAGGGTCTAAACAAGATGTTGAATCATTAATAGACTACATCTACAATGATCCTAAGAAGGGTGGTTTAGGTTGGGACTTAGATGTTATTATTCCATTTGCCGCTATCCCAGAAAACGGTAATGGTATTGATAACATTGATTCGAAATCTGAATTGGCTCACAGAATTATGTTGACCAACTTGTTGAGATTATTAGGTAAGGTTAAGTCCAGAAAGACTTCAGACACTAGACCTGCTCAATGTATTTTACCATTATCTCCAAACCATGGTACTTTTGGATTTGATGGTTTGTACTCTGAATCTAAGATTTCTTTAGAAACCTTATTCAACAGATGGTACTCTGAAGACTGGGGTACTAAGTTGACAGTTTGTGGTGCTATTATTGGTTGGACCAGAGGTACTGGTTTAATGAGTGCCAATAACATCATCGCAGAAGGTATTGAAAAATTAGGTGTTAGAACTTTCAGTCAAAAGGAAATGGCCTTCAACATTTTAGGTTTATTGACCCCACAAATTATTCAATTATGTCAAGAAGAACCAGTTATGGCTGATTTGAATGGTGGTTTACAATTTATCGACAACTTGAAGGATTTCACTTCTAAGTTAAGAACTGATTTAATTGAGAACTCTGAAATTAAGAGAGCTGTTGCAATTGAAAACTCCATTGAACAAAAGATTGTTCATGGTGATCAAGTCGATGCTAACTACGCTAATGTTACCGTTCAACCAAGATCAAACATGAAGTTTGAATTCCCAGCATTGAAAACTTATGATCAAATCAAGGCAATTGCTCCAGATTTGGAAGGAATGTTAGATTTGGAAAGAGTCATCGTTGTTACTGGTTTTGCTGAAGTCGGTCCATGGGGTAATTCCAGAACCAGATGGGAAATGGAAGCATTTGGTGAATTCTCCTTGGAGGGTACCATCGAAATGGCCTGGATTATGGGTTTGATTAAGTACCACAATGGTAACTTGAAGGGTAAGCAATACTCTGGTTGGGTTGATGCTAAGACTCAACAACCAGTTGAAGACAAGGACATTAAAGCCAAGTATGAAGAAGAAATCTTAGATCACTCCGGTATTAGATTAATCGAGCCTGAATTATTTGATGGTTATGATCCAAAGAAGAAGCAAATGATTCAAGAAGTTATCATTGAACATGACTTAGAAGCATTTGAAACTTCGTTAGAAACTGCTGAGCAGTACAAGCACGAACATGGTGACAAGTGTGAAATCTTTGAAATCCCTGAAACCGGTGAATATACCGTAAAGTTATTGAAAGGTGCTACTTTGTTTGTTCCAAAGGCATTGAAGTTCGACAGACTTGTTGCAGGTCAAATCCCAACGGGTTGGAACGCTCGTGTTTACGGGATCTCTGAAGATACCATCTCTCAAGTTGATCCAATCACGTTATACGTTTTAGTTTCTACCGTTGAAGCATTACTTTCTGCTGGTGTTACTGATCCTTATGAATTTTACAAGTACGTGCACGTTTCTGAAGTTGGTAACTGTTCAGGTTCAGGTATGGGAGGTGTCTCCGCCTTACGTGGAATGTTCAAGGACAGATACAAGGACAAGCCAGTTCAAAACGATATCTTACAAGAATCTTTCATCAACACCATGTCTGCATGGGTTAATATGTTGTTGTTATCTTCTTCTGGTCCTATTAAGACTCCAGTCGGTGCTTGTGCTACTTCTGTTGAATCTGTTGATATTGGTATTGAAACCATTTTATCAGGAAAAGCAAAGATTTGTATGGTCGGTGGTTACGATGATTTCCAAGAAGAAGGTTCATACGAATTCGCAAACATGAAGGCTACTTCCAATTCTTTAGATGAATTCAGCCATGGTAGAACTCCAAGAGAAATGTCCAGACCAGCAACTACTTCTAGAAATGGTTTCATGGAAGCTCAAGGTTCTGGTATCCAAGTTATCATGGGTGCTGATTTAGCCATCAAGATGGGTGTTCCAATTTATGCTGTCTTAGCTATGACGGCTACTGCAACCGATAAGATTGGTAGATCCATTCCAGCTCCAGGGAAGGGTATTTTAACCACTGCAAGAGAACATCACGGTGACTTGAAGTATCCATCTCCATTGTTAAACATCAAGTACAGATCTAGACAATTACAAAAGAGATTACAACAAGTCAAGGCTTGGGAAGAGGGTGAATTAGAATACTTGAACGAGGAATTGGACTTAGCTAAGGATGAATTTGAAGATTTCTCTCCAAAGGATTTCCTTAGAGAAAGAACCGAAGAAATTCACCGTGAAGTTAAACGTCAAGTTAGTGACGCTAAGAGACAATGGGGTAACGAATTCTACAAGAATGATCCAAGAATTGCTCCAATCAGAGGTGCCTTGGCTACTTTCAACTTGACCATTGACGATTTGGGAGTTGCTTCATTCCACGGTACTTCTACCATGGCAAACGATAAGAATGAGTCTGCTACTATCAATCAAATGATGAAGCACTTAGGTAGAACTGAGGGTAACCCAGTTTTCGGTGTTTTCCAAAAGTACTTAACTGGTCATCCAAAGGGTGCTGCAGGTGCTTGGATGATGAACGGTGCTATTCAAATCTTAGGAAGTGGTATCGTTCCAGGTAACAGAAATGCTGACAATGTTGATCAACAATTGAAGGAATACGAATACGTCTTGTACCCATCAAGATCTATTCAAACTGATGGTATTAAGGCTGTTTCCGTCACCTCATTCGGTTTTGGTCAAAAGGGTGCTCAAGCTATTGCAGTTCATCCAGACTACTTGTATGCGGTCTTAGACAAATCAACTTACGAAGACTATGCTGTTAGAGTCGGTGCCAGAAACAAGAAGGCTTACCGTTACATGCACAATGCTATCACTAGAAACACTATGTTTGTCGCTAAGGAACATGCACCATACAGTGATGAGTTGGAACAACCTGTATACTTGGACCCATTGGCCAGAGTTGAAGTTGGTAAGGATGAATTGACTTTCACCAAGAAGAACATTCAAGGTGGAAAGAATAATGCTTACGTTGGTGAAATTGCCGATGCTACTGCAAAGGCCTTATCTTCATTGAACAAGACTTCCAAGGGTGTAGGTGTGGACGTTGAATTACTTTCAGCTCTTAACGTTTCAAACGAAACCTTTATTGAAAGAAACTTCACCAAGGGTGAGATTGCTTACTGCTCTAAGACTGCCAACCCACAGGCATCCTTCACTGGAACCTGGTCAGCCAAGGAAGCTGTTTTCAAAGCATTGGGAGTCAAATCCCAAGGTGCTGGTGCTTCGTTGATTGACATTGAAATTGTCAGAAATGCCAATGGTGCACCAACTGTTGAATTGCAAGGCTCAGCCGCAAAGGCTGCAACTGCTGCAGGAGTAAAGGGTGTCAGCGTTTCAATCTCGCACGATGATTTCCAAGCTACTGCCGTAGCCTTGAGTGAATTTTAAGCGCAATGCCTCTATTGAAAATTGGCATTCTTTTTTCCTTATGCCATGGTGAATATTATTAGTATAGGTATTATTCTTATTCTTATTAAACGATATAAAGTATCAAAATCTGAAAATGCTACCAGCGCCTGTAGAGTCTGCCAATCAAACTTCCACCCAATGCATATATTATTATTAGTATTATTTTTCCTATTTTTACTCTTCTTCTTATTCTTATTAAACGACATAAAGTCTGAAAATCCGAAATTGCTACCAGCGCACCCTGGCTCTATCAAACAAGCTTCCATCAGCAGCCAATGTTGATCTTATAGAACAAAGAGATTTTCCTGCAGAATTGCAAAGTTTATTTTTCACTGCGACCCCCAAGCCTCAACATTTTGTATCGATAGCCTAAGCAGTACGTGAAAAAACGCTGTCCATGAATAAACAACCTCTTCTACACGTACTCCCAAACACTCCCCTAATGCTTTAAATGTAACTTTTGAGCACATGTGCGATCAGTGTGAGTCCGCTCAACCGAAATCTTCTATCTTCTCCTCCCATTTCTGTCTTCCAGCAGCGGATCCCCTTCCTTCTAATCTGATTACCTTGGTCGTGTCTGGCATCAGAAATCATTCCCCTTTAAATATTGACGTGTGTTCTCAAATGATCGGAGCAGTGTAGAAAAAAAAATATCAGGCTAAGAAAATACCAATTGCAGACGGTTGATCGCTTCTCGTAGGTTTAGTTACATTGATATCCGGATTAAATTTTTTGTAGAGCTATTCGTGTGAATCGTAAGCTAACTTTGATATTAAACATTGAGAATGGGAGAAGAATCCAGCTCGGAGACTAGTCCTCGAGAACACTCTAAAGATCAGAGTGTGACTGAAAACGGAACGGTCGAGAAGAAGTTGCCGGAAGTTCCCCAGGAAGAGCAGGAGGCGAATGGCAGTGGTGTGTTACTGACTAACGGCACAATTGCATCTGTACCTGAAACTTCTGGGCCGCAGGTGTCTGAAATTGACGACATCAACGAGGACGTGCCACCCACCACAGCCGACATAAGTATTGTTGTTGAACAGCAAGTAGATGAGCCGGAGCTTGAATCTGAGATCGAGCTCGAATCTGACGGTGAACCAGTACCTCAAACTGTAATCATAAGCGAGCCAGAGGGGCCAGAGGGTGCACCTGCAGGTGGACCTGAAGCTGATGTAATTGAGCCACCTGTAGCTGAAGCATCTATTCGTCCTGTGCCATCTGCCATCAAAAACAGTCACTTCTTGACTGGAGCATTCACATCGCTCCTTGAATCTAAGGACCTTAAAAAAAACCAAGAAGTGAAAAATTCCATTCAGAAGTCCTTAGATTCGTTAAAGAACCCAGACTCCAGAACAGCTCACATCATATTTGACACGTTGAAGTTAACTTGCGAGACTTCTTCCAATACATTGAAATTTAAGTCTGTCGATATATTTGCCAAAGTATTCGACTATGGAATATTCGAAGGGCAAGATGATGTAGTGCAACTCACTGATGCATCCGTGGATGTGATATCCTCTTGCTTTGAAGGAGAGGGAACTGATGCCTTAGTGGAGACTCAAGTCTTGCGAGCATTAACCAACATAATCTTGCTCATGCCCTGCCACGGTGCTTCATTATTAAAGGCTGTTAGGCAGATCTACAATATTTTTATATTTTCGTTGTCATCAGACAATCAGTTGATTGCCCAGGGTACTTTAAATCAAGTTATAAATTCCATTTTCAGCCGAATTAATGATAAATCTTTGAAGAAAAATGGTCATCTCAGTGTCTCCACCGCTAGTACAGCTGTTCCAGAATCAAGTTTTAACAAAGAACCTGAATCTGAATCAAGTAGCGTTCCTTTGACTTTGGAAAAGTTAAATGACTCCTCTAATGATGACGATAGGGTTAAGGAGGCAAATTTGGCTTCCGAAAATGACGAAGATCTTGTGGTGAAAGACGCATTTTTAATATTCAGAGCCATGTGCAAAATTTCAGTAAAACCATTAGAATCAGAAATTTTGGATATGAGATCACATTCCGTGCGTTCTAAATTATTATCTTTACATATAATTCATACCATTTTGAAAGACCACATTGAAATATTCTTGAGTCAAAATGTCGTTATACTTTCGTCTGCATCCAACGAAAATAATACTAGATTAATTAACGCAGTCCGCCAATATTTATGTTTATCACTTTCAAGAAATGCAGCATCTCCGTTGGCCCCTGTCTTCGAATTGTCTTTAGAGATATTTTGGTTGATAATTTCTAATTTAAGATCTGATTTCAAAAGAGAAATACCAGTATTCTGGGATGAAATTTACTTACCAGTGGCAGAAATGAAGACTTCAACTCCTCACCAGAAGCGTTATTTATTATCAATAATTGAAAAGTTGTGTAATGACTCAAGATGTATCATTGAATTTTATCTTAACTATGATTGTGATTCATCTATGCCAAATATCTGTGAGAAAATCATAGACTACTTATCAAAACTTAGTTTAGTAAGAGTAGAAGTGAGTCCACAACAGAAAATTGCTTATAGGGAGTACAAGAAACATGGTATTTCAGTGTACGACATCAGTAAGACTGCCAATTTAGCAAGTGGCAAGATGAGTTCTAAACCACCTGAACCTGATATTTATAATCATTTCCCTCTTGAATATGCTATGAAAATGGAATCGATAGGATGCTCGGTAGGGTTCTTAAAGTCTTTATATTCCTGGGCTCAAAAGCAAAATACGCCAAATCATCTCAATGCCGCCTTTAATGGATCTGGAAGCGGTAGTCATTTATCGCTAAGAGAACGTTCAGGTACTGTGGATTCCACAACCAATAATACTACCGCAACGTCCACTCCAACAAGATCTGGATCTTTTGTAGCAATTGACCCTGACAACCCTGAACAATTTGAAAACTTGAAGCAACGTAAGAAGGCCTTCCTTGATGGCGTAAGGCAATTTAACCAAAAACCCTCAAAGGGGATGAAGTTCTTCATTGAACATGGATTCGTTAAAGATGACGAACCTAAAACCATCGCGACATTTCTTCTTGATAACGATTCTTTGGATAAGGCATCTTTGGGCGAATACTTGGGTGAGGGCCATGAAAAAAATATCGCAATTATGCATGCATTTGTTGATGAAATGGAATTTAGAAATTTACCGTTTGTTGATGCTATGAGGAAATTCTTACAATCATTTAGGCTCCCAGGTGAAGCTCAAAAAATAGATAGATTTATGTTGAAGTTTGCTGAACGTTATGTTTTGGGAAACCCAACTAAATTCTCAAATGCAGATGCTGCATATATTTTGGCATACTCAGTGATCTTACTTAACACAGATCAACATTCTCGTCAAGTAAAGAATAAAATGACTTTTGATAACTTTGTTATGAATAACGGAGGGATCGATGATGGAAAGGATTTACCAAGAGAATTTTTGCGGGAAATATTCGATGAAATCCAGAAGAATGAAATCAAATTACAATCAGAACAACATGCAGCATTGCTAGCAGGAGACTCTAGTATACAGAATAACGGAAATGGTGGAGGAGGATTTTTCGGAGGTCGTGATTTGAATAGGGAAGCTTATATTCATGCGTCCAGAGAAATGTCTACCAAAACCGAACAGTTAGTTAAAAACTTAGGAAAGAAGGGCAAATTTTACAACAATAGTACCAATGGAAGTTCAACTGGACTCGAATTGGATGAAAGTTCAACATTTTATGTTGCATCTCATGTGTATCATGTAAAATCAATATTCGATACGTTATGGATGTCTATTTTGGCAGGATTGACTCCACCTTTCAAGGAGTATGATGACGAAGATACATGTCAGTTGTGCTTGGAAGGTATTAAATTGTCTATAAGAATAGCTTGTATGTTTGAATTAGACTATGCTAGAACGTCGTTTATTGGAGCACTTGTGCAATTTGCAAACTTAAATAATTATGAAGAAATGAAACCCAAAAATGTTGATGCCATATTTATCTTATTGGAATTAGCTACTTTAGAAGGAGACAATCTTCAAGCTTCATGGATTCAAATCTTGACATCAATCAGTCAGTTGGAAAGATTGCAATTAATTGCTCAGGGGGTCGACCAATACTCGATTCCCGATGTTTCTGTTGCAAAAATGACCAACAGAGCTTCAACAGACGCTTCTAATGGAAGTAGAAACTCGACTAGTTTTTTCAGCTCTTTTACCGCTGCAACTCCAACTGCTTCGCAAACTGCGTCTAATAAATTTCATAATCAACATTTGTCTGCTGCTGTGGCCAATTTGTTAACTCAAACAAACTTAGAAGTTGCTATGGACAAAGTATTTACGAATAGTGCCAATTTATCAAGGGAAAGTATTGTTGAATTTGTCAAAGCCTTATCACAAGTTTCTTCTGAGGAAATAGAAAGTTCGGGGCAACTGAATAATCCAAGAATGTTTTCCTTGCAGAAATTTGTAGATGTGTGTTATTACAACATGAGCCGTATTAGATTGGAATGGTCTCAATTATGGTCAATTATGGGTGAAACTTTCAATGCTGTTGGCTGTCATTCCAATTCAGTTATTGCATTTTTCGCTTTAGACTCCTTAAGGCAATTATCAATGAGATTTTTTGAGATTGATGAATTATCACATTTCAAGTTCCAAAAGGAGTTCTTGAAACCATTTGAATATATTATGATCCATAATGAATCTTTAGAAGTTAAAGACATGGTGTTGGAATGTATTAACAACATGGTGTTAGCAAAGGCTCATTCCATTAGATCGGGTTGGAAAACTATATTTTTGGTTTTAACTGCATCAGCAACCGAAAACAAGGAACTGTTAGTCAATAAGAGCTACAAAATGGCAAACTGGATAAACAAGGAATTCCTGGATACTGTCAAACAACAAGAATCATTCAGTGATTTGGTGAAATGTTTTACCGAGTTAGCTAAAAATGACAGATTTCAAAAGATTAGTTTGCTTTCCTTAGAAGTCTTGCTGAAGTTGATGAATAGTGAGGGTAAGAAGCACGTTGGATCAAGTGAAAATGGTAGTGGAGTCCCTGAAGAAGTATTAAACAAAGTGTGGTTTCCTATTTTATTCGCATTCCATGATATTATCATGACCGGTGAAGAATTAGAAGTGAGATCAAGAGCTTTGAATCATTTGTTCAAAATCTTGATGGAATATGGTGACCATTTCGAATTCAAATTTTGGCAGCAAATATGTCATAAGTTACTTTTCCCAATATTTGCTGTATTAAGTAATCATTGGGAATTGAGTAATGTTGATAGCGATAACGACAAGCTTTCAGTTTGGTTATCGACTACTTTAATTCAAGCCTTGAGAAATATGATTACTTTATTAACTCATTACTTTGAGCCTCTAAGTCCAATGTTGGAAGATTACTTAACATTACTTATCTCATGTATTTGCCAAGAAAATGATACAATTGCAAGAATCGGAAGATCGTGTTTACATTCATTATTAATCGACAATTGTGGCAAATTTAATAATGAACAATGGGGTCAGATAACCAATTCTTTCGTGAACTTGTTTGATTTGACCACTGCCAAAGAATTATTTACTTCTGATCCAAACTACGGAGGAGGCTCTCCAGACGAAAACTTACCTGAAGAAGCGAATATCAGTTCACCAGGCAGTGCAAACAATAGCTTTTCAATGTCTAATTTGGTGACTACCCAAGAAAGGTTGAAGAAATCCAAGGAAAAGTCAAGTATAGTGGTGAAATGCGTACTTCAACTTCTCATGATTGAAACTTTGCTGGAATTGTTTGAAAACGATGACTTCTATGAAGCAGTTCCATATAAGCATTTACTACAAATGTCCACACTTTTAGAAGATAGCTATAATTTTGCAAGAAAGTTTAATGATGACTATGATTTAAGAGTTAGATTATGGAATGCTGGTTTAATGGAGAGATTGCCAAACTTATTAAAACAGGAATCAAGTTCTTCGGCAGTCTTTATAAATATCATGTTTAGAATGTACTGTGACGATGACAAAACTACTAATGAAGCAAAGGAAGTTATTGTTAACGTGATTGTGCCGCTATGTAACTCTATTACGTCCAGGTATACCGAATTTGATGAAACGAATCAACAGAGAAATATCAACACCTGGAAGCCAGTTATTGTTGAGATTTTCCAAGGATATGTGGAGCTTGATGACGATGACTTTATTAAGTTTGCTCCAGAGATGTACACACTTAGTTTGAAATTATTGGGAAGAAATCTGCCACTTGATCTTAGATTAGCAATGAGGTCCTTTTTATCAAGAGTTGGAGATGATTTCATATTGCACAGAAGGGAAAAGTGAAGAGAAGTAGAGCATTTGGCCGGTGAGTAATTCAAACGAAAGGTGGTTAGAGGGAAGGAGGATGAAAACGAACACGCCATCGAACAAAAGAAAGAAAGAATGAAGAAAGAAGAAAGAAGAAAGAAAGAAAGAAAAGAGACAAAAAGATAAGATATACATATAAGAAAACGAAAATATAGGCAGACCAGAAAATGTAAATTATATAGTGTCCTTTAATAATATTTAAAAATAAACAGTGTACAACAGTGTACATTTATAAAATCATGAAGTGAAGCGACAAGTAGCAGCAATAGAAATGATGCAACACAGGTACTAGCATCAAAATAGAAAATCGTGCAGCATACGCAGGCACCTGTATGTGAGTTGAGAGCAAAGCCTAATGGGAGAAAAATTGCATACAAGTGCATACGAGACTGCGACATCGAGAAAAGAAGCAGGGGGCAAGAACTATCAATTGACTGTACACCACACCACCATACAAGCAAAAATATAAACCTGCTTACAAGTTCAATGACTTTGCATCATTGTATATTTCGTTAACCTTCTACTGAAACGTGAAGTTCAAGTCCAGAAAGTCGAGAGTCAGTGTTCAATGCTGCTTAGGTTCCCCCCTCCGCAACCTTAAATACGACATCCCATTGCATTGCACCCACCCACGAACAGTCACGAGGCCGCATATTTAAGGTATTGTGATGCCAGAATTCAGCTCACTTGACAGCGTGCTAAGAGTAGGAGAGAAGGCAGGAAAATAAAAAGTGCAACAGCAAAGGAAAAAAAAAAAAAAAAAACAGAAAATGAAAAAGTATGGCAACCTTATCCTTCCCACTCCAGCTGTGGTGGTGTTTCCCCTAGAGTAAAAATAGCCTGCTCTATTTTGAATATCAGAAGGTTTAAGAGAATAGCATGGAGTTTAAGTGACCTGTGTATTAATTTACTCTCATGCTTGAAATTACGCACGACAAAAAAATCACACAAAATTTCTGGAAAATGAAAATTTTGTTCGACGAAATTTGGGGACCAAATTGACATAGAGATTCTGTAACTTACTCTTTTCATTAATTACGTTATAAGCTCTTGAAGATGTCTTTCGAAAACAAGGTATGTTGCCAATGATGTGTGGAGGATGTCAGTGTAGTATGGGGAGTTAAACAGGGAATTTGAGGAGAGATGTACTTCCGGTTGTGGGACCGACTGACTTCAGCTCTTGGAAACTTAGTGTGAGTGGGGGGAATTTGACCTTCGTGAAGTTTATTGTATTTTCAAAAGAAAGTCATGTATTGGAATTAGAAATGGTGGTAACTACGATGACGAAGGCACCACAGCTTGAATTGGAAATTGGCTACTGTTGAAATCTCTATCGTAGAAGGTAAGATAGGGTCAAACCATAAGTCACTGTGGTCCCACCATTTGGCGGGGAATAGGAAATTTTCATGACTGCACGTTCCTTTCGAATATCGATGTACAATGGTCAATTCGATTGCAATGTTTGAGGCAATGGTATTCCAATCACAATCTATTTGAATATAATTCAATTCTGCTTAATCCTGCTCATTTTTTTAGTCAACTCGCTTCCATTTTATCTCGTGCGGAGTGATTTGATTTACTTCGTATTCCCACTTGCCTTGATGTATACTAACAATCTTTCTTTAGAACTTGTACCACTTATTAGGTAACGACGTGGAAGATGACTCCATCCCAGCTCCAGTAGCTCCAAGGGAAGTTGTCAAGAACACTGGTTCTTCCAAGAAGGCCGATGTTGCCCCAGCAAAGGCCGATCCAGCCAGAGCTAAGACTAACAAGTCTAAGCCATCCGGTAACGAAGGTGCATTAAAGAACAAGGTCAACAACAAGTCTGTTTCAGGTCCATCCTCTACTCCATCCAAGCACGCCAAGAAGTCATTTGACCGTCACTCCAAGACCGGTAAGACCGACTCTGCTAAGAAGTTGAAGCAAGGATGGGGTTCTGATGACAAGAGAGAAGTTGACGAATCTGCTGCCCAAGAAGACGCAGAAGAAGAAGCTGCTGAAGAAGCTTCCGAAGTTGACGTCTCCCCAGAACAACAAAAGAAGTCTTTACAAGACTACTTTGCTGAGTTAGAATTAAAGAAGCAAGAATTTTCTGCTGCTAAGCCAACCAGAACCGTTGCCCCAATTGACGGTGAAGTTATTGAAAAGGAACAAGAAACTTTCGTTCAATCTACCCAAGCCAAGAAGGTTAAGTCCAAGGCCCAAAAGGAAAAGAAGTTCTTAGACATCGATGCCAAGTTTGCTGACGATGCTCCAGCTCAAACTGAAAGAACTTTCAACTCTAGAAAGCCAACTAGAGGTAGAGGTGGTAAGCCAACCACTTCCACCAGAAAGCCAGTTTCCGCTGCCAAGAAGCCAGTTGTCAATGACAAGAACTTCCCATCTTTATAAGTAGCTAGCTAACAGCTATGAAGTTGAATGACTTCCTCTCTTTTAACGATATAAAGGAGCAACTATATATCTAACAAGGTACAAGCAATCAAAAACTGAAAAAAAAAAGTAAAGGAAATTTTTTGTTTGGTAACTTTTATATTGTTTATGAATACATGCTAAACGATAGAATTGTAAAGGAATGAATAAGTGTAAGATGTAGATGGTTATAAGGGCCTTAGGAGGTGCAGAGAGATCTAATGGATATTACTATCGAGTCGCGTGATCAATCACGTGATCTTGAATACTTAAGTATATCTGCAATAAAAATGTGGCAATAACTGAATTTCTTGTGTACTTTCTTTACTGTAGTATATAGGTTTTACATCTGCCATTTCTATAATTGTCAGGATGGCAGAACAATTCCAGGCTCTTTTGAAAGAGTTGGAGACAGATCCAAAAAATTTAGATGAAGATTTGGTTTACAATTGCACTCGTATTTTAAGGAACAACTCAGATTTGTCAGAATTGGACATCGACAATGATCTATTAAGTCTGGTATGGCACTATACAGATTCGGTACTATTGATATCTCCTCAGCTGGACCCAAAACCCATCCTCATTGATTTTTTGATTTCTCTTCTTAGTCTTGTAAAATTTGCTGATGTTATACAAAGATACGACTCAGAGAAAATTATTGAGCTAGCATCCTCTCCTGTAGCTGCTCCGATAGTATTTAAAATATTATTAGAAAAGGAACTCGATAGCGATGCCTTAGGATTTATATTATCTACAAATTTCCTTCACTGTTCATTGGGTAACTATTTCAGACAAGGTGACATCAGTAGCTTAGCCGTTGCTAGTGACTTTGAAAATTTAGTGAAAATCTACATTGATAAACCAGGGTTCGCTGAAAAGTTATTGGAGCCTACCTCAATTAAAATATATGAATCAGTGAGAGTATCAAAAGACAGCACATTATTAACGAGATTGGTGGACTTCATCGCTATAATCGGAGAGCCTGCGCTAGTTGACCCAAAATTAAGTACGCTTTTACCAAATAGCGTATACACATTTAAAGTGCTGGATTTCTTAGAAGAAGATGGAAACGAAGTGAGTAGTGATCCCTTGCTAGCAATCTTGTTGATTCAGTTCTATAAAAAATTGGTAAAAATGCCTCTTTCTGTGGATGTATTGAAATCTGCGGGACCTACATTGGAGAATCTTGTACAGGTTTTCAGTAAGAGGAATACCGATACCGAGGTTCAATTATTTTACGCCAATGATTTAGCTGAGTTCATTTGCGAATGGTCATGGACTACTTATGTTCCCTTAATCAACATGTTGGAAGGTGTTTTGGAGAAGTTCGAAGTTTTCAAATTCTACAATCTTTACTTGGATTCATCCGATGCTGATATTAACCTTTTAGCTGGGTTTAACATGGATAGAATGAATAACCCAGAATTCCTTGAAGAGTTGACGGATATCTATTCTTTATTTTCCAAAAGATACTTCACAATTTTGAATAGTCTCGTTAACTATCCAAAGTATTGCGAACAATTGATCCACATGAAAATAATATCTGTAAATACGATATCAAAATTATCCATGGATATGCTCTACAGGCTTCTTTACGAATTAACTAGAAAAAAACACTCTACGCTGTGGTTACTTCAACAACCTCAATTGATGAATGATTACATATTGGGAACCAATGTTAGCGAAAATGAAATTTGGAATTTGAAAAAAGATAGCTTGTCCAACTTGCTAGAAATTAATACTCCTGAAGAATTGGGTGTTTGGTATGACAATATCAAGGAAAACTTTAGTTTGATGAGCAATGGAAGAAACGTTAGGAATATAGCACCTGGAGTAGCCATAGCTGATGAAACTGCCTGATAAAAAATAAACTTTAACGTACATCGTATATATGCAGGTGATGAGCCACGCTACATGCTACATTGCGTTCTCTGCTCCCAGTATTTCAGTAAGTAGACTATCATTCTAGGCAACATCAGTTTCAAGATAGTTCAAAAAGAAGGCAAATTGAAGGTAAAAAGCTCAAAAAGAAGTAACCAATATATAAAAAATAAATGTAAAGTATATTTTAGAACAAGTTAAACTAACAACTTTAACATGTTAGATATTAGATTGAATCGTATTTGTTCTATTGCCATCTTGTACCCATTATAGAGAAATAAGTCCATATTACTAGATAGCTATATATGAAGTTATAACTATACCAGATTGTCTAGACCATATAATAAGTTAACTTTAAATACATTCACTCTAAATTTGAAAATTGAGGTCAATGATGGATGATTCGAGCAACACGGGATCCTTTAAGGAAGAGATCGAAAGCAATTAACAGGAGTACAAGAGCCAAAGCTCACATTGCTCAATTCCTGACTAAACTAAGGCTGATCTTTTGGGATCTACAAAGTGGTACTCTAAGAATGTCATTGTTGCACATCAATTCTTTTGAAACAATTTTGCATCTGGAACCACAGCCCCAGGAAAATTCATAATCATATGGATAGCTACATATATCTTTAACACCAACATACTACGAAAATCGCACAATAAGGTGAAACACTTCCAAAATGTTACAACAAATACTGCAACCAAGTTACATCAAACTGAATATGTTCAAACTGCGTATGCTTGTAAATGATAAGCGGAGCTACTGACTTTGGCCAGATCATTTCTTGACAACTGCGCATATACTATACTCTTTATTCGGTATTATGATTAAAGTATTAGAACCGAAACTGACTTTCACAAAGTTTGCCTTCCCTAGGGGGGTTGATTCGTAATCTTGAATGACATTTGCTGCATAGGCAGTGATCTGTTGAGCAAACTTTAAGGTAACTTGGTCATTGGATGCACCAATTAATTTCTTGGATTTAGAGTTAAATATTATTATTGATTCAACGGCTGAATCGGTATTATAGATGGACAATGTATCAGATACCAATGTGATGGTCAGATTAGGCAATTGAGGTACAGACATTGCATATAATGCTTAGTAGTGTGGTATGGTTTGTTCGGTTTACGGTGTTTCAAATGACGCTTGACAATAAATTTTCTAGAGAGATGCATTACACAAAATCACAGCTAATTCAAAAAATAAAATCAGGACCCCTGCTTGAACAAAGAATCAACAAAAAGAGGTACCGACATGGCCACTACCCTGTGCAACTACGGGGATATGGCGCAGAGGTTACATCAAAAGGGGGTGGACTAGGAATACTATTGTTTAGAGTGCTATGTGGGGGGACGTATGGCATTATCCGAGCCGTGAGTCGGAAAACTTCATGTTGTCTTGTCAAAGTAAGTGGTGAAATATCGTAATTTCATGCAAAAGAAGTTTAGTTGAGTCTAAAATAGGGCCTAGAGTCTCTTAATGAAGTGTCAAGAACAAACTGGATTTAAAAAATAATCACATAACCTTCTAGTCAAGCCCTTGGGACTAATTATCTAGAGTCAATTTGATAACTAAACAAAGTTTAAAAAGGGAGCTTTAGATTACGGGGCCAAACCCCACGTTTGGAGAATCCAATAGGCAAGAGCGATAGGGATGAAAAATTCAGTATGAAAAATGTTTTGTTTTCAATCGATAATAGCGTTCGTTTGTTCACCACCTATCACCAATGCCAGTCTACAGGCGTTCACTAGGTAACACTCATCTAATGTCAAATATATAGAAGCTCCAATAACAACATACCACTTGAGATATTGCCATTCCTAAGGCTGCGGTGCACATACTTAAACTGAGGCTGCAGTTGCTTTCGTTATCTATATTATTACTGTATTTATTTGACTTTTCGGCTCTTATCGCGAAATTTTAGCCTCACCTTCGAAATTCTGGTCGAGTTTATTGCTTCAATTTTCAGTTTTGTAATACCTTTTCACCGATAACTCCTAGGATTCTGCATTCTCAGGTGATCACGGCTCATTCTTTCTTTCATTGTCAGATTGTAATGCGCAATAGCACATTAAAAAATAGACCACCAACTTTGTTGCATTTACTACCCTAAGTAAGTAAAAATGGTTTCTCCAATTTTCTTATTTATTTTTTTTTCTTCTGTTGCATTTTAGGCATTTTAGGCAGTGTCGCTATGGCTTAACCCATGTACCTCCCCACCCCAAATGAGAAATAGTTAGCTGCTTCAGTTCGCACGCATTGGGTCATGCCATGAAAAATTGATCATTCGCTGTGAAATACTGTAAAAGTTAATTCGATTTCCCGAAGTTGACATCCCAACACCCGGGAAATTTCGGGAGGGTGCCAGTAGTATATCCATGGTTCACAACAGTGGAAAATAACAAAAGAAAAAGGCTACAATAGATAAACGTTTAGGAGAGTATTTGCGTAATAGTCAAACCTAAAAATACATAGAAACAAGGGTCGGGGCTGTTTATATATTTCATCCACAATATCCACCTCTCTCTCTCCTTTGTTTTTTTGTTTTCTTCCTTTCTCTCTTCCTTCCCTTTCTTTCCTTCCTTCTTTCTACTTATTATTACTACTATTATTATTATTATTATTATTATTATTATACTTTACACTTTCATACCTTCATCGCTTGTAGAGATAAAACCATAAAAACTCAAGTTCAAGACAGAATTACCAGACTTTTCACACACTTATCATTCATAATAAACAATTGGCTGTGATTTGTTTCACATTTTATTTTTATTTATTTTATTTATTTTTACTCCGCAATTCTAGAACTAATCATAGTAACTAGAGAGAGATCCCATACCAAAATTAGGATTATAACAAAGGAAGCAAGGATACCAAAAATAAATACTTACAGCACAAAAAATAAAACCAGAAACCATAGCTGAAACCAACATTTTTTCAAAAAGCTCTGTCATTCAAGCAACTTAAACTCAAACTAACCACTTCACATAGTCACTCACTTCCCTTTCTTGGACTGACTCGGTAAATCTAAATATTTCCGAGATTACTCACACTTTTCTTTTAATTGTTGCACGCGCTCGGAAATTGAAAAATAAATATAAGTGACTTTTTTCTTAGATAACGAAAACTGAAATATTCACTGAAACAATAATAATATTAATTATTAATAGCAATACTACCACTTTTGTTAATATTAGATTGTTTATTTGTCCCAGATAATATCAACTTTACAGGAGTATCTAAGCCACAGCTCTCTGAAAGCAGATTTAAGACTCCCTATTCATCCCGAACAAGAGATTACCCTAGATTTACTTTGCCACACCTACACGCACGCTCCACAGAACCAGCAATCTAAATTTTTCACTTTAGTAAACGCGCCAACCATTTGACAGCGCAACGGTTCTCTGGTATATTGAATCTTTTAAAACCTACGAAACACACTTAGTTCCTTACAAAACCATTCAAAGTGACCACATTGATTTCCACGATTCCAGCAATGGAGAGTCCCAAGAAAAAGCTCCTTTCAACTTCCTCCCCAGAGGGACTTCTGGTTGCCTCTAGAATTACCCCAACAAGAATTGCTAATTTATTGATTAGAAAGGGCCCTTTGCCCATTCGTCACATCACGGGCCAGTTGGCCCTAGAAGTGCTGGGGTTTGAAATGCTCTCGTTATCCAAGCAAAGAAGATTGATAATGGCAGCAATGGAACAGACAGACCCAGATAATAACGTGTTGTTCGAAAAGATTGGTTGGGGCCAATGGGCAGTAAGAAAAGTCGACTCAGACTATATCGTTACCGAAGGTACTGAGGGCACAAGTGGCACTCCTTTGGCATTACAAGATGAAGAAATCAATAAAAAGCTTTTAAGCGTCCATGATTTGAGGAATCAAACTGGCGTTAAGTTGGGCTGGACCAAGAAGCAACAACAACAGCAACAAGCCCTTCCACAACTGATGTCTCCACCGCATAATAATGTATACCAGATGCTGCCTCCAGTATTGCCACCAATCCAACACCGCAGGAAACTGAGTAACGGTGGACATGCTAATCTTCAAGCTGCCGCAGCTTTGAGAAGAGAATCGATATCTGCATCTAAACAGAATCTTCACAACATAAAACTCCCACAGGACGTTTCTAACGCCATCGAAAGTGACCTGGAAGATGACTATGCATTGGCCGACGAAATAGATGATGATAGTGACAGCGAAACTGACATTGAAAGCGATGAAGTTGTCAACAATGAGGAAGGTACAATGTTTAGCTTTGATGATGACGTGAACGCTGGACAGACTTCAATAGGCAAGTTCAAGCCAAGAGCTGCAAGTACCAGTACTGTTGGCAGTAAGAGTAGCAGAAGAAGAAGCAGCATGAAATCGCCCCCTCCTGGTGCCATTAAGTTTGCCAATAGAGTTCCAATGAAGGTGAGTCCTCCTCCTGGAACTCCTAGAGACAATAGTAACGGAGGAAGTCGCAGAAAGTCTTCATCATCTGCTGGTACGCCCGGTATCTCCAAGTATAGTTATAATCAAAGAACGCTGTTTTTCAACCGTTCAAGGTTAAATTCATTGGAAAATCTTGATAACTATATCGTTTCATCTGCAAAGAACTCTGGTAGTTCTCTTTCATCACCTGCACCTCCACATCATCAATCTTCATCGTTGGCTGGCCCAACTGGTTCATTCAGTTTATCATCTCTGCCTTGGAGTGCTAACAACTACATTCATCACGCTGCATCTCCAGACAGCATAGCAGCCACCATGGCAATGGGTAGAAGAAAATCATCGTTCAATGAGTCTCATGTACGTTCAACCTTATCATCTTCTCTCCCAAAGCAACAGTTCGATAAACCAATTTTACCACCAACGACTACAAACTCTTTAGTCAAGCCATATGAACATCAGAATCATTCCAAATCATCCAATTCGGTATACAGTAATAAGGGACTTACCAGGGAGCGTTTGGCAGGAGAACATAGTGATACAGATGAAGAAGATTGGGCAACAATAGGTGCAGAGTCACTTAGAAGTGGGAAGATTCAAAATAAGAGGCATATCAACAACAACAACAACAACAACAACAACAACAACAATATAAGTAATAATGGTAACAATAACCATCCCATGAATAATGATCAAACATTATCTCCTTCGCAAGCAGAAGAGAGAAATGCAGCTTACGCATTAGTAGATCTAATGTCTGTATGAATTCAAGGACAATTGATTTAGAATAGTGAATAAATATAAAAAGAAAAAGCAATACGTATATTTATATATACCGAAGTAGCAAATGTAGGAGTGTAGTGCAAAGTGGAAGAGGGGTAGGAACGGAGCATGTTAGAGTGTTTAGCTGTAATTCAGAGTAAAGACTGGGCATACAGGGCGTTTCGGCTGTAATTCAAAGCAGAAAAGGAGTATACCGGTGGTCAAAGTTAATTTAGAGCAGAACCTGAGTATACTGGAGCGTGCAGTTGGGACAATACCATACGCACCAATATATGTCGCGTAATTCTACTTCAGAGAACTTTACGCTACAACAACAGAAACAACGTAACTACCTTTCATCGTAAATTTCCACTTTGAAATTTATTCTCGCTGATTCCTCCATTTCCCTCCATTTCCCTTGATCTCTATTTGAGCAGATCATCACAGATTCCTGGATCAATGGGATCAAGTCTTATCAGATAAGCATTCCAGACTAAAGCAAAAGCAGCAATTTTCCACTTCCTAAAATACGCACCAGCTGCAGCCAGCCATTTGGTCCGGCACATAAAAACGCCAGGCGCGTGTCTCTCCAGCTTACGCGTCAACGGGATGCATCGAATTTTTCAATTAACCTCCTTTGGGATTTTCTCTTTAATGAGGTTCTTTTTTTTTTTTACTCTAGGGTATCGTTTGCAGAGACAGTTGACTATATACGGGGGTTTTCTTACTTATATTGTTATCTTGTAGTGTTCTCTTTCATCAGACTTCGAAAAAATGTCAGCTACAGCCACCACGTCGGCTATATTACCGACCGTTCAAATTGATGTTAACTATAAGGAACTCAAGGACTCCATAAAGGACTTCATATCTCACTTCAAGGGAAGCAGTGCCGAGAATGAAAATGGTATGGTTGACGGTCCAAAGTATATGGCTTTGCTTCAAAAGATAGCCAACAGAGAAATCACCACCCTTTTCATAGAATTGGATGACTTACAAGCCTATCAAGACTACCTGACTCTTGCTGTGAACAAGAACTTGGTACAGCACATCGTCAAGAACACGTACAGATTTATCGAGGTATTCAGTCAAGTTGTTGATGAATTGTTACCTGAACCAACCACCGACGTATCTTACAAAGATGACGTGTTAGACGTGATTATCCATCAGAGAAAACTTAGAAATGCCAGACTCCAACAAGATGCAACTGACGAGTATACCCAAATTAGTCAAGGGTTTAACGGTGAAGATCAACAACAGCAGCTGGCTGCTGCTGCTGCTGCCAACGCTGCATCTGCTGAAGGAGAAAACCTATTCCCTGCCAAGCTTACTCGTCGTTACTTCCTTTACTTTAAGCCATTAAGCTCTAAGAAAACGCGTTCCCTAGCTGTAAGAGAAATCAAGGGTAACTTGGTCGGTCAGTATATAACAGTGAAGGGAATAGTCACTAGAGTCAGTGACGTGAAACCCTCGGTGTTGGTAAATGCTTACACCTGTGATAAGTGTGGTTATGAAATCTTTCAAGAAGTTACTTCCAAGACTTTCTCTCCGTTGGTTGAGTGTACTTCTGCTCAATGTAAGGCAGACAATACTAAAGGTCAATTATTCATGTCCACCAGAGCATCCAAATTTTCTAGTTTCCAAGAAGTCAAGATTCAGGAATTGGCTGATCAAGTCCCAGTGGGACACATTCCAAGATCGTTAACTATTCACGTAAATGGTGATTTGGTTAGGTCTTTAAATCCTGGTGATGTTGCTGATATATCAGGAATCTTCATGCCATCTCCTTACACGGGGTTCAGGGCTTTGAGAGCGGGATTACTTACAGAAACCTACTTGGAAGCTCAATATGTCAATCAGTTCAAAAAGCAATATGAAAGCTTGGAAATTACTGATGACATTAAAGTGAAGATTCAAGACTTATACAGCCAAGGAAATGTCTACAACAAGTTAGCAAAGTCCATTGCGCCAGAAATTTACGGTCATCTAGATGTCAAGAAGATCTTATTGTTGTTGTTGTGTGGAGGTGTTTCCAAGGAAATTGGAGATGGTTTGAAGATTAGAGGAGATATCAACGTTTGTCTTATGGGGGACCCAGGTGTGGCCAAATCTCAATTATTGAAGGCAATTGGTAAAATTGCTCCAAGATCAGTGTACACTACTGGTAGAGGTTCTTCTGGAGTAGGTTTGACTGCTGCAGTCATGAGAGATCCAGTCACGGATGAAATGGTATTGGAAGGAGGTGCCTTGGTTTTAGCTGACAACGGTATTTGTTGTATTGATGAATTCGATAAGATGGACGAATCTGATAGAACTGCTATCCATGAAGTTATGGAACAGCAAACTATATCCATCAGTAAGGCTGGTATTACTACTACTTTGAATGCTAGAACTTCAATTTTAGCAGCTGCTAATCCGTTATATGGAAGATACAACACTAAATTATCTCCTCACGAGAATATTAACTTACCAGCAGCCTTGTTTTCAAGATTTGATATTATGTATTTAATGTTGGATCAACCATCAAGAGAAATGGATGAAAAGTTAGCACATCACGTTGCTTACGTTCATATGCATAATAAGCAACCAGAAATGGACTTTGAACCTTTGGATTCCTCAACTATTAGGCAGTACATTTCCATTGCCAGAACGTATAGACCTACTGTTCCAAAGGAAGTGGGTGACTATGTTGTACAATCTTACATAAATATGAGAAAGGAATCACATAGAAACGAAGGTTCTGTCAAGAAATTCAGTCACATCACTCCTAGAACCTTGTTGGGTATATTAAGAATGTCCCAAGCTTTAGCTAGAATAAGATTTGATACTATTGTAACAATTGAAGATGTGGACGAAGCATTAAGGTTGATTCAAGTTTCCAAGTCATCATTAAACCAACAAGATGAAATAATGAGAGAAGATGAAACTTCAAGCTCCAAAATCTATCAAATTATTAAGAATTTTGCAATGAATGATCAAACTGGCAGATTGTCTAAGACTGTGCCATTGAAAGATTTGAAGCAAAGGGTAATTGCAAAGGGTTACACTGTAGAACACTTTGACAACTGTATTAATGAATATGAATATTTAAATGTCTGGCATAAGATTGATAATGGTGAAACTTTAATGTTTATTGGTACCGGAGGAGACTACGATGAAAGGGATGAAGATGATGATGATATGGAATATTGAAATTGATGAATCACTTATTAAAAAAAAAAAAAGAAAGCTGTACTTAATTGACAATTAAGGTACTTTGTACTATACTAGATAATAAACTTTGTAAATCTGATCATTTGTAGACCATGAAGTTTCTGGGAGGAACAGTTAGCGAGATAAAAAGCGTTTGAGTACATATTGACAAGTGGGTATATAACAGATACTGATGTGCTTCAATGTATTACAATATTATTCTGTTTGCACAAGAAAAGACAATCTTGACTAAACAACATTTACTGAAATGAGTACGAACGGCGTAAACAATTCAGTATAAAAGTTCAGTACAGAATTATGATTAGAACTACACTAAAACTTGAATTCAGGGCAATTTTCTAAACTTCTATAGGGGGGTTCATAAAAATAATAGAGCTAAGCAACAGTGAAAAGGTCAGAATTATTGTGTGGAAGACTTTCTTCAATACGTCGTAGATGCTAAGAAAATATTGGAAAGCTCCTTAGAGAACCACCACCTAATCCATATACACGTATAACTACGGTTGCCATTACTTAAGTATGAGTTAAATATACGCTTAATTCTCACTTATCTTTCTGATAAAAAGTTTGGACAATGATTTTTCTGCAGCATTTCGAAGAATTAATATGCGCAGCACAGTCACTAAATTTATTTTTTATGTAGTATAAGCTGTCAATTTGCCTCAGCCTCGAGAATGAAGGGTTCTCACACAATAAAAAATTCAACTGTCAATTGAAAGCACATCATCTCTTATTCACTTAAGAATGACAACGAAAAGATATACTAAGGAAGAGAAAATTATATAAATAATGATTGAGAAAAATGGCCATCAGCTCCTAGCAGCTATTTTTAGTTAGCCCCAGTAGTTTTAGACTATCAAAAGTATGTATTGAGCTAGAATGGGGAAAGAACTAGCTTTCCTTGGTAAGTTTATTTTTTACTTAAAACTAATCAGCTCCCAATTATAGTTTAGAGAAAAAAATAGGAGGATGATAAAGGTATGCGCACAATGACAGCATTGCCAAAGGCTAAGGGTGATCTTGAAAATGACTATAAATATAATTAGTAGTGGTGCGACTTGTGGAACAATTTTATTTTTATTTTATCCTTCTTTTCACCCTATATTACTTTGCCTTCATATAGTCAACTGAATCGTTTCTTTCCTTTTCATTTGAAGAAGTTCTTGGAAGTTCTATTGTTCATACAGTATTGTAAAATTATAAAGGTAACGCTTTCGGTATGAAGTTTCTCGTCTCATTCGCCATCTTTATATTATCCGCAATAGGCTCGGAGTTACCAGGTATTGAGAGTGCTGGTGACCTAACTTTTGACAATGTGGTCACTTGTAGAGCCGTCAAAGCAATCCCTGGGAAAGATGCTTCTATTACTGTAAAGTATCAAGGAGGTAAACAATCCATTGTCCCAATACTTATCTTCCGTTATATATACATTGATAAATTTGATTGGATCCCGGATTGGGATAAGTTTGTCGCTTCCAAAGATCATGGTTTCCTCAATGAGGAGAACGCTAAATTTGAAGTTAAGCCTAAAGAGGATGGTTTAGTATTTCTTAACTCAGTCGTTAGTGCAGCAGAACCTGAAGTCAAACTCAATGTGACTGAGTCTGGTATATATTGTTTGTACGCACGTCCAGCAGCATCTGACCATGAGTTCACGGTATCAGCCTTGGCACACAATTCATATGGATATCTTATCTATCCCGCTTATTTGGTCTACACCCAATTGAAATATTACATATTTTTGGGTCTTATACTCTTCGGATTATTATTCAATTACATTCTTAGATTTAAAGTTGGTGATGACTTTACAGATTTGAATTCAATTTCAATTATTTCCAAAGCTACTTTGTTTTATGTTTTGGCCCCAGCAATTGGTATTTCTTTCTTGCAAATGTGTGGAGGTTTTCTTGCCAACAATTTCGAGTTCTTTAGTGGACACCATCCAATTGTATTGATGGTTCCAGCTTGGTTACAAGCTACCTATGAGATTGCGTTAAGATTTTTTATTTTACTCTTCTCAATGGGTTATGGAGTAATTTACTGCCATGGGCAAGATTCACAGAAATATCGTAGAATTCCAGATAATTTGTGGAAGAGAGCAACTACTTTACTTTCCATTAATTTTGTGACGTACACGGTATATGTCTTGATGGACAAGTTTTTTCCTTTAAAAGAAGGCGTTGTGACTCCTTCTGGTATAATTTCCGGATTAGAGTTAATATTGAGATTTGCTTACTTACTCTTTCCTATGATCTGGTTTGTATTCACAATAATCCACTATTTCCGTACGAAGCAGACGATTTCTAAATTCCCCGTCACTTCAAATGTGGACGAAAATGATAAATTATTGGGTGCCTTTAGAAAATCTATATCTGTTATCTTTATATTGCCAATGGTGGTAGGCATTTTGGCAGGTATTATAACTGGAAAAAAGCTAATGGCAGACTCAATTCTTCCTCCGTATGGTGCTGAAGGAAGGGAGTTGGATGCATTCTATGCTAAGTTGATCGAGTCTGTATTCTTCAACGAAAATTTTACATATGTCATGGTTTGGACTTCATTCTTAACTGTGTTTGCTACAATTGGAGGAATATTTGCAATCTGGACGAAGAACAATTATGGAATCATTCTTGAAAGTAAAGAAGATATGTTTGACCAGGCTCCTGCTTACAGTGATATTGATAGTGTGGAGCCATAGTAGGATATACATATAGATAAATAGGTCCACGGCGTGCTTGTGACTTTTAGCTTTTATTGAATAGTAAGATATACTGGAGTGATTTAACATGTATATTTTTCATTATTTATCGATATAGATCTGCCCTGTCTTATACGTCAATTAACTCTTTCAAGAAATCTCCAGCTCTACCTTCTTCTTCAGCTCTCATCAAACTTTCGCCGATTAAGAACCCATCAACATCGTCTTCATACTTGTATTTTTTGATATCAGCAACGGTCGTAATCCCGCTTAATGCTAACACCTTCACTTCACCTGATCTGCCATTATTATTCTTAGCTTGGTCAACCAATGCACTTGTAGTGTTCAAATCTACATCGAAAGTGGTTAAGTTACGGTTGTTTACTCCAATGACTAATGGTTCCTTGGTTTCTCCATTATACGTCAACTTGAGTGCGTCGGATAATTCTTCACTGTTGTTAACTTCAACCAAAGGAACCATTCCTAATGAATTTGAGTATTGGTAGAGCTCTTGTAACAATTTGGCATCCTTTAACATCTTAACTATCAATAAAACTGTGTCAGCACCTGCCAATCTAGCTTCCAATATCTGATACTTGTTGAAAATGAATTCCTTTCTCAAGATGGCAGGTCTATGCTTAACATTATCAATAACCTTACGGATAACAGATAAGTCATCGAGGGAGCCCTTGAACCAGTTTGGTTCGGTCAATACAGAAATCGTAGAGCACCCATTGGTCGCATAAGTCAAACCTTGCTTTCCTGGGTGTGCCTCAATGTTGATATCACCCTTTGAAGGAGAAGCCCTCTTGAATTCAGAAAGTATGACAGTCTTCCCGTCGGATTGAATTCTATCGTAAAAATTGATCAATTCTGGGGCTATACCTAATTCATAAGTTGCTTGTAATTGTTCAAATGACTTACCTGGTAAGCTTTCAACTTGTATGTAATCTTCTTGTCTCTTGTGATATATTTTGGTCAAGATATCAACATCTTTCTTAAACGAAGGTGTAATTTTCACCTTTTCTTGTTCATCCCAAGTACCACCTGTAATATCCATTAAGTTGTCTATCATTAACTGACCAGATTCGGTCAAAATAGATTCTGGGTGAAACTGAACACCTTCAATCGTATACTTCTTATGTCTAACGCCCATAATAACTTCAGGAGAAGTCTCAGTGGTTGCAGTGACTTCTAGGCAGTCTGGCAAAGTCTTCTGAGTACCTGCCAATGAATGATAACGAGTAACTGCAACAGATTGTGGAACACTGCTAAACATTCCCTTACCGTCGTGCTTTATCGTAGTGGTCTTCCCATGTACAATCTCACCTGCATAGTCCACATCTCCGCCAAACACATCGAAGATACACTGTTGGCCCATACAAACTCCAAAAATTGGCAATTTACCCTTGAAATGTCTAATTAACTCTCTAGAAATCCCCAGATCGGTGGTAGGGTGACCAGGTCCTGGTGAAATGAAAACAATATCTGGCTTGACGACCTTCTCGATGGTCTCAATGTCTATCTTGTCATTTCTGAAGACGCTAACTTTTCCACACTTAGGCGACTGACATAAAAACTGGTATAAGTTCCAAGTGAAAGAGTCATAGTTGTCTATCATGAGAACATGACGTCCTTGTGATTCTTTGGTTTCTACAGTCATATTGTTGCTAAAGAAGAGCTGTTTAGATGTGCTTCACTCTTTGTGACTAAATTTTTCACTTTTTTATTTTTCGTACAGTTCTTTTTTTTTTGTCACATTTGACATTTTTGTCGTTGTCATACTTGACTCACATTTCCTGTACAGAAAAAACGGTTGCAAAAGGAGGCTAATACTTTGATTAATGTAGTTTCGGTCATACTACTATATATTTCTAAAATAATTATATATAAAACAGTTTCATTAAATGTTGTTTTTATCTTGTTGTATGTGTTTGTTTTTTCTTATCTGTTGGCATGTTTTTGTCTGCTTTTCTTCTTTTCTTCTTTTCTTCTTTTCTTCTTTTCTTCTTTTCTTCTTTATTTTTTTTTTCGTTTGTATGGAACTCTTTATATGATCGGTCTTTCTAATCCTTCTTTCTTCTTCTAACTCTAGATGCAATTGGATTTTCATCCTTGATTAAACTTTCTTGCAATTTGATCCCATCGACTTCTCTTGGTAAATGGTTGATCTCAACTCCACGAAGTAAAATTGAACTGACAACTTCTAATATTAACATGAATAATGAAGATAAAATTGCTAAACAGTAGTTTGAAATGCTGACTCCTATATCAAGCCAGGATCCTTCAGTTCTTACCAAGAAGAAGAAATTTAATGAAAGGAAATCACTCGTCGAGATAATCAACGTTGAAATAGTGAACTTTTTAATATCTAACTGATGGTTCATTATACCAAGACATGTGGATAACAAAACGTATGGAATAATAAGCTTTAACATCAATAAAGCCCCCATGGGGAACGGATCAAAAATAGGTATTAACCTATAAACGGAATCCAATGAAAATGATGATATGGATGAAATATTACCAGTACCGAAGAACGCAAATTGTAAGAAAAAGAATCCAATGATGGTAATTCTAATAATTTGTAACCAGTGTCCCTTCACTCTCTTATCGACTGCTCCTGCCTTTGTGATGTGATGGGCATTTCTCAATGATTGCTCAATAACTAACCATTGAACCAACACTAAAGAATATCCAACGTAAAAGAGTAATTCAAATGAAATTGTCAAAATAACAAATGTGGGTACGAATGTCAAATAAATGATTAACATCCTAAATTTGTAATCCTTGGATGGCTTTATAGTATACAATAAAGGCAACACAATTAACGAAACAATGAAAACAACCCAGCCAAGCACTTGTGAATGAAATGGCAATCCAGTTCTTGCCTGTAATGACACCACTGAAACATTTGTTGCATACGAAATTAATATAATACAAGCATGTTGAGCGCCAACCAAAGCCACATTAACTGAATTCTCAGCAATAGTTGGAAAGATGTGGTATGTACCTACTAAACCAACAATAAAGGATAAAACGGTCCCAGCATTAATTTGATCTAAATCTTCAACTTTAACTGGATCTAAATTGGTAAAAATACACATACTCAAGCAAGTAAAGAACCAGACAAACTTTTGAAATATGGTAATTTTATTTTGCTCGTTAACGATCAACAGTGGATATAATCCAACCAAGACAAAGATAACAGAGAACATAATTCTCTCGAAAAATCCATAGACAATACCTTCATACATTCCGACAAATGTAACGAGTATAAATATTTTGGTACTTCTGGAAATACCGTAGAGAAATTCCTCCAAGCCCTCGAAGAGAATATCCTTCTCATTGATGATATTATACCAGAAGAATAGTGGGAAAAATGCATACATGTAGTAGTTAAATGGCGAGCCTTGGTAGAATAAAAGGTAATTGATCGAAAGTGCTAACGTTCCAAAGGAGACGTTAAGCAATGAAAATGATAAATCTAATGCACTTTCTTCTTCTGCGTCTTCGTTCTCTTCAGATTGTGGTAAAATGAACATTTTCAAGAAAATAGTAAAGGAATAAACGATCCACCCAATGAACCCCATAGTGACGATCGACCTCAATAACAACCAATTGTAAGTTTGTAAATAAGTCAACCCATCAAGTGCAGTCTTCATTAAATTCTCAGATAAGATGATTGCCATCTTTTCATACAATTCAGGGTTTATTTCCTGGTCATCATTCAAGTTTTCTAATCTGAAAATGAGATTTTCAATATCAGACTTATATTCATCCACACTCTTCTTTTCAAATGGGTTATAAGGTTTAAAGTTAAATTGATGGTTAAAAACTTCAACTTCTTTAACTCTGTATTGTTCTACGATCCCTAAAGCATTCTTGTATAATGCCTTAATTTTAGTTAATGAATTGCCATCGAGATAGTTCAAAGGTAACTCACCAACCGAATTTGAAGGGTAGTTAGCACCAATCAAGTATGCCATCAATGGAGCAATATCAGCCTGTTTGACATCATGCCTGGCTAAGTGGTCAAACTCCCAAGTATCGAAAAAGTCTTCTTCGTATCCGGAATTAACTGGATCTTGTTTCAAAACTTGCTGTCTTTTCTCTATGCCAGATAAATCATTTAATTTTTTTGGCTTATTTACACCGGCACCCCATGCGATTAATGGAGTTCTAGTGTTGTTTGGGTGACCATCACCATGTGCCCCAAAATCGGACATCCCATGGTCAGCCGTAAAAACAAATGCAGAATCTTCATCTCCGAAAAATTCATGGATTCTTGGGATCAATTTTGACAACTTTTCGTCGATATATTTAATATTATCATAATATTCGGCGGAATATGGCCTGTAAGCATGGCCAGCTGTGTCAGGACCTAATAAATGTAAGAAAAACACGTTCCCTTCTTGATGTAATTCATCGTGCAATGTCTTGTTGGTAGTCAGATTATTCATTAAATCATCGAAATGCTTGAACACAAATGAGTCTAATTCGATAGAGGACTGAGTGAAGTCTTCAAATTCATGCCCATACATACAAACATCAATTCTACCAGGAACAACGTTGTCACCATAAGCGAACATAGGTAAGATATCTGGCGAGCCAAAGGAATAGGTATGAGTAGACTGGTTGAAAAATGAATCAAAATCAACTGGATTCTCCTTCCATCCCTTAGTAACAGCGGAAACGTCTTCGTAAAATCCTGCAATCATAGCAACATGTCCAGGTCTCGATTCCGTGGGCATTCTAGTATTTGAGATACCCCAAGTAGCCTCATTGAGCACCAAATTCCTCAAGTAAGGCGCGAGGTACTCTTCTTTTCCAGTTGTAGGGTGCGTCAACTTTTGGAACGTTTTATCAGCTCTGAGCCCATCTCCCACAATTAAAAATAATCTTTTGGCAGGTGGAGTATCAGTGGACTTTTGATGTTCCATGCCATGCACCAAAGGCAGGACAAAATATATATCAAAAATAGACCATAGGTAGAAGAAATGGAATACCAACCCGACAACCAATAATAACTGGCGGTTTCTATTCATTATTAACGACAGTTGACACTCTTTACAGGATATACTACCTTGTATTGTATTCTTTTTGTTTTTTTTTTTGTGGTCCACTGAAATTGTTTTAATTTAGGCTGCATATATAGTGAAAACACGTACACGCAGCTGGAGTTGATGCTTATTAGGTTTGAGCACTGCACGCGGGCGGCATAACCACCATACCGAGCGCCTAAATTTTTCACTTCTCGAGTGCTACGAGGTGGAAAAAATGGTTGCGAATATTGTTTCAGTTAGCCATTTATACATTGTATTAAACAGTAGAGGATGGCAAATTTACGTTTTACAAATCCACTACGATAGCTTCCTTGGATACTTATAATTGTGGGCGAGTACTTTTTGGATTCCTCTCACCTATTTTGAAATTAGTTATATATATATATATACATTCTACTATACAATAGTGTTTGACAAGCGTACTATGTGTGACAAATCTACTGACATAAACCTATAGGATAGTTATAATTATAACAGAATTCAGTTTTGGATTCATCTCACTTATTCGCTGAGATAAGCTCTTGAAAATCTCTAAATACACCTGAGTTCTCAATGAGAGCTTTCAGGTACCGCTCAGAAACCACAGCATCTTGTAACAAACATTGGCTATACACGTTGAAGTTGGAAGTGCTGGAGAGTAGAGTATCCGAAAGTTGTTGGTCTTTCTCCATTCTCTGGCTCTGGTACTGTAAGATTTTCTTTTTGTATTCGAAGAAATCTTTAAGATATTTTCTCATAGCATGGCTAATCAATTCAGGACTTATATGGTTCAATCTTGGATTCACAGGTGGGTATACGTCCAAAATAGCTGGATCTGCATCAAGATCCAGCATTTGTAAAGCCGCGTACGCCTTATATTGGGTTCCGTTCACTGGTCTGTGCAAAGTGTCAGCTCTTGCTCGGCCATCAGTAAATTCAAACCTTGGCTTCTTCGTGTTTTCATGGGTCAAGTTACTCAGAGCTTTCCTAGTTCTTTGTCTGGCTTCCTCGTCATTTCTTAAGTCGTTTGGCAAACTTTCAAAGAGATCATCCATTGGATTAGTCTCAAATGCATTTGTACTATCCAAAGTACTAGATAAGTCATTAAGATTCCAGTGGTTGTTCAACTTTGTTCTTTTATTAGACCCTCTTTGATCTTTGTTACCTCGAACATTACTAAAATTAGCTTCGGTGGTCGATCTTCCGTATTCAGGTGTTCTCTTTGGCAGTGATCCCTTTTCCATGAACAGTTTATATCGAGGTGGTTGTTGGCGCTCTCTGAGTTTCATGTTACTGTTTAAATCAAAGTAATCGTCCAACGATATATTGGGGAACAACCTTTCAGCGTATGGATCCGTGTTGAAAGAAGGTGATGGAGATGGACCATTCTTATTTTGGTTCGAACTACTTTTAAATGCAAAGCTCTCTTCTCCCCTTTTACCAGGCTCAAAGAACTCTTCTTCCTGTTCCTCTCCGTCATTGTCTTCTTCATCTTCTTCTGCACTCTCTTCACGATCATGGGCCTCTTGCTTTACTTCAGTTTGTATACTTTCTGCAGTGACCTCTAAATCGCTCTCGGATTCTCCTTCGCTCAATACAATAGGATCATTGCTTGAGCCCTTCTTCATGCCGTGGGCCCGTTCGTATGCATCCCTCTTTCTCTGGTCATAGCCATTTTGACTCTCAAAGGGCCGGCTGGCGTTTCGCTGTTCTTGCCTTTGTTTCTCCAATTCCTTCATCATTCGTATCTGTGCTTCTCTTTTCAATCTACGATCAAGCTGTTGCCTTTCTCGCTCCTCTTGCTCTAGCCTGATTCTCTCTTCCTCTTGCTTCCTTCGCCTCTCTATTTCATCTGGCTGTGGCTGAGTCCTGTAATCTCTTACATTACTTCTTCTATTTAGATTTGGGTTCATTCGATCGTAAAAGTCATAGTAGCTGCTGGACGTTGTCGAGAATGTGGTGTAGCTATAATAAGAATTTGCTCCAGGGGACGATGTTGTGTGATGTGTAGTTGTAGTTGTAGCTCCGCGAGTTGTGGAGGGGAAACGAGGCGATGATGCAGCTGGAATTGTTTCCAAATCATATTGATTCCTACTTTTGGGATCTTTCAACGTTTCGTACGCCTTTTGGATCTTGATGAATAGCTCGTGGTGTTGAGGATCACTTGATTTATCTGGGTGATACTTGATAGCAAGCCTTTTATATGATTTCTTTACTTCTTCATCAGTTGCATTCGGCTGTATCCCCAATATCTCATAGTGGGACATATTTGAAACTAGTAGCAAAGAAACCTCACTTCCTCAATGATCCACTTCAATGAAAGAAAGACCACTGAAGCTCTGAAGAAGAGATCACAAGGAAAATGTTTATGGTCGTACTACATCGCAACTCGTAAATCTGTAATCAAAAAAAAAAGGTCGCAGATTTTTTATGCAGCAATCTGAGGAAGTCTCGGTTAAGGTTTGATCTGGTACGGTGGCTAGTGCCAGTGGAATAATGTGCACTGGTTTTGGCATATTTGGGGCAAGGCTTCGTTTTGATGCTACAGGGCCGATATCTTGGGTGTGCAAAATTAGAGGATTTTTCTAGTTGTACCTGGGGTACAGTTACAGTTATAGTTAGAGCTGTAGGTGCAGTTATGGTATAGTTACAGGACAGTCACAGCTACAGGTACCGAAATGGACGGGTGTATTCATATTCATATTCAATTTATTACTAAGGTGATTCACACATATGTGTATAATTAGTTAGAGGATGTTCCTAGCATCCTGTGTTTTAAATAAATAGTGGGGTTGGAGCGGTAATGTGGGAGGAATATGGCCATATCAGTTCTCTTTCGAATAGCAGACCACTCTTCACATTTTCAAATTCTCCTCTTTATTGCCGTAAGTGGTGGTTTCCTTTACGTAGTATTAAGTTAATCGACGGTCAATGTCTCAGCGGTAGGAGCTTCAGCTGCTGCAGTCTCTGCTTTCGCAATTACGGTGTCCTCTAAAAAGAGCTTCCCGTACACTGGAACCGAAGGCACATGAGCATTTTGTAAGTCGTTCAACGCCTCCTCGGGCTTGCCGGTTACTTCACCGCCGTAAGCTGCTGGAAGTTGCTTCTTAGGAAACCACGAGGAAACGTCCCCACTATTCAATACCTGGAATTTCTTGACCGTGGCAGCTCCAACTCCTAAAAGTCTAACAAACGCAAACATCCAACTCATAAGAGTTGGAACGTTCATGAAGAACTTAATAGAAAGTAATTCGGGATAATGGTCACCAAAGATAGCAATGATCTCCTTTGTTGCTTCCTTCATGCCAGGATCAACTTTGAAGAATGACACGTCCTTATAATCGTGAATTTGTGCAATCTTGTTGTTGTCAGTGCTGGTGAAATCAATTTGCAGTAATGATCTCTCCATTAATCCAATTCTCCAGCGTAAAAACGGAGTTCCTGGTAAAGTTTCCTTTTCATTTTGCTTCTCAAATAACTTTTTTGGCGATTTGATGTTCTTATAGAGGTTCCAGGTCACGACAGACAAGTTTTCCTTGTTGCTATCAAACACTGTAATGACTCCCAAATCTTCAAAATCAGATTCGAATTTCTCCTTGTAAGCAGCACTCAATGGTCTGAAGGTATTTCTCCAGTTTAAAGTCTTGACCAATCTTTCCACTGTAAGGGCAACATCAAATTCTGTAGCTACCAAGTACTTGTATAAAATTTCATTCCTTACGTTTTCATTTACACCTTCCTTATCGGACGTGTTGATTCTATAGCCGAAAATTTCATCGTATTCTGGGTTTTCAAGCTGTTCGATAATCTTGGGAAGCTGCCCTATAATTGCTTGCAACTTCTCGCTTTGGTCATCAGTCAACTTAGTCGATGTTATCAATGCCATTTTTGCCTGGTTGAATACGGATATACTCTGTTATTGGGAAAAAAGAGTGTGGTGCTTTGCTCTTGTTAGCTTGCCACGAACAGAAACAAGCTTTTCATTATGCAAAGCCGCTTCTCGGAGTTTACGAAATGGGAAGGTTCCATGAAAAAAAAAAAAAAAAAAAAAAAAAAAGAACTGGCTCGTTAAAGCTCTAGGTAGACTCAGATGATGGTGATAGGGTGAATACTGGGCAAGGATGGGCCACTGTATGCTGCTAGGGCTGTTTCGGTTGATGCAGTTTGTTTTATTAAAAGATCAAATTTTTGACTTTTCTCTGGTGGAATTGCTTCTTGTTGTTTGCTGTTCGCTGTGTGGTGCTTGCTTATATAGTGCTGAGTGCTCACCAAATGGCTGCAATTTATTTCTCACATTGTCTATCTCCCGTGGGTCTACTCAGCTCTAAGATATGCATGTTATATGTTATATGTTACATGTTATATTATGAATCGCATTTCTTGGCGAACAAAGTGCTGAGTGTCACCAGATGGCTGCAATTGAGTCTCTCACTGTCTATCTCCCGTACGTCCACTAAGCTCTAAGTTATGAATATATATTATATGACATTCCCTACATTTAAGTAACCGATTCTCGTCACTTCGTGAAGTTGCGCTACATTTGAAAATGATTTTTGATTGCTCTAGTACTTCGTGCTACTCCAGTTCTAATATTTATACCATTCTATTCTAACTTTCTAACCACCTGGCACAATCTTGAACGACAAGATATCGTTTTTGCCGATGTCAACTGTATCTTCTTCCCCAACTCTAGTCCCGTTGACACCTTCAATCATGGCAATTGTAACATCTCCCATGATTTTCTTGGCCACTGATGCAACAGCAGTACCTCTCTTAACTAGCACACAGTCGCGAAATACCTCTGTGCCTGAACCCCCGGTAAAACTATGTACATTCCGTACGGGATACACTGGCACAAGGTCGAGCACATCTGCTGCAGCTTGCAAAAGCTGGACTACCCCTGTCGATCCAAATCTATATAATACCAAGTCTCTTATGTTATCGATTCTTTTACGTATCTTCTCGTCCAATGGTTTCAACTCTGGGTCATCTGGAAGATCGTCTTTCGTGTCCACGAATTCAGTACCAGAATCGTATTTGATGTATTTCTGTGCAGCCAATTTTCGTAAGAAAACTTCGGTTATGGATGATGTCAACACACACTTCAGTTCTGTATGCTGTAAAATGATTTTGGAGACGTTTTTGTCGGCATCAGGGTGATCCATTTTGTTCAACGATAAGACAGTTGGGAACTTGACTTTCATGAACGCCTTGACAACTTCCCCTACAGTATCATTGTCCCATTCCTGCAATGGTCCCACATGAGGAACGAGGTCTAGAGCTCGGCCAATTAATTGCTTATTCGCAGAGTAACCACCTAATTGCTGTCTTAAAGTTTCTAAGGTGGTAGATTTAGTCGATGTATGCCTTCTCACCACTGACCCCCATCTTTCCATAAGATTTCCTAAGATCCACTGGTAAATCTCGTCTTGTAACCATTCAATGTCTTGTAAGGGATCGTAACCTCTTGTAGCCTTCCCTTCTGCGTTTGTCGTCCCACTGGCATCAACAATATGAATTAAACAATCTGCTTCAGTGAGATCACCTAAGAATTTGTTACCCAAGCCTTTTCCAAGATGAGCATTGGGGACTAAACCTGCCACATCTAATAGCATGATAGGTACTCCTCTTTTCCCGTTTCTACAGTATCCATAGTTTGGTTTGCATAATGATTGTTTTTGGAATCTAGAGCATGCACAAGCAACTTCTAAATATCCGGTAGCCTTATTGGGGTCAATAGTTGTAAAGGGAAATGCACCAACTTTTGCATTAGCATCTGTCAAACTGTTCAATGTAGTAGATTTACCGGATGAAGGCTTACCAACTAGCCCAATGACGATCTCTCTACCCATCGTATATAGTCAATATCTGTCGTAGAACTCGAGTTCAGCTAGTTAAAAAGTGAAAAAATGAAACAGGCGTGAAGAGCTTCGAACGCATCGATATCTGGTTTATATGTAGGTGTGATGTAATCTGCAGAGTGAATGCTACCAGTGGGCAATAGAGGTGGCTGTTACGGCGTCAACAACTATAGCAAAGTAGTAAGAGTACTTCTTTGACAAACGTGGTATCCTGCTAGTACCCTCTTAATCTTAATTGTCACTCCATTGGGGGTTCTGTTTCGTACCCCAGGGTACCCTCTCTACTGCAGCACCGTCGTACGCAGCACGTTCTATCTCTGTCAAAACGTAACCTGCAGTACCGAAAATCTCCATACTAGAAAATAACAGATAATCACTCTTTTGCTCACACATAGCCATAGATTGAAAAACAAAACAAGAAGAAGCAAGAGGCAACTTAGTCAACGGTATCTATCCCTTTATAGTCAATTAGATAGAACAATGGCATTCTCAGCTCAGAGTGTATTTGGTAACATCTTCAGTGGGTTACTGAACGATTTCAAGAAGAAAAACTTTTCGCTCTATGGACAGTGGATTAGTATTCTTACAATTTTCCTTTGCCTTGCTTTAGGTGTCGCAAATATATTCCATGCCAACTTGGTGATTATATTCTCCATCATATGTATAGTTCAAGGATTGGTTGTAGTGTTTGTTGAAATTCCATTTTTGTTGAGAATTTGTCCATTGACCGACACCTTCACTGGGTTCATCCGTAACTTCGATGAGAATTGGCCCCGTTGTGGGTTTTACTTGTTGATGGCTGTCATTCAATGGTTATCATTAACACTTATGGTCACTAGTTTAATTGTGGTTGCAATCTTTTTCAGCATATCGAGTGCCTGTTATGGGTTTGCTGCCTTATCCAAGCAGGAGTATCTTAAATCCTCAATCAATGTTACCGGGTCTCCCGATTCTGTAGAAGGTCAAATTGGTGAACATGTGGTCAGAAACGTTTTGTAAACGAGGAGTGAAATTTTAAAGCTGGTAAAAAAAACGAAAACCCAAATAGTCGAAAAAAAAAAGAATGAATGTACAACAATATATACATATATTAATAAATCAGAATGAAGATGTGGATGTGGATTAGTGTTGTAAGGCTCGTGTAGGAGTTGAAATTTTTCTGTGTTTACTGTTGTTGAATAGCGTAATGTTGTCTCTGAGCTACTCTCAACTCTATTTCCTCTTCGGTGCATTCGAGTGCGTTCCATCATGCAGTGGAATGCACTTTACTGGGGCGCCGAATAGGGCCAAGGTCGGTAGGTGTCGCCTGCTTTGAACGATAGTCTCACAGTACAGGTTCAGAACGACCAAGGTGGATGGGGAGAATGATACTCTTGCACAGTGCGCTCAGATGGCTGCAAATTACAGGTTCAGCGAGGTTCTACAACACCGATCTATAGAGAAATTGTGTTGCAGTGTGTTCCACGCAGGTATTGCTAACAACTTCGTCCGGGAAATCCTCCTTCTTGGGTCGTCCCGCCAAATTCAAAGTCACTAATACACAGTTTTCGAACTCAGCGGCTACGCATACGCATAGCACACAGCCAAAAGAACTCTCACACCTCACACCAGTTCATATGTCACCTGCTCATATACTATGTGTGCATAGAATCGCACCTTTTTCATGAATTATTCAGCACCGGAATAGTCCTCAGTAATGTCCACATACTTTTCGGCGAGTAAGAATCCTTTTATCCTAAAATTAAGAAATCTCTCTTCTTTACTCCCTTCATTTATAGATCTACCGTCGTCGAGCTCTTATCGTTCCTAACACTGCCCTACACCGGCTCTTTCCTCCGTAGTCAAACTTTGTGTCACAACAAAAAAATGCAGCACTCTTTTTTTTTTTTCTTCGTGATTTATTTTTTTGTAATCATCTCGATCAAGAAGCTCATCGAAGCACCTTTATTAAGTGAATTATAGACAAGTATCCACTTCTGATTACATAGAACATGTCTACAATTACTCTAGATACATCGTATCCTCCGGATATACCTGCCAAGCCAACTTACGAGCAGAAAAGGTCAGAAACTACCGAAATAAATAAAGATAGAGATTACGACAACTCTAACAAGAATAATAGTAATGAAAATGTGACGACCTCGTTGTCGTTCGACCAAGTAAATGACAATGCAGATGAGCTCATAGAGTTGAGAGGAGAAGGAAGATACTTTGGAGTAACAGATCCAACGTCTGGTAAGACCATAAATTCGCTTCAAAACTTGGGACCGTTATGTGCCAACTGTCATAAGAGAGGTCATATTAGATCCAAATGTAAGACCGTGATATGCCACAAGTGTGGAGTGGTCGGAGATCACTACGAAACGCAATGCCCTACGACAATGATATGCTCGAAGTGTGGATTGAAGGGACATATTGCCTCTAACTGCACCAATAAGCAAAAGAAGAGAGAATACTGTAAGCTGTGCGATACCTTCAGCCATGGAGATGATAGATGTCCTAACATATGGAGATCATATTTGACATTACCGGGCTCTAAGGATGAAAAGGACTTGGAAACCGTCCTTCCTATAATATACTGCTACAACTGTGGAGACGACACCCATTATGGAGATGAATGTGACGAATCTAGATCTTCTAGGGTGCCAAACCAGACTGGGAGCGCATTCAGTGGATCCAACTTGCCGAGACACTTGAGAGATATATACTACAAGAGGATAAAGCAAGTCAGAAAGCCTGCTTCTTATGGTGGTGGGTACAATAGCTACAACAACAATAACAGTAACTACAACGGCAACTATAGCAGCAACTACAATAGTAACAACAACTACAACGGCAGTAATAATAACACTCAGAATACAAGGTATGGTGGAAACAATAATAAAAGCTCGTCGAGGAACGGATACAGCGATTTTAGTAACAAAAAGAAACCTTTTAATGGCGGGACTTCTAAATTTAACAAGGACTTTGTGAAAAGACCATCGCCATCTGACTCTGGGGTACATAAACCTTCTCGCTCTGGTGTACTTATAAACAAGTCCAAGAAGAAGAATGACTTGATTCCAAATCATACGCCCTTTAACTCGCCATATAATGAAGGAAAAAAGGCGCCACAGGCTCCTACGAGACTGGGCATGCTTTTGTCTAGAAGACCGGATGGTAAGAGCAAGAATGAAAAGAGCAAGAAGAAGAGCAAGCTTAACGTTATACCAAACTACTAAGCGCAAGAAGAAGAGCAAGCTTATCGTTACACCAAACTTCTGAACGCAAGATGAAGAGCAAGCTTGACGTTATACTACTAAGCCCAACTGTATATAAGTACATAAGCCTACGAAACCAATAATAGAACTGCATAGTACAGAGTAATGTAAGAATAATGTAGAATCGATTGATGGCCGCAGTTCCTGCGAGACTGTGATTACCACAGCAACAAGGACGAGTAATGAAGAGCAAGAATGGCCTTATGATACCTTACCTAATACAATTGAGAAAGGCTGCATACATCGTAAGTAGAAAGAGGAAAGAGGCCATATAATGAGTCTGCATATAGAACAATTACTAGTGCCCATTTTGAGCCATTCACGGGCCGATTACCGATAGAAATGCTAGGTAAAACTCAGTGGAACGTGTGAGCAAGAATGAGCAACTATGTGCAAGTATTAAGCACCTGTGAGCCGGTTGCGCAGTAACCTTCCGGTATGGGCACCAGTGCACTGAGGGCACCGCTACTGTTGTGGGAAAAATATCGGAAACAAGAATGCACAGTAAGCACTGCTTAACAACCAAGCCACCTCAAGGCCATGTCAATACCGAGAATTTAGGACCATAACGAGTCAGGCTCTGCTCCTCTTCTCTCCCCTCTCCCCCCTTCTTCCTACTAACTCAAAAGCGGGTCCCATTTCAGCTGGAGCATGGCAATACTTTCCGCCGGCGTTACAATCTCTTGATCTAGATACAGTAATCGTGAGCTGGAACGGGTTGCATTCTCTTTTAGGAAGGCTCATTTCTGTTAATGCGCGCCAGCGGAGCCTTCCAATGTGTGAGCCTTTCAGCATATTTGTGATGCCACAGCGGCTTTAACCTTTCCATATATTCCAAAGCCCTTTGACAGGCACTGAACATTTTCGCCATCTACTCTCTGTCTTATCTGATCGATCAGTTAACCGATCGGAGAAGTCGCATGTCAATTGCGACTTTTCTATTGCTTGGTTTCTTTCTTTTTTCTTTTAGAGTTTGGTAAGGATTACATAAGAGGTACCACCATAGGGTAGATCTACATTTATATTTATATACTATTTCCGCTGCATCTCGTGAACGCCCCATTGTATCACTGGTGTTGATCCAATGCGATAAAGTTGAAACGTAATATAGCTGTTTAATCTACTCATACGGAAGACGCCTTTATTTTTAATCACAAAAGCTATCAGAAGAATCTAATAATTACGCAAGACATGCTAGTGCTAGGTTTACTGTTTCTTAACGTGACTAGTATACATTACCCCAACGGAAAGAACCCCGAATATTCGAGATACCGTCAAAGTGTTACCGATGAGTTTGCATTGTTGACAGCATTACTCGTCTCGATAATAGTCGTTGTGGGTATACCGACGTGGAACTATGTCAGTCACAGATCAAGCAAAATAGTTGAAGCATGGAGTAGATTGAACTTGGGAAGATGGCTCTTACTAAACCAAGTGTCCATATTCCAAAGACTTCTGAGTTGGATCTTCTTTCATTCTACAAGTATATTCCAACTCACTTTCTGGTTGGTGGTGTTGTGTCCACTTCTGTTCTCTGAATTGAATGATGGTGATTTGATCTTCTTGGCTAAAAGATTGGGAAAGCTCCCCGTCGTTTGCTTACCCACTATTTTATTTCTCACCATAAGGCCAAGTCCATTGCCCAATGTATTGTACTTGTCATTGCTTCCTATCCACAAGTGGATATCCAGAATCGTCATTATTCAAAGTGTTCTCCACGTTATTTTATACTTGGGGTATTTCCAGCATAAGCATACTTGGTTTAAATTGTTTAAACTTGAAAACAACTATGGGTGGGCAGCTTTTCTTGGGTTCCTTATAATCATGATTACGTCCATTGGATCGTTTAGAGAAAGATGGTACCGAATCTTCTATTTCAATCATTATATATGGTCTTGGATTATTGTCATATGCTTACAATTCCACGCAAGGCCCGTTAAAGTCACATTTTATACTTGCTTAAACGTTATCATATTAGTGGGGCAAGTCTTGTATAGATGGAGATTGACAAGGAGAACAAAGTACTTGACTGATGTTCAAGTCATTGACGTTCTGCCTCAGATATCCATAGTTGAATTTCCAAACGAGGTGCTTTCGAAACCAGCCACCAACCCCGGTGCTCATGTAAGAATTGCCAGGTATGAGTCTAACATATTTAGTCGTTTTTATCTAGAGATAGTACCAAATTATCATCCGTACACTTTGGTTAGCTTACCACTGGACCAATATCAGAAATTGATCGTCAAAAAGGGAAACTTTAAGTTAGTTAATGATCAAAAATACTTGATAAGTGGAACTTACGATCCCCATTTATTGTTTATGGAAGAAAAGAAAAGGAATTCAGAATCTAAATTTTCAATAGCCAATATCAAGTCAAACGCGAGCAGGCTCTTAATTGTTGTTGGAGGATCAGCAATATCGTTTGCTATACCTATCGTTAGAGTGATGAGCTACCATGGGTTACCAGTGAAAGTAGTTTGGGTGGTTCGTGACTTCAGAGATGTTGTGTTATTAAATTATTTCAGTGATTTCATACAAGGAGATGATTTTGAGATCTTCATTACAGGGAACTACAACCATAATGAAATATTAGGCAAGATCGATGAACGTACAGAAACAGAAGGTGTGGAGATCGCAATTGACGATGGTTCTGATGATGAAGGTGAATGTTGTAGTGTATTCCCACCGGAGGGACTTGAAGTCTCAGAGGATGGAGAAATTGTTGCCAATAATGAGATCTCTAACAATGGAGGTAACAGTGCGACCGAAACTGATCCTTTACTTTCAATGAGTAGTAGCACTCATACTTTTGAAAGTAGGTCCATAAAGTCGAAAAAATCCTCTAGAAGGTCTTCGATCTCTTCAAATCCCTTCGAAATACCCCCAGAAACTTCCACATTTCAGTCTAATTTATACAGGCGTACATTGGTCAAACTTAACCTTGTAAATAAGATTTACCAAGGAAGGCCAACCTTGAACCATAGATACCACCAATGGTGTACCAATGAAAGCAATTTCACCCAATGCTCGGGTCCAATCGCCGTTGATGACAATACATTTATTTGCTGCAGAGATGTTCCGGTTGATAAGCATGGAAACGATTTGCCCAGACAAGATGGAGGTGCAAAAAGAGCCTCAGATACAAACTGCTGGGTGGTATCTGCTGGACCCAAGAACTTGGTCAGAAACACAGGTCTTTGGGCAAGAGAGAGTGGTTTAAAATTCCATGAAGAGTCTTTCTTCGTATAGTATAGGTAGATACGCATATCATCACTCGAGGGAGATGAAGAATAGAACGTCCTTGCCTAAATAACGTTGCAGGTATATGCAGCCATTTATTTTTTCTCTTTATTTTTTTTTTTTTTTTCTTTATTCTTTCTCGCTAGAATTTAGTTTAATAGCAGTGAAGAGCTTCCGTCATACCAATACCCAAAAAGGTTTCAAACATTTGGTATTTTCATCAACTTCCTCTTCTTCTCTTGAAACTTAATGTCTTATCGAGTATCTAGCCTGTTTTAGTAAAAGCTATACAGCCTAGTTTATACTGCTTCAGCTCAGCTCAAAGCAACTAAAATTTATTTCTCTGGCCCTGCGAAGTGAAAATTATACGAGCCTGATCCGCATCACTTAGGTACGCACTTCCCTTTTGGGAACTAATCAAAACAAAGAGTTGTATGGAGAATTCGATTCGATTGAATTTGAGTTTATTAGATGGCTTTACCAGGAGAGTCAATATTCAATTGCCAACGTAGTGATCTTGATCTCAAAGGGGAAAGACAAAAAATATAGGCTAAAAATAATTAAAAAATAACTGGAAAAAAAAAAGAGAAACTGAAGAAAAGAAGAAAAGAAGAAGCAAGCTGGCTAGGCTATTGTATATATAGGAGATTAGACAAAGTCATAGCATCGCAGTATAAGATAGATCTTCTTCGATTACTATTCATTTCCGGTGTGTATTAGTGAAAAAAAAATAAAACGGATTAAGTTCAATAGTATAAGTTGTGACTTCTTTGTCTTATTGTTTGATAAAGTAAGCGAGAACATTCTTAGAAGTGACAAGAAAGGACTGAAGCAACTATCTAAAGAGAGTATTTAAAAAGAGACCCTCTTAATTGCATTGTGCCCATTAATAGCTCTAATCTTCCTCATAATATGTCGATCGGAGATGATTACGAGCCGCTTGAAGTTATCGGGAGAGGATCCTATGGGATAGTTCGAAAAGTTCGTTTGATCTCGGATGGATCGTACCACGTTAGAAAAGAGATTGAATATAATTCCATGAATGCACAGGAAAGAAACCAATTGATCTCAGAGCTTCGGATCTTGAGAGAATTGAACCACCCTAACATTGTAAAATACTACGCCCATGATCATTTACCTGACAAGAAGCTGATCCATATTTATATGGAGTACTGTGACGGTGGTGATTTGGCATCAGTCATCGCAAACTTCAAGAAGACGAAAACTGTCGTTCCGGAAGAGTTTGTGTGGAATGTTTTGGTACAAACATTGTTGGCCTTGCATCGGTGCCACTATGGAGTAGATGCATCGAAAGTCAACTTATTCAATCAAGAATCCAACAATTCGTCAACCTCCGATGAACCTAAAATTAATAGTGATACTGTCATTATACATAGAGATATTAAACCAGATAATATCTTCATGCTTAACCAAAGCGAAACTCAAATTAAATTGGGGGATTTTGGCCTAGCAAAGATGCTTACATCTAAGAACGAGTTTGCCAAGACGTATGTGGGAACACCCTACTACATGTCTCCGGAGGTACTCATGGATCAGCCTTATTCCCCTGTCTGTGATATTTGGTCATTGGGTTGTGTCCTATATGAATTGTGTACTTTACAACCTCCCTTCCAGGCGAAAACTCATTTGCAATTGCAAACTAGGATAAAGATTGGTACGTATAAGCCAATATCTGAACAACATTACTCTGTCCATTTAAGAACAATCATCGATGATTGTATAACCGTTGATGTTGAATCGAGACCTTCATGTTTTGAATTACTAGAAAACTTACCAATAAAATTCTTAAGGAAAGAGATGGAGTTAAAGGAACGTCAGTCATCATTAAATGACTTCCAAAGGCAATTGCTTGTGAAGAACGAGGAATTGAAGAAGAAAGAATCTTTCATTCTGCTGCTTGAGAGAAAGGTCTTCAGCCAAAAGGATGATTTAGAGACTGAATATCAGTCGATGTTGAAGAAATTCAATACTCATAAAAAGAAGATTGAAGAAGAATTGATAGACGAATTTGAACTTCGTAAAAAGGCCATGGATCAAGAAGCAAAGGAAGTGAGAATAGGATATCAAAAGGAATTTAAATTGGTTGTAGAACAAGAGGTTCAAAATAGATTGAATGAGATCATGGATAAATTCAAATTGTATAATCAGCAGCAACTCCAGAACACTCAGCATCAACAGGTTCACCAGCAGGCGCAACTGTTGCAACAGCAGCTTCAGAACCAATTGCATATCCAGCAACAGCAACTAGAAACGTTCAAGAGAAATGAGGGCCCTACAAGAAGCATATCCACCGAAAGCTTCAAGCTGCTGCTGCTGCAACAACTGCTGCTGCTGCTGCTGCTGCTGCCTATCAAATTGAAGGGCCCCAGAGAACTAGAACGGGAACGTGTTCCGTTGAAGTCTCGTAACTATAACGATGCGGATGAATACCACTATAAAGCAACTGCATTACCCTCAGCACAGGTACAGCTACAGCCACAGCAACAGCAACAGGCAAGAATGCCAGGTGCCAACTACAGAACACGCATAACAGATGAACTTGAAAGAGTGAATCTCGAAAAAAGACATACACCGGAATACGAAGAGTTATATATTCGTAAAAACTTTCGTAATTAGCATAGCATGTAATATAAAAAAAAGAACATTTCTTACAAGTCAGAAGTAGATAGTATCGATCCAATATATCGTTTGCCTCGTATTATGGCATTATTCTAATTATTTGTTTGCAGATGGACTTTCTATTTATTCCCACTTCTTCCCAGTTAAAGCTTCATAAGCTTCAATATACTTTGCTCTAGAGTTGATTACAATGTCCTCAGTCATAGATACACCGTCCTTGTAGGCAAGGTCATTTGAGGTTAACCAATCTCTTAAAAATTGCTTATCATAAGAATCTTGGGATTCGCCGATTTTGTAATTAGCAGCGTTCCAAAATCTTGAAGAATCTGGGGTTAGCACTTCATCCACAAGCACCAAGTTATCCTTGTCGTCCAAACCAAACTCGAACTTGGTGTCAGCAATAATAATACCTCTCTCCTTTGCGAAGTCCTTAGCCTTGGTGTAAAGCTCAATGGCAGCCTTGGCAACCTTGTCGCACAATTCCTTACCAACAATCTTTTCGGCTTGTTCTGGTGAAATGTTTTCGTCGTGTTCACCTTGCTCAGCCTTGGTAGATGGGGTGAAAATGGCAGTCTTAAATGGTTCGGATTCTTGTAAATCCTCTTCGATAGAAAGAGTGTGAACGGTGTGCAGTTTCTTGTACTCCTTCCAAGCAGAACCCGTAATGTATCCTCTAACAATGACTTCCAAGGGGATAAGTTTCAATTTCCTGACTAAAAGTGCTCTACCTGAGAGTTGTGATTTGTATTTAGGTTGTTGCAATTCCTTTGGAAGCTTGGCAAACAATGCCTCATCGGTCAGCTCCTCTAAGAGTAAATGGTTTGGGATTGATTCCTTCAAGAAATCGAACCAAAATTCAGACAATTTAGTCAAGATTTTACCCTTTTCTGGGATCCCATTTTCCATAATAACATCATAAGCTGAAATTCTATCAGTTGCAACGAATAATAAAGTTTCGTCATCAACCTTATAGATGTCTCTAACTTTACCCTTGGCAATGAGAGGGAGAATGCCGTCTAAGTTAGTGTTTGTGAGAGCCATTGTACTGCTGTTTTTTCTCTGTTCAATAATTCAAAATGAGCTATAAAAGAAAGGAAAACTGAACAAGAAGAACAAGAAAAAGATAAGGCTCACTTGTTGGTTCCAAGCTACCTCATCTATTAATTAAGAATCATGATTCCATTGATTGACTCTGGAAGGGTTGTATGCAGGACTTATATTTTTCAATTCGCTTACGTAATCAGCTTGGCCATCTAGTGTCAGAGTGTATGGGGTATGATTTGAAGGAATACAGACATAGAAAGAGATATTGATCCCTGTCAAAGTTGATCGACTTAGTTCATTGCATGTGCTTCATCGATATTACGTAAGAAGGTACATCTTCAATTATTTTTTAGGTGAACGCTCATAAGCTTGTATGATTACTGTTTCAGGCTGTATGCAAACTTCAGGTTCTCTCACGTTACACCTCTCACTCACAGGAAAGGCTTCATTCCTGCATGTTTAGGTAGGCGAAGTTTCGGTTGTTAGCCTATTCCTTCTTAAGGTGTTAAACTGGTGCTTGGGAGTCAAACTCAGCGACGTTTAGGGGATTGCGTGTCTAAGTGCAGTCGCTATAAGTGCGTTCGTTATAGCTGAGTAGAGTATTGGCCTTGCTATAACTGGTGAACAAATTTCGGAAAGAGAAGGGGATCAAGTACCATATTAAAGTATTCTCCACAGTGCACGTGAGGAAATAGGGGGCCGTTTACACAGCATCTTACGCATAACCATGCTGAATTATAGGTTTTGTTATTGTCACAAATTATTTTTAACTTCCTATTTGGACATACATAGCCTTTAAAATTTATTATTCCTGAGAAATGATCTGTGCCAGCTTCAGCAAATGACGAATTTCAGCATTCAAACTTAAATATACCTGGTCGCAGAGCTGAAGTAGTTGATCCAAAATCTATCTGGCTTTGTTGGTTCGATTCAATTGATTTGATCCATAGTGAAATTTTCATCTTCTTTGGGTTTACCCCAAACTCAGTTATAAGGGTTGACGAAAAAAATAAAAAAAAGAAAAGGCTCACAATATGCCAAATTTAGCTTTATTCGCAGGTACTACTTCGACATGCAAAACAGTACGCAGCCTCACGTATGCATTTTTAACATATGAAACGTGTCGCTAACATTGAGGAGGGGCTAAGACGTCATCAGTATTTGCCTAATTGTTCTCTGCGGTCAGTTTTGGACTATAAATATGCAACAGTATGCTTAGTTTTAATTTTTCATTTAACTCTACTTCGCCAAGAATTTTTTCTTATTCTAAGCTTGTTGACACATTTTTTGACAGCTTTTCTTTTTTTCGCTACACTATAAATTTTTAACATGTTTGGATTCGGGGAACACGAACAAGTGTACGGTAATCAACACGAAGGTAAATTTTCTCATGAATTAGTTGCCGGTGCTGCTTCTTTTGAAGCTGCTAGAATCTTTGAAAACAGGCAAAGAGATGAAGGAAAGCCAGTTTCACATGCCTTCGCTAAAGAACTTCTTGCAGGAATTGCTGGTGGTGAAGTTGACAAGCTTTTCGAAACCAAGGGCTTAGACTACTTGGACAGAGACAAGGCAAAACAACAAGCTCAACAACAAGTTCAACAAGGCTACGACCAGCATTACGGTCAACAAGAACAATGGCACCCAAATCAAAGACCACCATTCGATTACCAAGATCAAAGATACAACTATAATTAGAGAGTGTGGGAAAAGTATATACAGTATATATACATTTAACATTTAAGTATGTATAGCTATATATAGCTTATAAATGGCTGAAATAATGACGTGGTAAATTTTAAGCATGTAAATATTAAGTATGCTTTTACGCAGTAAGTTAGGAAAGCAAAATACACGCCTTACATTAGGGGTATAATGAACAACGGACTGTTTCCAGTTCTCGAGTCTTAGCCCTTCCTTAGGCATTGCAACTACTCCACGCTTCGCAGTACCAATGTAAGTTTTATGTGCAGGATCTCGAAACATAAATAAAGAATCTGAAAATACGCGCCCACGCGCGTAACACCAAACAAACGTAGTAGCGATACATCATTGAGTAGGACTCATCTTCGGCCTACTTTTCTTTCTTCCCTTCTTCTCCTAATTATCTAAAGTACGTGTTATTATGTCGTCTATTCAACCCCAGTTAAAATTCACAGATCAGGGTGACGAAAGGCTGTACTTCAGAAAGTATTCTTCATTACCGGCAAAGGACAAATCCACTGTTCGTATTATCGAACACAACAATAAGGATTACTTCACTGTCCTAAATGAGGATGCAGACTTAATCGCAGATGCAGTCTATAAGACATCAAGTGTTATCAAGACTTCGACACAAAAGTACAGATTTGTGACTATTTCTCCTCAAGTGTTGGCAAATACTGTCATCCGGTTCTTACTCGTGGAGAAATCTTTCAAGATTGAATTCTACTCTCACAAACTGTTTCAACTATTGAATGCCGCTACCCCAGCAAACTATGAGAATATGGTCTTGGAATACGGTGTCAATTTGGATTCCATGCAGCCATCATTCTCATCCCCTATTATAGCCAGTATCAAGGTCGATGGTAAAAATAAGATTGGTGTGTGCTTCATTGATTTAAGTTTAAATAAGATTTCCTTGACAGAGTTTGTCGATAATGATTTGTTTTCAAACTTGGAATCGCTAGTGATTCAAATTGGGATCAAGGAAGTGATTGTTCAAAGCACCAGTGAAAATAGCGAATCTAGTGAAGCTAACAAGCTTTACCAAGTTCTCGAGAAAAATGATGTTGTCATTTCCTCCATCAAGCCTTCCTTGTTCAATGCAAAGGATATTGAACAAGATTTGTCGAAATTAATAACCCCCAGTGATGGCGCCAGTAGTGAAAAAATTGAGTTAATTCTTGGTTCCAAGGGTATTAATAGTATTGATTTCGGTTTGTCATTCCAGTGTACAGCTGCACTCATCAATTACCTTGGATTGCTTTCTGAAAGCGAAATTAAGGCATTTACCATAGACAAGTACGATTTGAACGCCTACATGAAGTTGGATCTGTCCACTGTAAAGGCATTAAACATTTTCCCATCCGCATCTCAAAATTCACCAATAGCCGGAAACAATAGTGGAAGCAACATAACCTCCATATTTGAGTTACTTAACAAATGTAAGACTCCTGCAGGTTCTAGGCTCTTATCACAATGGCTCAAACAACCATTGACAACATTATCCTCAATCGAAGAGAGGCAACTATTACTCCAATTGTTAATTGATGATACAAACTTGAGAATTTTCATCAGTAAGGATTTTCTTTCTCAGGTTCCTGATATTAAAAGGTTATTGAAGAAAATTAGCGGGGGTATTAAGAGGACTTCTACCAACAATGAAAACAAGAAATTAGAAGACATTGTAAGAATATATCAATTAATTATAGTATTGCCGGATTTAATTAATATACTCAAGTTAACTATTGAAGAGCAAGAACAACAAAAGAATGCCAAAGTAGCTAAATTGATTGAAGAATACTGGTTAACCCCAATTTCAAGTTACTACGATTCCCTTCTTAAACTTCAAGAACTTGTGGAAACTACAATTGACTTAAGCCCATTGGAGTATGCCAGTTCTACTAGCTCTGCACTCTTAACTGACTTCAAAATAAAGCCCGAGTTTGATGAAGACTTGATAAACATCAATGAGAAATTGGAAAATGCATTATCCACTATAAAAGAACATCACCAAGAAGTCGGTGATGATTTATGTATCGACATCGATAAAAAGTTGAAGTTAGAGAATCACCAGCAACACGGCTGGTGTTTTAGAGTTACTAGAACAGATTCATCTATTCTTAGACAAGCTAGCGAAAACAAGTATATTGAGTTGCAAACTGTAAAGGCAGGTATTTTCTTTACCACCAAGAAGTTAAGGGGGTTGTCAAACCTGTATCAAGATTTAACTCAAGAGTATAACTCTAAACAGAAGGAAGTTGTTAAACAAATATTGTCGATTTCATTGACTTATTCAATTGCATTGAATGGATTGTCAATGATTTTGGCACATTTAGATGTTATGAACAGTTTTGCAAATGTTTCTATATTTGCGACAATCCCATATGTTAAACCAGAATTGATCCCAATGATATCCAGCTCAGATGACATTAAAATAAGAAAATTACATTTAGAAAATGCCAGACATCCAATTTTGGAAGTCCAAGACGATATTAACTTTATTGGTAATGATGTTAAATTGGGCCAAAGTGGAAAACCTGAAGATGGCTGTCCCTTTGCAATTATCACTGGACCTAACATGGGAGGTAAATCTACTTATATTCGTCAAATTGGTGTCATTTCATTAATGGCACAAATTGGATGTTTTATTCCAGTTGAACCTGATTCAAAACCGATAGTCCCTATATTTGATGCTATTCTTTCAAGAATTGGAGCCGGTGATTCTCAATTGAAAGGTTTGTCTACATTCATGATTGAGATGTTGGAAACGTCTTCTATCTTGTCTACAGCCTCTCATAATTCCTTGATTATCATAGATGAGTTGGGTAGAGGTACGAGTACATACGATGGATTTGGATTGGCGTGGTCAATTCTGGAACACTTGATTAAGGAAATCAATTGCTTTACGTTATTTGCAACACATTTTCATGAATTGACAGAATTATCGAAAAAATACCAATCTAAGGTAGAAAATTTGCATGTGGTAGCACATATAGAAGAAAAAAAGAACGGTGAGAAGAATAACGATGAGGACGACATTACTTTAATGTATAAAGTTGAACCTGGCATTTCTGATAAATCATTTGGTATTCATGTGGCGGAGTTAGTGAAATTCCCTACTAAAATTGTTAATATGGCAAAAAGGAAAGTATCCGAATTACAGGGTACGACAAATGAGGAAGATTCTGTAATTCAAAACAAGAAATCTAAATGTAACTCTGAAGAATTTAATACAGGAATCACAAACTTAAAGATGATTTTGAAAGCATGGAAGGAGCAATGTGTCGATGCAACTTCTGGTAAATTTGAGATGAATTCTCAAGAAGCTGTTGGGGTATTAAAAGATTTGGTAGGAAACAAGTACAGTGAAATGGTAAAGAAGGATAAGTTTATCAATGAGGTCCTTACAATGTTGTAAACAACAAAGTGGAAATATGTAGCAAGCCAAATACATTTGAATATCAATTCAAGTGTAAGTACTCCGTACTCATATGAATTTTTCATTTTATTAATTTACCTATACCCTATATAATAATAAAAAAAAACGACAAGAGATTAAGTCCCCACCCACTAAATGTCCTTTTTATCCTTTGCAAGCGCTTCTCTATCATGTCTAGCTAATTCTTGAATGGCTTCGTACTTAGTCAAACCAACTTTGTCTATACATTCAACAAATGGTAAAAATCCAAACACATATGAAAATTTATAGAACCGGTTTGTCTTGTTTAGAAAGCATCTCAAGTACTCTTCGTAGATTATATAGTAGTACACACCAGTTCCGGTTAAGATGTGCCACCATCCATGGCCCTCCAACACGAATCCATACGGCATCCCCCAAGATCTTCTTGTCAGTCTTACAGTACTGCAAAAGTGAATATCTAAATTCCACAAGAAATATCCTAATAAGAAAGTCCAGACCCCTGTAATCATCACGGAATACAATTCCTTTCTCGCTTTATCGTCCTTAACGTGCTTTTGAGTCAAGTTAATCGACTGGAATATAATCCCTGCGTTTAGAATGGCATACGACACTTGATGTATAGTTGGATCTTTGAAGTAAAGATATACGCAAGTCAATGTGTTTGCAGCCAAGAAGATCCCGATACCTACAAAGACTGATTCTCTGGGGGTTCTGAATTCACTGAATACAGACCAAAATGGGATACAAGTTGCATAAATCATCGGTAACTCATCCAACAATTGAAATCTATACTGTAAGGTCATATGAAAGAGCCATGAGCCAATACCAACTAAACAAAAACCAAGGGTGGACAAAATAAATCTTAGTTCTAATTTATTCTTATAAGCTGAATATGTCGCAAACAATGCCAAAGCAATGAATACTGAGTTTGTTACAGTATTAAGTGCCTCTGCTATGTAAGTTGACACTACGTAATTCTCTTCGCACCAATCAATTGTGGATGAGGGCGGACCCCAAAAGCCATCCAATTGTTCTGGGGGATATTCGAAAGCGAATGGTAGCATATTAAATGTGTTAATGCCTATGTGTGACTAAACTACGAAAAAAAAATATCGTCACTAAAATAAAATCTGTAGTCTATTATTTCGAATTGCAATAATGTACAACCTTACTAATAAAATGGAACCGAACTTTTCTTATGATCTGATCTAAGAATGTAACTGTGAATAAAGTTAAAAAAGGTATATCTTCAGCGAATCAGATGAAGGGATATACAATTAATCTAGCAATTCTCTGGCTCTAAAACAATGTTCGTACTAAGTGAAAAGAAGAAAATAAAAAAAAAGAAATGATCCAGGGATTAAATTGAATGATTGTGATTTAGAATTAAGAAGTTTGGAGGTTCATGTGTATCCGGCAATTTTCGGCCATGCGTTTACATTAGATACGCATGAGGAAGCACATCGTGGCAACCGAACGTCAGTACTTTTCCAAAAAAAAATATCTTCCGCTTGGAAGCTAAAATTAAGGTACTGACAAGGAAGGCACAAGATTAAAATATGCAAATAATCTCTGTAGTGCGTTGGATTGTTGTGGGCTATATACACTTAATCGGTCTAAAGCAACTATTCCGGTTAAAGCATCTACCTTCTTTGCGCCACTGTAGGCTATTTATGCATGCATTATCGTGACATATTTGTCTCTCTGCCTGCACAAAGGAAAAAATAAAAAAAGCTGCTGCAGCACTATTTTCACACCTTGAACCATCTTAACCATAGTTCATCGTTCAATGGTCTTGTGGTAAACGAGTCTTCTCTGCACATTCTTTCCTCATCAGTATCGTTTGCTCCACACTTCCAACTTCCCATTTCAATTGGATTTCCAGGGAGGTATTTATCCCCAATTGTGTATTCGCTAGCAGGAGTAACAGCGCACCAATCTGGACTAATTTCTGAGCGGAAATTATAATAAAGGTTTGCGATTGCTAACTTCATCTCAATGACAGCCAAATTCATCCCTAGGCACATTCTAATTCCCTTACTGAAAGGCATCATATACTTTTGCTGGAATATCCATCTTTTCTTGTAATCGATGGCAGACTCTTCTTCAAATTGCAACCATCTCTCTGGGATAAAACAATCTGCGTCAGGAAATACATTCAGTTTTCTATGGGTAGCATAAGGCAGGCACGATATTACAATGCCCGCTGGTATGACTAAAGAGGTCCCATTCATTGGGTCGGCGACAGAATATGGCTTGGTCGTCACTCTTGGTGGAGAACCGGTGCCGGGAGCGTGGACTCTTAAATTTTCTTGAAGTACAGCTTCGAGGTACGTTAAGTTTTCGACAGCTTCCATATCGTCAATAATGTCATATGAGTTTCCAGAATTCTCACCGAAGGTATCTTTCAATTCCCTAACAAGTCTTTTCTGAATGTGTCCATTGCAAGGACGTGAAAGTTCATATGTAAGGTAGGTCAATTGAATAGCAGTAGTCTCGTGTCCCGCAAAGATGTTGTCACTTATAAAGCTGTATGCATCTTTGCCAAAAAATCCATTTTTATTTAATGTTTCCAAAGAATTCAAATTAGTGTACTTTTCATTAGGATCATTTTTCCCTCTCTTCGACTTTTCTGCCTGTTCATATAAGTCCAATTGCCATTGCTCAACACTTGCTGCAGCTTCCATTATCTTCTTATCAGCAGCCCATTCCCACCATGTAGGTATTAAAGTGGTCCAGAATCCCATACTAACTACCAATCTATGTGAAACAAGAATATGTCGATCTTCAGGGTGCACTAAGAGAGTAGATCCGTTCTCACTCCCCAATTCAAAAGCCAGAACAACATCCATTGCAAGGCTCGCAAATAATGAGTAAACATCCATTCCTAAATTAGTTTTTGATGAAGTATCAAACCATGCACCTCCATCTTTACATATATAGCCTTTACCAAATTCATTGTGTTCCGACCTTGCGTTGATGTAGTCTGGCTTTTCTCCGGTAACAGAAGTAATGTACACTTGATTCAATAGCTGGATAGTTTTTTCCCTTAAGATTGATCTTGTTGAGTTAGCGGGTGAATAGAGGGCACTGTTCTGGTAAAGTGGTGCCAAAATTCTTTTGTACTTCAAGTGAAGATCGTTTTCCAAAGTAGCAAAAATGTTATCTCTCGAACCATGATTTCTAAAATTCTCATAAAACTTTGACTTAGGCATGTTCTTAACATAGATGTCATAGAGGTGTTTATGGTCTCCATTAACACTAACTTCTTCCGGGCTAAGAATTACTACGTTTCCATACTTCTTATGAAGATCGTTTACTACGCTTATCCACTTATGAGTCCTTTGATCGTTTAATGCACGGAATTTACTCACACGATTAATGTATGGCCCTGGGACATGCCTGAGTGGTGATAAATAGAACGGATATAATACGAAATAGTAAAATACGAGACAAGCGAAGAGAATAGCAAATGCATTCTTTGGGTCTTCTGCGATAAAAACAGAAATAAATTTAAAAGTATCACCTAACATATTGATACTTAAGTTTTATGTGTTGCAACTTTCTTGTCTGTGAATAAAGTGAGACAAGATTATCGGTATTATATTGAAGATAAAGTTTAACTAACAAGATTCCTAAAAGCTAAGATCTACACACTATTTCACATAGCACCATTTGTGAGAGGATATGCTTGAATTTATAGTACATCTTGAGCTCATCTGTAATAACTGTGTTGTTATCTTATTAGATAAGCGTTTCGCTTGATATTTTGGTGGCTTGGCTAATTCCGCACTAATATTCCGCTCTTAGTTTCCCCCACATTTTTTAACTATCTCTGAAAAATTATGCCCTAATCGTACAATAATCGCATTTACGTTATACTGTGTACATTTAAATTCTAACTAACCAATCACGCATACTTGAATAATTGAGCTGACATGACATCACACTAGTGCAAAACAGGCCCATTATTACATCATTCCTACAACATCTCAAGTTCAGTAAGGCCATAACTAAAAGATATCAGCACTCTTCTCTAGGTTCTTTTCCTTTCTCTGCTTCCAATATTCACCGCTGAACTCCCAGTATGCGTCACCAGTAACTGGATGCTTTCTCTTCACAAACCAATTTGGTTTATAAGCCACACCTTTAGCTTCTCTTTGCTTCTTTGCAGCTCTTTGCTTTTCCTCTACTCTATGCTTTTCTGAAGAGGCCAAGTCATAATCACCATTCTCCATAGCCCTCTGATCAGGTCTTAGTCTAGTGTCACTTGGTGCTAACCATGGCTTCAAGTTGTCGTTATCATCATTCAATGTGATTGCAAATTGGGTCAAATTGAATGGAACCTTGGGCCTTGGAGCAGCTTGCCAGACAAGGAATTTGTTTCCACTATAAGGATCAGAGCTCAATTTCGAGGCTGCGGAATCACTTGTCTCAATTAAGGAGTCTCTTCTGTCACTGCTTGGAGTCTCGGTAACCTTCTTCGCGAAAATTTTAGAATTCCAATGTCCTCCAATAGCCCAATGCGTTTTTCCTTTGGCATCGGTTACATGTCCGGATAATTGGTAAGCTGAAGAAGCCCTCCATCCTCTTTGCTTCAAATCAAGAATAAGCTTATCGCCAGTGGTATGATTAGTGACTTCCATCTTACCAAAGTTATCGACAGTTGGATTACCAACAATGATACCCACAACAGAAGTGTTAACTTTCTTCCAGCTATACAATTCTTCTTCAACTTTGTTGCCATGTTTATCAATCACTCCATTGTTTGGTCTGACGACACAGAACATTTTACCCAAATGCTTGAAATCAAATGATCTACCTCTGAATTGAGAATCAACTGCATTTTCACCATAGTAGTCCCAACTTACTGATTCAGCACTACAAGCACTGATAGGTGGATGATGACTGACCTGTTCAACTATTAATCTGTATTTTTGATCTGGTCTACAGTATTCGAATGTTTCACCTAATAATGGGTTGAAAGGTTTGGCAATTCTATTAATAGTTGATGCGTACTCTGAAGCACCGAATGCAGCAACGTATACCATTCTCAATGTCGAATCATCACTCTGGGCAGCTGTATCTAAAAGAGAAGAGTATTCAATATCCTCAGCAAGTCTTTGTAATAAAGATGTACATTCGTTGAAAGAGACTGGTAAAGTCATTTTTGTCATATCTTTTCCAATCATTGACTTAAGGATACCCCACAATCCAACCTTCGGACGATTATCTTCATCCATAGCCAACTTAGTTCTGAAAGGTTTTTCATAACCAAGGAATGATCCTTCATCCATGATCCTAGTGAGTTTATCTTCCTGTGACTTAGTATGGGTCTTCTCGGAGAAATCCATGTCCTTCTTTGGATCCACATCTGAGTCAGTATCAGTCTCCTTATCAGTAGCTATTGTTGCTGGAGTATATGGTGGTGGGTCTCCTGAATCTTTCTTTTCCTTTTCTTTCCCTTCTTCAACGGTCTGCATGATTTGAACGTCATTATTTTGTTCAGTCAGGAGTAAATCCTTTTCTTCATCGGCATCAAAAAATTCGTCATCATCAGAATCTTCCAAAATCTCATCCAATACTTCCTTTTCATTGCTTTCAAGATTTTTGGATGTTTCACCATGGCCAAGTCCTATAACTCCGCCTTTTCCAATACCAGTAGTACCAACATTAACAGGGCCGACTGAAATGTTTCCCTCTGTGATATACTTCTTCAATTGTTTCTTTTGGCCCTGATATTCAGCCAACTTATCTTCTCTTTTAGAGATTTCGTCTTCTAATTGATGGATAGAATTTTCCCATAATTTGTTGATTTCCAATTGTCTATCTAATTTTCTCATTAACTTTGCATCTCTAGATTCAATGAGTGTATTATAGCTCTTGAAGGATTCATGGATGGTTTTCAACGTCAATGAAGCTACCTTGTATATTTCATCGTTAGAATCATTACTACTAGGTGACTTCTCGATCTTTTGAAATAATTCTAATAAGGAGGTAATACCAACGTCTAAGCTTCCCTTCAAAGTGGACACTTGGTTACTTAAATTCTCAAAGGCTAAGTTTGAGCTTTCAGAACCAGGTTCGTATGAATCTTCGTCTTCATCTTCACTTTCAAAGTCTCCGTCAGACTCGTAATAAAAGTTTTCTGCATCCGATTCATTGGTCAAAGTACTCTGTATATCCGATTTGGATGCATCGGGCAAGCCTTCCCTAATTTTATTTAAATTAGGAGAAAGTGGCGTCGGAGTATTAGCCTTTTCAAAATTGGAATTACCATTTTCGCTTCCCACAGACGAAACGGATGTTTGAGAACTGTTCCTTTTGTGTTTAGATGATCTTCTGCCTGGAATATGGAATAATCTTCTACCAGAACTGGTGGAAGCTTGATCATCAGTAGATGGTCTACCAGTAAAACTAGCATCATTTGGAGAAAGAGCAGCAGAAGGTGACTGAGGCCCTGCACTGCCTGTATTTCCTGAAGTGTTGACAGTAAGGTTGCTGGCATTAGGGTTCGAAGTAGGTCCCGGTGTCAGAGATTTGGCACCCGCAGCTACATTCGATTTCTCTTCATGTCTTAGTCTCTTTAAATTGTCTTTAGAAATCGTAATTGCGTTTTGTAAAGTCCAAACCCATCTATTGGTTTCGACTGGGTGGTTGGCTTTCAAATGCCATCTGATACCATTCTTGCCAATAATCTCAAATTTCAATTTTTCACTGCTATCAAGATGTAAATAGGCAAAGCTTAAGTTCAACGAACCTCTGCAGGCGTTGTTTGTATCGTCTTGATTGGTGTAATAACTCAAAATCCCATTGGAATCTAACAAAAAGTATCTCAATTTATAGCCGGAAGCAAAATTTGTCCATTTCCTCAAGTATCCCTTGTATGTGGGGCTGTTCCCTGCTTTAATTGCATTATTTGTGTTTATTACAGGATCCATCAAGTTACTATTTCTAGATGCCAGCTTCAATAATTTTTTCAATTGGTCATCTTTTTTATTGGAAATCAAATCAATAGGCAATTTACCCCTCTTATCTCTCTTGAAGGGATCACCTCCATGCTTTAAGAGCCATTCACACATTTCATAGTCGTCTTTCTTGATGAATTCGTGCAAGACAGTGTTGCCAGTGTCGGGATCTGCACCATTTATGTCTAACAATTCCAGGGCTCTAGGGTTGTGAACCAATAATCCTTCCAAGGAATCAAAGTCTCTGTTGGAGAAAAATTGTCTTAATTGTATTGAGGATTTCTCCACGAACTTAGCTCGCTCAAATTGCATCAATTGAGCAATATTAGGATCACGGCACAATTCTACCGGTTGTTGCTTCAGCTTGTTAACAATGGTATCGTTGATATTCGGCAATGCCAACAAGTACTTGACCACATCACCTCTCGAGGCAGCTGCGGCTAAGTGTAATGGAGTATTACCATCAGCGTCCTGACTGTTCAAATCAATGTTGAACTTAGAGGCATTGGTGATCAAGTATGCTAAGATTGAAGCCGGAGCAACCTGAACTGCGTAGTGCAAAACTGTCTCCTTCAATACAGAAACATCTTGCGTTTGCGTGGTGTGTGGGGTTGACTGAAGTTCGTTCAAAACGGAATCAACCTTATGGGTATCACCACTTCTCAACGCATCCAACAACTTAAGCCTTAATAAAGACGCACTGAACGTAGACATATTGAGCTTGGTTCAATGAGTAGATGGTTATATATGAGTTATAGAAGAATAATAAAAAAAAAAAGACCAAGAGAAAGGGGAAGGAAAAAGAAAAGGTGTGCCCTCGAATGCTCTGATTAAGTAAAAAATCGAAGTAAATTGCAGTGGAACAGGCCAGGGAAAAAAAAATACAATTAAGGTTCGGTGTTCAACGGAAAGAGCAAGCAAGTGAAGAATTTGAGGTGAACACATGATAGAGCTACTTTAGGAACACGAGTCTTATATTGATAGGGAGGGGTGGTATGTGGGGGCCACAGGAGGCACTGGAGGCACTGAAGTACCTTTTTGCTACAGTATGCGTGCGTCTGGCTATCTGTCAGTGGGCTACATCTCTGCTTAATCTTTGGAGAGGGGTGCTAAATTTAGTGCGATAGCCATACTTCTGGTGAAAAGTACAATAGGAGCATAGGGCAAACACAGTTCAGTACTATTTTTCTTTTTTTTTTTTTACTTTTTTTATTTTTTTTTTGTATGCTCTTTGACGTTTAGCAAGAGTCAGGAAAGTTCTGATGTCAAGTGGAAACTGCGCCTCGCATAGAGTGGATGGTAATCGAAAATCAGCACCTCCTTATATTCTGGGAATACGAAGGAAACTACCTAAATTCAGTTCCCCAGTATATGGTCCGCATGCCGCATGCCAGTTCGTTGGGAGCTGCGAAGTGCAACAGAAGTTGGGTCGCACCCAATATGACACCGTTTCATCTCTCTGGCTCGTGGCATGATCTGGGCTAGCAGTGTGGAATTATACAAGTCCCGATGTGGGGAGTACTGGGCCCTCTTTCGATAAATCAAGTCACACAAGCACTGAAGACCCCTCCCGCTGCAACCGAATGTCACTGTAGAAGCTGTTTTAGCTTGTATGCATAAACTGGGATGGGTGCAAATTTGAGAAGGAAGAAAAGCAATGTCCGTATGGAGCTGTGGTCACGTGCTCAATCTCAGGTGGAAAAATCGCCTACTTTGGTTCATTGGTGATGGAACATGAGCTCATGCTCTGTAATGCACCGATATTCTACTCACACCAGACTCTGGCTCATCCGTAAGCAATGGTGAAGAATCCAAAAAGGCCGTCTACAGATGGTGCACAACCGGAAAAGTCGAAAAAACCGAAGAAGAATGACTCCATCTATGAATCCCAACCCCCATCACAGACTTTGTATGTGAAAAACATAAACGATAAGATCAATATACACACCGTCAAGCATCTGCTCTATCTCCTTTTTCTGACGTACGGAGATGTTGTTGATATAGTGTTGAACTACAAAGTCCACTCAATGCGTGGTCAAGCTCATATTATATTTGGAAATATACAATCGTCTATAATTGCAATGAGATCGTTGCAGAATTTCAAGTTTTTTGAGAAGGAGCTCCAGATCCAGTACTCCAAATCCCCATCCAAGATAATAACATCTACAGATGAAGCACATGGTAGTGAGGATGCTTTACCTCTAGCCGTTGAAGCAGTCTAGTCTATGTTTTTTTACTATATATCTATTTTATACCAAATTCAACTCACCTTGAGTGCCCCCTCCAATCCATTTTGCACACAGTCTGGCAAACCAATCCCACTGCCAAACGCCATTCCTCCGAATGAAAACTTGTTGCCTATCAACTTGTTGACACTATCGTGTATTTCTCCATACCCAACATTATATTGGGGGATACAGTCTTTATTGGTAACGAATGATATTAGTATCTCGTTGTCTCCAATCAGGGAGGGGTACGATGAAGAGCTATCATCAGTCCTGATGGTTATTCCATCTAAGTTTACGCCTAATCTGTGTTCAAGAACATGGCGAATCTTTCTAAGTGCTATCTTTGGGCTTGGAACTTCAATATCATTATAGAAATGTCCTCCCATCATTAGGGTAATCTTTGAATAGGAAGATGTATTCTCTTCTTCGTCTTTCGTGCTTTGCCTATACAACGGGATCAGATTTTGCTCAATATCACTGTCATAGATCACTCCAAGTAAGCACTCAGGATTGACAATTTTCTTTGGCACTAAAAAGCCAAACCCATGACCATTTTTAGGAATTAACGGTACATTTCTTGAATATATATTTACAAGGAAGATTGAAATGTAGTCAACTTTTTTTAGGGAAGCGGTGAGTGACGAAGGTGCATCAACTAACAACTTAGACAATTGTTTTGCATCGATTGTCGATCTGATATGATCATACTTAACATCAGTTTTTGAATCTCTCGTCTTTATGGAAGATCTGCCAAAGTCAATATTCTCGATTGAAGTCTCGTAGGATATGTTAACGTTAGGTTGGCTTTGTAAATACAGCGCCATGCTGTTTGGCAAAGTTTGTAAGCCATCTCTCAATTTGAGCATCGGGTATTTTTTCAAAGTTGTAGACAATTCTGGTAGGTTAGCATCTGGAGAGATCTCCTCCTGATATTTTTGAAGGGATAGAGGTAACAATGGGCCAGTGGGGTTGCTTGGTTTGCCTGTTCCTCTCTTCTCAAACATCCCTTTTATGATTGACCCAGAATCTGACTCCAAAGCAACCAATTTTGGTACTATAGACCTGGCACTGAGCTTGGATACATCTCCTGCATGAATTCCATGCAATACGGCACTGAAAATGTTACTTGTTATACTTTTAGAACCAAATCGTCTGTTCATAAAAGACTCAACACTCTCATCCTGGTCTTGACTAGGACCCTTTCTTCTAAAGGGTTCGCCCAATATTCCGGGGATCAACCCAGAACTCAAGTCAGAAGCCATAAACTTGAAGAATGACTTAGCTTTCCCATCGTCTGGTACCTGAATCAATTCATTTTTTTCACTCAATAAGTACTTCTTATTTGCAATAGATGTCTTAGGCATCACTTCTATTTGATCACCATGCCCCAATTGTTTTAGCACATCTACAATAAGTAAACTACCATCGCTTACACCTCTGATAGTTCGGGGACCTCTCTCTAATTTAATATCATCGTAGACAGTTTCAGTTCTAATCCATCCTCCCGGTTGTTTCCTCGCTTCGTATATATTTATATTAATGTCTGGTCTCAACTTGTTAAGAAAATATGCAAACGAAAGGCCAGATATCCCGGCACCTATAACAGCAACTTTACCTTTATGAGGAACTGTTTGAACAAGACTCATCTCCGCCAGGTAATATTCCTTCCTTCGTGACTTTTAAGACTCTAGAGGTAAGTAGCTGAGATGAAAAGACTATGGTGATATTTTCCAAACTGCTATACGACATTAAAGAGAAAGTCGCACCACTAAATATAAATGGGTGCAAATGCTACAGAAACTAATGGGAATGAATAAAATTAACATTAATAAATTCTATAAATTGCTGTAATGATGTATTAAGTACTACCCTATTTAAAATTATGATAACATAGTGTTTTCTTGGTTGAATTGCTCAGCAGTTACCAAAGAAAGATTATCGGTCTTATCCATCAAAGAGTCGACATTCGTTGTAGAAGAAAACTGTGTGGAAGTCCTTTGCAACTCTTCATTACTATAATTTTCCAAAAGAGGTAATCCTTGTGAAAAATTCAAGGTATTTGTAGCTGAAATAGGAATATCTCCAGTGTACGTCGTATCCAGAGTAAATAAACTGCTGTGCCCTGTGTTTACACGGGAGGTGTGTGGGCGAATGAGAGACCTTGGGTCATACTCATTAATTGACTCAGTTTCGGACCTGCTCCTCGGCTCATTATTAACAGAAGCTCCTATATCTCTCTTTGGAGTAATAGCCCTTGTTCTATTGACGGCTGGATCGGATATATTTGAGGCAACCTTTGAATTGCCAACTTCCTTAGAGATAGAATCCAAAACGAGTGCAGAATTGTTGGATTCAACAGTAGACACCTCTTGACTTTCTGACAGGGCAAAAATCACCGACTCATTGGTCGATGTTGATGTAGCAGATTCGGATTCATTCGTAGATGCGACCTCATTATTCTCTGAGTCGATATTAGGTGGTGTATCTAAATCGGAAATATTAGAAGCTGTTGACCTTGTAGTAGGAACTCCAAGGTGGTATGGTTCTTGGTTAACAGATTCAAGCGATGGTGTTTCTATTTCCGCTCCTTCCTTTGTAATTCCAGCAATGTCTAGCGGTGCTAGAGGAGCGAAAGAATTCAGTAAAGAAGACCTGATCCTCAGATTTTGGCTGGAACTGGATTTCTGTGGCGAGGTGGAAAGATACTGCTCCAGTGGTTGGACAATTTCGTCAATAGTATATTCTGAATATGCCGGTGCATCATAGGGTGGAATGGGGTCTATTTGATTCAAAGAAGGAATTCTACTAAGAGGATCAGTATCGCCAAAGGAGATTGACCTAGTTATTGGAGAAGACGATGGTGATGTTGCTTCTTCAAATGATGGTAATGTGTCTCTAGTTTCATCATCAATTCCTCCTTGTAAAGGTTGGATTGAAACGCCATTATGAGAAAATTGAGGAGTTCTGAATGTTACTCCACCAGAAGAGGAATCCTTTCTAGTCAGGGTGCCCGCCACTGCATCACTCTCAAATGAGAAATCATTTTCAAACTCATTGTATTGAGGTAGTTGAATACTATCATCTGCACATTTAGCACTTAAAAGGATTAAAGGGGTATCAACGACAACTTCGTAGTGATGAACCTTGAAGTTATCCTTTGGATCAGGCTTGGAAATTCGAAAACAAACTTGAAGTCTGTGATGAATTTGAATATGTCTGAAATTGGAATCCGGATACAAGGCCTTTGTAACACTAGTATAGCCTACACGAGAATTTTCCTTTCCTCCTGCTCCAGGAGTTACATCTTCTCCCATAATTATTGAGTGATCCGGAGTAAAATATTGCTCGGAACCTTCATTCCTATGGGAATGACCACTTGAACCAGCTGTTGAATCAAGATTAAAATCTGAAACATGATGATGCATGTTGGTCTCAAGAGATCCAATTTTTGGTGAAGATGGGAAATCAGTTGAACTTTGGCGCCTGTTGACATCACCAAGAGGTGTGTGGGGATCTATATTATCCAAATCATCATAAAGGTGGCTATTTTGATTGGGAGAACCTCCGCTATTTGTCACAACGGCTTTGTCGCTCTTCGTTGTCAAAAAGGGCAAAGCAATGTTGATATCTAAGGGTGATGCAATCATAACGTTTTCGTTTGAAATGTTCTTATTCTGGCGCTGCAGTTCTTGTTCATAACAACTGAATAATAAATTGTTATCAGGGCATTTAATTAATTCTTCCTTATAAGGATCAACTCCAGAGTTATTCGATTTGGCCTTGGTTTTCAATTCACATATTGGTACTATTCTTTCTCTAACTTTCCCTTCAGGTAGAATCGGTCTCAAATAAAAGGGATCTTCACTATCGAAGTCAATCTCCTTAGCAAGATTCTTAGATACATAAGTTATTCTTTCCAATACGTTGAATTTAATTCTTTTAATGACCACATCTTTTACTAATGGGACCAATTTGACATTGATCTGATGCTCTTGTCCAAGTGATACATACTTCTTGGGGAATGTAATAGTGTAGTGTAAGGAGTCGTTCCAAACTCTATTTACGTAGATTGGCTTGTCCGCGATTGAATTAGCAAAGGAAGGAGGAGTTCTAACCATTGGTAGTTCAAAAGACGAATTAACCTTTGAACGACGATTTAATTTATTTGAAATTTTCATAAATTGAATGCTAAAGCTGTGTCCAAGTCCACCGTTGATTGATGTAATAGTCGGTGGTATATGTTCAGGCAACACTATTGGCAAAAGGAATACATATATACCCGCCTTTGCAAAATATGTATCCTCTCCAGAGTTGCTATTATTGTTGCCGTTGTTGCTACCAAAGGAACCACCTACCAGGTCTGCTTCAACGCTCAGTGGAAAAAGATCATCAATATTAGAAGCTGATGAATCAGGGCCAACCAATTTATAACTTCTTGTCCTGTTCAACAAGTCATTCAATGTAATATCTCTTGATCTAAAATCATTAGAATTTGAGGTGTTAATGTAATAATCGGATTCTTGGAAGCAAGTTTTCCATTCCATATTCCCAATCTTGAACTTTTCCTTCGAGTAAGATTTATTGTATGGATCTCCACTCGGCCACATTAAATTAACAGATGATTGGAACTTAAACTTGAGATCCTTTACAGCATATTCCTTACCTAACTCTATAATTACTGCAAATGTGTGGGGAATAGGACAATCTGCTTCAACCTTGGAGTTGAGATAATTAGGAGAATAAAACGATTGAAATAGGCTATGGACTGAATCTGAGTGGTGCTGAATACGTTCTGCTTGATCCTGGCCTGCCAGTTGCACCAGCTGAGGTATTGATATGGGATCCACTTCGTTGAGTTCAGTGACGCTACTGCCTCTAGATCCATTCATATCGGGTCGACCGCCATTCTCTACGTCTTCATAGGTGAAGCTGGCGCTGCTGGCAGGTGGTAAATAAATACAATCATTGGAGTTGGCAATGTATATCTTGATAGATTTACTGCTTGTTGATGTGTTTAATGAATTATTAGCAATTCTTAAGTTAATTGGATTCTGTAATCCAAAATCTTGTAAAAACGAAATCAATTTCTTGGAGATAACATGCGACACCTCCTGTTTAATTAATGCCTTGGTGCTCTTTTTCAGATTGGAGCTGATTGTGTTACTTCTTGATCTGGAATTGGATCGCGATCTTGATCTGTTTGCGGTTAGCGACTGTGCTCTGAGTCTAGCGGCAGTGGAAGGTCCGTCGGTCTGGAGACCATCGTTGGCAGATTCGGAGATCATAATCATGGGGTTTGATAAGGAATTCCTTCGTTCACTCCCTAAACTGCTGGAAAGAGCACCCCCCAACGAACTTATAGAAGGGAATTCCAAGAGTTCTGAGGATGCTGACGACGACGACCGTCGGCTGACCTTGGACTTCAATTTATCTAGGCTGAAACTACGACTGTGCATGTTTCTTTATTACTGTACTGTTTCGACGAGGTCCGGAATGATACTGCAGGATGCCAAAATATTCTTCTGATTCACTGAGATTTACAGATAAGCTCCTGTGACTGATCTGGTAGAATTTTAATACAAAATGTTATCTTGATATAAAGTTAACGCTAACTTCTTATCCCTTTTCTCTTTTAACCGGCTTTTCCTCTATTTTTTTCCTTCTACTGAAACTTCGGGTGGTCGATTGCTGCTGTCTGCAAGTGAAAACTTCGTAGAGCAAGTAGCTAAAAAAAAAAAAAAAAAAAAAAAATTAAAAATTGCAAAAGATTAAGATTTGGGTGAGATAACACCGGAAAAAAATTGAAATAGATGACAATACCTTGGCCCAGAGTTAACCGTACTAGCCTCTTTTTTTAGTGTGGGGTGAGAACCTCTTCTAGGCTCTATATAGTAGTTCTTGAGACAAAGCTCTATCGGAAGCGAGGGCTGTGAAAGAGGTATGTATTTTTTAGTCTTCTGCGAATGAGACAAAGTTTTAAAGCTTACGCTATTTGGTGAAATCGGAGGCTGCGGAATAATAGGGGGTGAGACTTATCAGAACAATAGATGTTTTAAGATTGTGTTGGGACAAGTTTGACTTTTAACTATGGGAGAAACTAGGTGTGTGAATTGTTTAAAGTTCATGTATGAGTGATTTTTCTTGATACTGCAGTGAAGCTACCTGTGCCAATTTCATGATTGTTCAAAGTATCATGCGCTTGAGAATCTGTAGTGTTCTTTGCTTTCCTTGCATTTAAGAAAAATGCTTAACAAAGCTTAAAAGCAGAGTGATCTGCAACAAAAAATAAAAAAAAAAAAAAATAGAAAAACCGTCGATCACGCGTTTGTCTTTGACAAGGTAAATTATTAATGGAAAAATAAGATATCGGAAAGGAAAAAATAAAAAGGAATGGCCATAGGGAATAATGGAATGTTCTCAAAGTAGGTTACACTGCCCATGACGTTCCGACCGCCGATTAACATCCTTGCATTGGTAATTGGTCACTTACTGCTTGTTCTTCTCGGACGGGGCGTTGTACAGTTCAATTAGTTTTCTCGCTTTTTTGCCGATTTAGCTCAGATTATTTTCTCGGTTGGAGATTTATCAACGCATTTTTGCACAATTTGGCTTCAATGTTTCCTGTATGCAAGAAAACTACATCACTAATTTTTTTACCCCACCCTAAGCCTAGAAAATTTAAAACTCCGTCACCTAAAAGTGTACTAACTCCTTCTGGCTAAGCCTGAAACTTGATTTTGACTCGTGGCACACCTCCTACTGCGTCTCACTTTCGAAACTGTATGTGAACCATTGGTGTTAAAGCAAGAAAATTGAGCTTTACGTAATCGATGGGGTAATTGGTTCTGCGCGCACTGAATGTACCAGGGCAACGGTGTTATTGTAAGTCTTTATGCAGTTGTATGATTGCGTTATTCGCAGCTCCAGGCGAAGGCCCTTTCTGAAAAGCTACCGCCCCTCGCCCAACTTTAATGTTCTGTTCCATTAATCGCCGATTGGTGAAGACTTTCAATGCCCAATGTTAAAAGAGTAATACTGGAGTAAGTCCTTCCAAACCACCACTGTTCTCTTTTTACTTTGGCTATTTGACCGCATCGCCATGTACGCCGATCTTCTTGTTGCCCATCTGCTTTGTTGGATGTTATGCTAGTTCACTATGATGCTACTGCCTTCAGGTCTTCTATAACTATTTTCCTTTCTTCACTACCCATAGTGATTTTGCAATTTTGTTATATGTTTTACTGAGATCGGCAATTGAGTTGCGCTATTTTTCGTAAATCCCGCATATCGGCTCTTAGCTCCAGCCGTTCGAAAAATTGCAACCATTCAACTAAACCAAAGTACTCCAGTGACACCACCATCATCCAAACTTAAAAAGACATATTACTGGTTTAATTCCTATAAAATTGAGGTATGAAATTATTTGGAAGTATATCTAGTGGCACTTAGTGACTCGTATTTTTAAATTTGCTTTTGTGAAGGCAAGATGGATCACCAGTATTCTCCAATGCGTCTGTGCATATTTTCTTGTCTCACCTGTCGTTCTCGTTTGTTTCCATGCACATATTTTATCCTGTAGAACGTATCTGATTTGTGATGGACCGATTTCGGTTGCATTTGAATATGTTTTAAAGTATTTCCACGGAAACTGGAGATGTGTATAAATACACATATGTGGGGCGTATTCCTTGTGTATGAAACTCAGAACCTAGCGAGTAAAGTGAAATTTCTGACAAGATGAGTGATTCTGACTCTATATCGAGTGGTAAGGAACAAAGGTCTTATACAGGAGACAACAATCGTTCTACTCTTCAAAGAATAGCAACGTCTCAGTCTGCAATTCATAAAATAGTTTCAGCTTTGGAAGAAGGAGCGGGAGCACTTGGCGAATTAGAGCAACCTTATGACGTAAAAAGGGTACGTACTCACCCTGATATAAATTCTGTGCCTCATCCTGAAGACCCTTGGAGTTACTTGGTGGACAGTGATACCGGATTACGTATAGTTGAATTTGTTGAAAATGATGACAAAAATCCCAAGAATATTTCAAATTCTACAAAGTGGATATATACCTTTCTCTTAGGTTCAATTTGTTTTGTCGTTGCGCTCGGTTCTGCTATCGTCACAGGTGATTTGGAGCGTCCTAGAGAATATCTTGGTGTTTCAGAAGAAGTTATAATTTTAGCATCTGTCACTATGTTTGTGCTAGGATTCGGTTTGGGGCCGTGCATCTTTGCCCCCTTATCTGAAGAAATTGGTAGAAAGGCTGTGTATGCGTCTACGTTACTAATAGCACTTGTATTTATTGTTCCTTGTGCCTTGGCTAAGAATATTGAAACTTTATTGATTTGTAGATTGATTGATGGTATCGCCTTTTCTGCACCAATGACTTTGATCGGAGGTTCTTTGGCAGACATATGGCATGCTGATCAAAGAGGACAGGCAATGGCAGTCTTTTCTGCGGCTCCATTTTTAGGGCCAGTCATGGGTCCCATCTTTGGAGGGTTGCTAGCTGATAACTCAAGTACTTGGAGATGGACTTACTGGACCTTTTTAATCATCGCTTCATTCTTCTACATTGTGTTCATATTAGTTATCCCAGAAACTCATGCTAATACTATTTTAAAGAAAAGATCTAAGTATTTGAGAAAATTAACTGGTGATGAATCATACTCTACCTTAAGTGAGTTGAAAGTTAGATCTCTAGCACAGATAGCAGAAGAGTCTTGTTTGAGACCATTCATTTTATTAAAAGAATTGATCGTCACCTTAATTACATTGTACATGTCTGTTATCTACGGTTTGTTGTACATGTTTTTCTTTGCTTTCCCTATTGTTTACATGGAAGGTAAAGGCTGGTCTGCTTCGAAGACGGGGATTATGTTTATTCCTATTGGTGTTGGTGTTATATTTTCAACAGTAGTTGCACCATTCATTAACAAAGATTATAATAGAAGAGCTCAAGTATACATTGAAAGAGGTGAACTTCCGCCTGCAGAACTAAGGTTGATCCCAATGATGATTGGGTGTTGGTTCATTCCAAGTGGTTTATTTGCATTTGCATGGTCTTCTTACCCAAGTGTTTCATGGGCAGGACCTTGTTTCAGTGGATTCGCAGTTGGCTTTGGGTTCTGTACTTTATATAATCCGGCAAATAATTACCTTGTTGATTCCTATCAACATTATGCAGCTTCAGCCCTAGCTGCTAAAACTTTAGTGAGGTCCATATGGGGTGCATGTGTGCCTTTATTTACCATTCAAATGTACCATAAATTGGGGTATGAATGGGCAACAACTTTAATGGCATTTATTGCATTGGCTTGTTGTGGTATTCCTTTCTTGTTCTTTGTATACGGTGCTAGGATTAGAACATTTTCAAAGTATGCTTATTCGCCTGAAATGGATATGAAGAGAGATGTCGAAAATCAGAAGTAGAATAATCATTCGTATGAATTTTGAAATAGTTTAACATCTATGCAATTATGTAGTATATTTCTATATTTATTAATTACACATAAACAATAACCTGTTAAACTTTTAATAAGAATAGGTACTAATTTTATCTAGAATTGTCGTTAGTATTTCATCAATCAGATGATTTGTTATCGTTAGTATACCCGTATCTCAATGGAGAAGGCTTTTTCACTGAATAAGCGTTGATTTCTACCAAATTGTTCAAATCGAAGGCATTCGTACTTCCACTGTGTCTCTTCTTTAAGTCTTTCTCTTGATCGTTTTCCTCGTTATTCTCTGCCTCATCTTGATTTCCTGAATCAATCCCATCTACATCATATCTTCCAAGATAAGCACTTTTCCCGTCTTCCAAGGTAGAAGAATTGTATGCAAGATTAAGGATGTTGGATTTGAGATTATGCTGCATATTTGCAGCCAACATTTCGTAAACCTTAGCATCGTTAACGTCTCTCCCATTAAAACATATACTTGGTATTAAAGAATCTGTTAACATTTCCCCAATTAGCTGTTTTGAATTATCATTGTATAGCTTATATATCAATAACTTTTTCTCTATCGTCGAAGTTATGAATATTATAGGATCGAAGTTTGAATATGACGAAGCTTTATGTAGTTTACGCTTATAGTTCATATTGTAGTTATTTGGAGGAGGAAATATGAAGAGAGACGAGGAGATTGGACCCATCTTAATGCCATCGAAACAATTCACTTGTTGAAAAGTATGGAAATTGAGAATTCCTATTCGAGACATAGAATCAGAGTATGCAATGTATTGGCAATTGTTGTTTTCAAAAATTTGCACCCTTGTAATGCTGAATTGAGATAGGCGTATTTTCCTGACAGGAAATCTGGATCTAGATGTATCGTACACGAATAGCTCTCCAAACTGGTTACCACAAAGTACGAACTCTGGTTTCCCTGGAACAAAGGTAATCGATACAAACCAATTAAATGCTTTGTCTGGAAGTGACGAAGTATACGTATGGTCTTTGTAGGTAGTTCGAGATGACCAATTAGGGATTAAAGTTTTAACTTTCCTTTCATTGAAAATTGAAGTTGTGCGTGCAGAAAAGGTATCAACAGTAGCAGATCTACGATTCGTTCTAACCAAATCTGCGTAATGTCTGTATAAATGTGACAGATTGCCGAAGGTCGGAAACAGAATTGGCCGCATATTATTCATACGGGATTCCAGCCTGCCGTTCGCTTCTCTTCCATTAGAATCTCTATACCTACTAGTCGAAAATTGGATTATGGGTAATACTGGATGAAAACTAACTAGTACAACTTCATCACCATCACTGTCAACAAGCTCTTCACGGTAGTCGAGATTAGCAAAATCTTCATTTACTTCATTGTCACTGGCATTGTCATCGTCTTCGTCATCGTCAGCATCATTATTCTCTAATTCTTCTGCGGCCTCAACGAGATCTAAGTTATTTGTACTTCCATAATAGCTAGCGGATATGTTAGCATTTTGGATGGCAGCATCAGTCCTCTCAAACAATATAGAATATGATTTTAGCTCGTTATTCTTGCCCGCACATGCAACCAAGTACGAACCAGTCGATTCACCGAATTCGTTCTCCATACATCTGATGGTGAAGCAATTCACCGGCTTCTGGATCAAAAAAACCATATAACTTTCATTAGCATCGTCATTAATCAAGTCCCTAAATACAAGTTTGCCTTCATTCGAACAACTGTATAGATATCTCCCATCAATAAAGCCGATTGCAATAATCTGATCATTGGTGTTCATATTAGAGTGTTTCCAGTCCTTATACAACTTGTAACTCTTTCTACTCTTTTTAGAATCCTTTCCAGGAGTGCTTTCATGTACATTTTCATATAATTGCACTAAACCGGACTTTCTAGCTATTGCTAGGTATGACTTTCCCTGAAACTCAAAAGAAATTAATTTTTGTATGTAGTTTTCCTTGCCTTCACAGCAAAATTCACTTTTGGCAATAAGCTTCAACTTCTCATCACCAGCCTTAATTCTTACAACTAAAGTACAATTACATGTTAGAAAATGAATATAAAATATAAAGAATACCCAAATTTAAAAGTAGCACTAAAGAATAGATTCTCTATGTATCAGCAGTGCGTACAGATATTACTAAGGTGTGCGCTAGATTTCATTCACGTCCTCTATTTATTCGTAGATTCGAGTTTTCCTTACATACCTCTAAGCCCACCATTTGCCTGGCTCGAGAGTAGAATGTTCATGGCTGATACTTGAAGAAATGATAAAGCCAAAAACAACAAGAAGGTGTCAGGAAATATGTTGCTCCCTCCCCTTCCCAAAAAATAGAAAAAGTCCGGAGAATATGGGGTAAACCATAAGTGTATATGCAGGATGTATCCTAGTTCGGTCTCTACGCTACTTGGGGTATAGGTAAGAGTAAATAATCAATTAGTAATTCTCGTATTAATTCAATTAAATACATCGTATAGCTATTTAATTTTCTTTTCCAAGGTCGTATGTATGCTGGGGTGCGCCTCCTCTTAACGGTTTGACAATCCTAAGGTTTAATCCTAATTTTGGGGAATTCGCAGTTGATTGAGTAACCAACGGACTACCTAAACGAGTACTAAATTCATTATTGGTATTGTTATAATTACCACTTGTTTCAACTTCATTTTCATCAATAGAAAGCTCATTTGTAAAAAGTGACAGTAGTGGTCGATTGTTGAATACAGTTCCATGTCTGGGACTCATCGCTGAAGATGGGGAATGCTGTTGATGATGTTGATGTTGATGCTGCTGCTTAAGTCTATCTTTTATGTAGCCTAGCTTTGAGTCCATTGTTAAACTTTCCTTCAGCATTTGTACTTGCTGATCTCTAAGTATATTCTCAAGCTTTGAAATTCTCTCATTCCTTGATTCGATGATCTTGGTTGACATTAGTATATCCTCACTAAGCGTATTGTTTGTCTGTTCAAGTTCATTCAACTTATCAGAAAAATTAAGAACAAGCTTTTCTAATTTAAACAATCTCAGATCTTCCTCGTGAGTGGACTTTAAATTTTCCATTTTTAACTGAAGTATTGTCGATTCTAGTTCCTCAATCTTTTTGTCCCTTCTCTTAATCTCTAAATCATTTGCTGTCGTTACGGGTAAAGTTGTCACTGATGCCGCCTGTTGAATAATACGTGGAATCCTAGTCGGGGTATTCCTAGATGTAAGTGAAAGTCTTCTTGTAGAAGTAGGAGAAGTAGTAGAGTGTGTCGCTGTCCTTGGGGCTGTTGATCCGTCCTCGGAAATTGAATCTACTCCTACACTTCCCCTTAAAGATTCTTCTAGTTCCTCTATGTACTTTTTGTTTTGGTCGATTGTTTTCTGCATTGCTTCAATCTTAGCCTTCATGGCACTACTGCTCAATTCGGTGTTTATATGGGCTTTATTTTTTATTTTTTTAGCACTTGATCCGAATCTTAGCGTTGACAATGTTTCTTGTTCATTCACTGAAGACGGCGAGCAAGTTATTATAAGACATGTTCTGGAATTCCCTCCCAATGATTCTTGGAGAATTCTAGTTAATTTAGAATCTCTATAAGGTATATGGCTAGATTTTCCCTCGGCTAGCGAGTAAATTACATTTCCAAGTGCTGATAAAGAAGAATTGATTTTCTTTGCCTCCTCTAAAGTATGTCCAACTGCTCCAGTCTTTATTATTTTCTCACTTCCTGCCAAATCTACTAAAAATAAATTGCTGTTCTTAATCGTATTATCTTCAAGAAGCTTCTGGGATAGCTTGATTTGAAATATGGTATGAGATCTTGAAGACTCAACATTCACATTGGTCGATCCGACGACCCGCATTCGGTCTCCCTTCTGTAAAATGGACAATAACTCAGTTGATGATGATACGAATGCTTGCTTGAGTCCTTTTACGTATACCCCATTGGCTTTATCTTCATGTATTGTATACTTCTGAGGATTTCCATTTTTGGGCAGTAACTGGGTAAACAGCAGAATCAGGTGCCTGGGCAGTACCGGGTGCTGATGCTGGTCTTGATGTAAGCTTAGATTTGGACTGTCATCTAGTAAATCTCTTATTTGCTCCATATAGATTTCCATGTACAGAACACCTACAGTATACTCGATTTCGTCCAGGCCGTTACTTATGGAGTTGAAGATGTCTGTGATTAGCCGCGGGATGATACCGTCAAGGTGTACGCCACCAGTCATGGTAAACGATTTACCAGACCCAGATTGCCCATAAGCCAATATAGTACCATTGTACCCTTTGAAAAAATCATCAATTGTCTCTTTGATAGAATAATTGTAAATGTCTAGCTGAGAAGACGATGGATCAAAGACCTTATCGAATGTAAAGTTATTGGAGAATTCCTTAGTATGGATTGAAACCGATTTGTTGTCATTGTAGAACTCTGTAATTTGATTTCCATGTTTCAATTCCTCCTCGTTCGGTGGCCTGAATCTAGCAATGACTTTGATGTTTGTGTTTTGTATTTTAGCAGGAGGTGATGCTTGCGCAAGATGTTGACTGGCAGTTGGGGAAGTGATGTACACAGAGTTTCGATTTGAAGTAGTGGCTGTGCTGCCAAAGCTGTAGCTATGTCGCTTCGTGGGCGTCGAAAGTGACATCAAGGCGATTATTTCAGAAGGCGAAGTGAAGTCCCTTGTGGATTCAAAGTGTATTCAGCTAAGCGATGCACACAGAACGTTTTTGATCATTCGTGGTTCATGGAATAAAATGCGTAAGGAAAAAAAATACGAGATCAACCCGCTAAAACGAGACGCGCATTGATCGATGTAAACAAAAAATAAATGCAGTCTGAGACAACCGGGGAAGAAATGCAACAGAGGGAGACAACTTATTACGTACGAAGAGGAGCGAATAGGACAGTTGATCTAGAGTAGTGTCGCACTTATGGGCAGACGTCTATTTGTGGGTGAATTATCCGGTGTGGCTCGATTTTGCCAGTATGGTAGTGATAATTTTCACGTCTTTCTTCTCCCAAGGGGCACACTGTTTAGCTGAGGGTTACAGGATGTTCGGTAAAAAATACTTATTTTTCACTGATAGTCTTTGCATTTTATTTGTAAGTAAATGTTTATTAATATGAATAGTACCTATATATAACTTTGAGATATCCTTGGACATCCTACAATTGATATTAGGTTAAAGGTGGCAGACTCATTATTTTGGTAGTTGTATTCCTGCATGGCTGAGGCAAGGATGCCTATTCTATACTACCCTCCAAGCAGCAATATTCTTTCTTCATCTTATAGCCGTAACATTTCTTCTTTCTTTCTTCTTCATTCCCAATGGTGCAAATACGGTCTGCTCCTACACAATTCAATAAGTGTATTTTTTACTTAGATATGAGTCTCGCTACGATTCAGTGACTCCGGGAACATGAACCTTCAATCGGATTTGCACCCAAGCCGCACCACCGAATAGTGCTTCTGTTCTGACTCTGGTAACAAGATAGACACTGATCTGACCCGGCCACTTCACATACCCTATCTTATCTATTTTTCTTCTCCTCTTTTAATATACATACAAAAAGTGCCTACATGCTGCTAGGCTTTGCTACTTCCTTTTCATTTTACTCTTGGACACCACTAAATTATTGTCTCCGACCACACCTTTACTATTGAAAAGCTACACTAATGACTCACTGAAAAAATTTTTCCCCTATAATAAAATGTATGGTAAGTAACCAATAATTGAAAATTTTGTCCAATTACACGTGACTCATGCTATAGTGAACGTTTAATTTTTCTTGACTCAACTGGAAAAATTTCCAATATAAAGTTATTCAATCTGATCATCTCTTTAGAAAAAGGAAAAGAAGAAGGATTCCTTGGTTTAACTAATATCCATTTATTATATTGTACTTATAAATCATGTCTTCACCACAACAAATAGCTCAAACTTTCCAAAATGCTTTAAATATCAGCGACTCATCACCTAATGCTGTCTCCACCTCCCCAACCCAAAACTCGTATTTGCAACAGTTCGCTGGAGCACACAGAAAATCTATACTGAAGCCAACCAAGACTTTAAAGCCATTCTCTACCGGTGATATTAAGATTTTACTTTTAGAAAATGTCAACCAGACTGCCATTAACATTTTCCAAACTCAGGGTTACCAAGTTGAATTCTACAAGTCTTCATTGCCAGAAGATGAATTGATTGAAAAAATTAGGGAAGTCCATGCCATCGGTATTAGATCAAAGACCAAGTTGACCGAAAAGATCTTGCAACATGCAAAGAACTTGGTTGTCATTGGTTGTTTCTGTATTGGTACCAACCAAGTTGACTTGGAAACTGCCGCCAAGTTAGGTATCTCAGTTTTCAACTCCCCATTCTCTAACTCTAGATCAGTTGCTGAATTGGTTATTGCTGAAATTATTACCTTAGCCAGACAATTAGGTGACAGATCAATTGAAATGCATACTGGTACTTGGAACAAGGTCTCAGCCAAGTGTTGGGAAATCAGAGGTAAGACTTTGGGAATTGTGGGTTACGGTCACATTGGTGCCCAATTATCTGTCTTAGCTGAAGCTATGGGTATGAACGTTTTATACTTCGATGTTAACATGATAATGTCCTTGGGTAACTCTAAGCAAGTTGACACTTTAGATGAATTGTTGGCAAGATCAGATTTCATCAGTTTACATGTTCCAGAAACTTCAGAAACTAAGAATATGTTAAGTACTCCACAATTTGCAGCTATGAAGAACGGTGCTTATGTTATCAATGCTTCCAGAGGTACCGTTGTTGATATCGCTGCCTTAGTTCAAGCCATGAAATCAGGAAAGATTGCCGGTGCCGCTTTGGATGTTTACCCTAACGAACCAGCTAAGAATGGTGAAAACTTATTCGCTAACGAATTGAACCACTGGACCTCAGAATTAGTTTCCTTAAGAAACGTAATCTTGACACCTCACATTGGTGGTTCTACTGAAGAAGCACAACTGGCTATTGGTATTGAAGTAGCTTCTGCTTTATCCAAGTATATCAACGAAGGTGCCTCCACAGGTGCTGTTAACTTCCCAGAAGTTCAATTAAGAGCCTTGGACTTGGACCAACAAAACTCTGTCAGAGTGTTGTATATCCATCAAAACGTTCCTGGTGTTTTAAAGACTGTTAACAATATCTTATCAAACCATAATATTGAAAAGCAATTCTCAGATTCCAGAGGTGATATTGCTTACTTGATGGCTGATATCAGTGATGTAGATACCACTGACATTAAGTCATTATATGAACAATTAGAGCAAACTCCTTACAGAATTGCCACCAGATTATTATATTAGATATAGAGCCATAAACCCATATACAATGCAATAAAGCGACAATTTCAACAAAAAAAAAATCGAAAAGAGAAAAAAATTTGAAAATCAATATTATGAAGAAGAAGGCACTAAATAAATAATTAAAGAACTTAATAATGTACTTAGCTTAATATAAATAACTAACGATAATACTATGAGCATTTAGTGAAGAGTAGAACCAAGAGATATTATAAGAAAGGTGTCAACTAATGAACGTTAATGCTCTCGAGTGCCGAAAATGTGTTGCACGTCTCTTCATGCTTATGCCTTTAAATTTGTGTTCCTGCATATACTCCGGTCCGGGTAATTACAACCTCGAAATAAGTGGTGGCAATCACAAACGATGAACTTTCTCAAAATCAACGGAAGCGCAGGTGTTGAACCATCATAGACTACGTAGGAAAGGGGCAAAGTTAGAACTTGAATACTTTATTTTGACTATACACATATCGATAAATATCGATTTATTTTCTTTCTTTTGAATAAAGTGATTGATTTATAAGATCTTTTCATTTGATATGGCATTAGTTTCAGCGGCACCCTACTTGGCCCTACTTGGCGAAGAAGACTTGACATTGAAATCATATGCGTTAACTTCATTAAATGACGTCGTACATCAACTTTGGGCAGAAATTGCCAACAAAATAACTGATTTGGAAGATTTGTATGAAGATTCTCAATTCCCAGACCGTAAGGTAGCAGCGTTAGTTGTTTCCAAGGTATATTATAACTTGGGAGATTTCGAAGCTTCCGTGAAATACGCATTATTAAGTGGAGATCAATTCAACATTGAACTGGAACAGTCTCAGTTTATTGAAACAATTGTCAGCCAATGTATTAACCTTTACATATCTTTAAGACAGAAGGAGTTCACCACTGATGCTAAAGTTGAAATTGATCCTCAATTGACCCTTGTCTTTGAAAAGATGTTGAATAAATGTATCAAAACAAATGAATTCAAGTTGGCATTGGGAATAGCTTTGGAAAGTTATAGATTAGATGTAGTTGAATCCATTTTAAAGACTCAAATTGAAGCTAATAATGAAGAGAATGCCTTACAGTTGATTAACTATGTCTTGACGTGTTGCACTACAATTTCCATCAAATCAAATGGTAGTGTCACCGACGAGCAAGATTTTAAGTCAATCGTTTTGAATACATTAATAAACTTATTATTAACTCTTCAGAAGAAAAACCAAGACTTTTTTACCATATTTAAAATTATCATTCAATTGAACGATTCCAAATTAGCCATTCAAATTTTCAAGAAGTTGTTGTTACAAGGTGAAGTTTTGATTGCCTATCAAGGTGCCTTTGATTTGGTAAGCACCGCTTCTCAGGACTTGTTAGACAAAGTCATTGATGGGTTTAAGGCCGATCAAGAAACTGAAGGTGTGAAGGGTGTTAGTAAATTATTACACATCTTGTCTGGGGTCCCTACTTGTGATTACGATATCACCTTCCTTTATAGAAATAATAATACTGATATTAGTATATTAAATAAGACCAAGAACTTGTTAGAGGGAAGATCATCCATTTTCCATTCTGCTGTTACCTTTTCCAATGCTTTCATGCATGTGGGAACTACGGATGACTCTTTTTTCAGAAAGAACTTGGAATGGTTAGGGAAGGCAACTAATTGGTCGAAATTTTCAGCTACTGCAGCCTTAGGTGTAATCCATAAGGGTAACTTATCTCAAGGAAAGAATATCTTAAAGCCATACTTGCCAGGTGCCTCTGGTGCTCCCCATACCAAGGGTGGATCTTTGTTCGCCTTAGGTTTGATTTTTGCGGGACATGGTAGAGAAACCATAGAATATTTAAAGAGCTTCATCGACGAACACGGAAACAGTGCTGGAAATAATGATACAGATGTCATGTTACATGGTGCTTGTCTCGGATGTGGTGTTGCTGGTATGTCTTCTCAAAGCGAAGCTTTATATGAATCATTGAAGGTTGTTTTATATTCTGATTCAGCCATTTCAGGTCAAGCAGCCGGTTTGGCTATGGGATTGGTCATGCTTGGTTCTGGTAACGAACAAGCGATTTCTGACATGTTAACTTATGCAAAGGAAACCCAACATGAAAATATCATTAGAGGCTTATCCATTGGTATTGCATTATTGAACTATGGAAGAGAAGATAAAGCTTTGCCAACAATTAATAGTTTAATGGAACAAGAATCATCCATTTTAAGATATGGTGGAGTTTTCACCATTGCCTTAGCATATGCTGGAAGTGGCTCCAATACTGCCATTAAGAAGTTGTTGCATTTTGCTGTTAGTGACCCTTCTGATGACGTGAGAAGAGCCTCCGTTATGGGATTAGGTTTTGTCTTGATAAGTGATTATCAATCAGTTCCAACAATTGTCGAATTGTTATCTCAATCTCATAATCCACATGTCAGATATGGATCAGCAATGGCTCTTGGAATTTCTTGTGCAGGACGTAACTTATCATCGGCCATCAAGATCTTGGAGCCTTTGGCTAAGGATCCTGTTGATTTTGTTAGACAAGGTGCATTAATGGCTATAGCCATGGTTTTAATCCAAGCTAATGAAGTAACTACTCCAAAGGTAAAGACATTTACGAAGTTATTTGCTGATACCATTAAGAATAAGCATGAAGATGCATTAGCAAAATTTGGTGCTACTTTAGCGCAAGGTATTATAGATGCAGGTGGTAGAAATGTTACTATCAACTTGGAAAACACACAAACTAATACTTTGAATACCAAGGCTATTGTAGGATTGACAGTATTTGTGCAATCATGGTATTGGTTCCCATTAGCTCACTTTTTATCTTTGTCGTTTGCACCAACTGCTATCATTGGTGTCAAGGAAGACTTGAAGATTCCTACTTTTGAAATTAATTGCCACACAAAACCAGAATTATTCCAATATCCGCCAAAGATTGAAGAATCCAAAGAAAAGCAGCCTGATAAGATTGCCACTGCAGTTTTATCTACCACTAACAGAGCAAAAGCGAGAGCTATCAAGAAAAAGAAGTCTCAAGAAGGAGATGAGGAAGAAGAGGATAAAATGGAAATCGAGCAAGAAAAGGAAGATGCTAAGAAAGATGAAACTGATAAGGAAGAAAGCAAGAAGGAAGAAAAAAAATCGACTCCTAATGAAGATGAAGTGCCAACTATTCGTTATAGCAAGGTTCCATATAAGGTTGGCAACTTGACAAGAGTCTTACCTGTTCAATCTAACTACATATCTTTCATTAAAGATGATAGGTTTATTCCAGCTAGAAAGTTCAAGGGGAGTAGTGGCATAATTGTCTTAGAAGATACGAAGCCTGATGAAAAGGTTGATATTATCAAAACTGTTAGACAATTGAATATAACTGAAGCTCCAATTCCAGAACCTTTTACCTTAAGTGGGGAAGATTTAGAAGATGAAGAAGATTAGCTCTAAGTATAGAATTACAGAGAAAGAATATTTAAAAAATCCAACGAAATAAACGAAATTAAAATACTGGTAACCTTGTGGGTTATGTCATTGTAAAAAATGCTCTTTGGTAGCAGGTCCCTGGAGGTCCTGTGTTCCTGCTAATTTTCAGCGCACGATGTTTTAATGGAGACACAAAATTCAAAAAAAAAATAATGAAGGATGCGAGGTTCGAACTCGCGCGGACACAGTCCAGTAGATCTTAAGTCTACCGCCTTAGACCACTCGGCCAACCCTCCAATTATTAAAAGCTTAATACGAAGCGCACTCTCACACCAGCTTACGAGAGATGTATCTTAGGTGAAATGTTGCTACTTTACCGAATTAAAGATAGTTGTATATGACGTAGAGCTATACTAAGTGGAGTATCCAGTGACGAGAAGGGTAGAAAAGACTTTTCATAAGATAATGCATTAGTCGAGTAAGTAATAGTAACTAAGCGACTTGAAAGTTGACCCATTGAGATCAAAAATTATTTTGCTGTGTGGTTAGAAATGACGCCCATCGCTTCAGTCAAAGTACTTTCTATCTCTGATGACTTTGTTCAGGATTCCTCCTTTACACTTCTTCATAAACTAGCTTCTAAGAGACTTCTTCGAGACCTTTCACTTTTGAAATTACTGCAAATAATTTCCTACACCCTTCAGAGGAATGTCCAACATTGATATTTCTGGGCCCATTACTCAAGCTAATCAGTTTGCACCAGCATATTATTAGGGGCTACTAGCATGGTGCTTCCTTGCTGACTTGCTCATAAAACAACCGAAAATGAATACCAAATTGAAAATGACCAAGTCACAAGGAATAGTTTTAATCGTCGTCTTTTTCGTCGTCTTTTTGTAGTAAGGTGCTGATGTGATCTCAATTTCACATATATTGACTAGGGAAGGCTGCAGTAGCCCTGTAGGAAGTAGTGATATTGTTGCATTACATACAACACTAAATTCAAGCTAAGCCACTCGCGTAAGTATACTTAGACAGTGTGTAAGTGCAGCAATTTCATAGTTGAAAGACATGGCAGAGCCCTTGCATTTGCTAAAAAGCGAGTAGTAGAGGGTGTGTAGTTGATGGTTTGTAATCAAGTCCTAGAATTGTAGTAGACTTTGAAGCTGTCCTTTCACATCACTGTGATACTCAGGGTCCTTCTAAGCTGTAGTCACTTACCAACGGTCATCAACTTAATTGTGGATTGTATCGGTCAAATGTACATTCACCGAATTGCTACTGCGTGAATATGTTTGTAGCCCTACATCAGGACGACAACGAATATTCTAGATATTCAGTATAGTCCCCTCTACGTTTGTTCTCTTTTATTGAATTTGAATATCAATTATCACTTCTAAATCGGGTATTATTAATATTTACTATTGTTGCTATTGCTATTATTATATTATCATTATTTATTACTTTTCTCCTCACATCAGAAGTTAGAACCTTGGTTGATATTTCTGTCTCTAACTCCCAATTCTCCACTTAAGTAATCGTCTGTAGTACCCTTTTCGTTCTTTCTCCAGAAAGTCCATCCGCTGTTGTCAAAATCCTTGTTGTTTCTTCTCTTGAAGAAGAAGAAAAGAGCAAGGGCAGCGAAAATGATAGAACCACCTACACCGACAACGACTCCGACAACGATCTTATTGGTCTGTGATAACCCACTAGATGATGAAGATTTGTTGGAGTTTGCAGTGGTGGCAGCAGCAGGTTCGGAAGAAAATACGGTGGACGTAACAACAACCACGCTTCCGCCTTCACTTGACGAAAAAGTCGTCACATGAGCAGAAGTAGAAGACGAAGAAGAAGTTGCAGAAGTCTCAGCGTCGGAACTAGTTTCAGAACTCGAGGCTTCACTCGAAGAGCTGGAACTGAAAACTGAGCTACTGGTTTCTGACGAAAACTCACTGCTTGATGAAAATGAACTGCTAGTGGCTGAGCTTCTTTCAGTTGAAGATGAGCTTGACGAAGTACTTGGGAAAACGAATGAACTTGTACTTGATGTGGAAGGTGCGAAAAATGAAGAACTCGATGAACTGGAGGAGCTTAATATGGAACTCGAAGTGAGAGAAGAGAACCCTGTTGATGAAAGTCCGAAGCTAGGAGTTTGGCTAAAAATGCTGGAGGAGTTGGTCGAATCCGCCCTTTCTGCAATGTCAACTTCATTCTCGTAGTGGACTATTTGAGCCCTTTTCTGCAAATGGGCTTCATTTGCAGAATGCTGTGACTTGGAGCTGAGGGACCCCAAGACTGTGTATGAAATTAGCGTTACCGTCATAACCGTGACGAAAATCTTCACGTAAATAAAACTTCTAAACATCTTTCAATTTCTTGGAATGTATACCCTTTTATTTCTATTATGAATAAGTTATTAATGAGTGGCTCTAAAAGAAACTGGAAAATAGGCGCTAATATGGCAATCTATCCTATGGGATGAAGAAAAGAAAGAAGGAATTAAAAATACCGAAGAGTGGTGTAGTTTTTGATGTCTAGCGAATTTTCTTGCATTTTTGCACATCACGAAAAATCAAGGCAAACATTTTTGTCAATAAATAATATTGCTTTTGTGCAGGACTTGGTACGCCAAAAAAATATTATGAAACATATTTAACGTCTTTAGGAAAATAGGGCTTCAAAGAGAGCTGAGCATGAGATTACTGAATGACAACATTGGAAAGAGAAGTACGTATGAGGGTAGATACTACTGATTATTTTTTAGGTACGGCTCTTTCTGGTGGTGTTTCTCTGTTCTTCTTTGTGCTTCAGTAAGTAGTGAATTGGCTTACGGAACATTTGCATTACATGGCTGTGCCCCTTTGATCTACCGAATCGAGCTATTTTTAGCCACTTCTCTAAAATCTCGAAGGAAGGCAAAGAGGGCAATGAGAAAAAAAATGATAATTGTAAACGACAAACCTTGATGACTAGAATAGTCGGGTCTTGATCTGAAATGCTTAAAGAGCTCAAAGGATGGCCCATATGATCTAGTTGTTGATGTTCGTTGTTTCGTATTATTAGTATCTGTTAGTGAACAATAAGCCGATGCAGCTTAATGCAGAATTTTTTCTCGAGAAAGAGAAAATTTTGAAACTTCTGGTAATTTAAAGTTCAAGTTAAAGTTCCATCACAAAATCCAGGAAAACTTAGACGATGCGAATGCATTAAACCGATGTGGTAGCAAAAAACGCTTAACCCAATATGAAACACTGTAGAAGGCTTTGCACTGATTCGTAATTGCTCATAAAATATGAGCCTTATTGTCACTTGAAATTAATGTACGGGGAAGTTAGGCGCTTAATAGCTCAGCCATTCTCTCACTTGGCACACACCTTAAATTTAGGAGCTCATGAGACTCCTCGTAAGTCATAATTAATGGATACAGGCTACATTGTCGCTAACCGTAGCAAATCTCTATGTATACATGCTTGCACAAGTATCTTGTTTTACTCTTACTAGACCGGACATGTCGACACCTCGACCGTAGCATGCTCTTATTATACCAGCGTTACCTCACTGCAGCATTGCTTAGATTAGACGAGCAAATAAAAAAAAGATAATGAAGGATGCGAGGTTCGAACTCGCGCGGACACAGTCCAGTAGATCTTAAGTCTACCGCCTTAGACCACTCGGCCAACCCTCCAATAGATCTTGAATTAGTTTATCTCGAAAATTCTATATTCAATACATGCAAATTGTGATTCCAAGACAAATTATTCTCATTTGAACCCAAATCCAAAAAAAAAAAAATGAGAAAACGTTTGAGGGAGCTGCAACTAGTTCGATAGAGCTGTTTTCAAGACTATATCTCTCCAAGATCATCTACTAACCTCATCTTAGCTCAACACTGCAACTAAATTGCTTTACTTTTCACTAGGATTCTAAATATCCGTATGAAGAATGAGTTTTCGATAAAATTAGTTTTCACCTAAATTTCCAAAAAAGAATAATGAAGGATGCGAGGTTCGAACTCGCGCGGACACAGTCCAGTAGATCTTAAGTCTACCGCCTTAGACCACTCGGCCAACCCTCCAATTAAATCTGCTTTTCATCTCCTCTGAAAAACCTGAAGGTGAGCCCTACAGAAAGGAAGCTAAAGTTCTTTCTAAAGAAATCTGAGTAACAAGTGACCCTACAGTACGAAATATAGCCTATACGCGAAGCACGTTGGCTTAATTTTTTGAATAAAACTATCATGATTTTGGACGCTTGTTACATATCGCTCTGCAATAATAAATTTTGATGTATGTTACATTCCAATTGATTTCCTTTCTACATATCTATTGATTTCGTTTATTGATTATCTGATGCTCTCGTAATCTGCTTAACTTCACCTTATTCAGGGTAAGAATATAATATTCATATTTTGTCGATAAAGTTTTGAGCTTTCGCATAGAATAGACTGTGTAGAACCATCTTGGGACAAAGAATGAAGAAATAAGAAACTACCCTTCTACCAACTTATTCAATCTTAGAGGTCGCAAGATAGAACTAAATAGACGGAAAGTTAAAAAATCATTTACGGGCTTCACAATCTGACATCAGAAAGCTTGACAAGTGAAAACAAAGAAAATGGTGTCTACGAATGGATTGAATAGCATCGTGCATCGTGCATCGTGCATCGTGAACCGAAATTTTCTAAAAATATTAATTAGAGACGTTATGCAAGTAACGCCTTACTCTGTACAACGAGTTAAAGGATTAATTCATACAAATTGTTTAATTCAAATGAGATGCGTCGCAAGCTGCCTCCATGGTAGATAAACTAATGAAGCACAACGTTTTCATCTTAGAGCAAAAATTACAAGAAAATTTTACTAGAAAATATTTTTGACATATGCAGCTCCTGCTACTGTTGCAAGCCGGCCATTAAATTTTAATTTGGAAACAAATGAAGTCTTTTAGTATCTAAGGTTAGATTAAAACAACAAGGATCGAAGTATGAGGTAAGACTTGAAAGAATTAATACTCACTTATAAGTTGTAGGTTAAATTTATTCATGTTGCAGAGGAACATTTAGAGTCGGAATTTTTAGTAAAACTCCCTTCTCGCTAACTTTAATTGAATTTTGGTTTTCGACTTGAGCGCAAGCCGCACAGTCGGTTTTATTGTAGGCAGCGAATTGGAAGGCCCGTCCCAGCTTCACAATTAAATTTAACTTCCCGCAAAATGTGGGGAATCTGTCAGAGGGAAGTACTTTCCATATCTGGATGGGGTTGATCATCAAAATACATAGCAATCCTTATCCCCACTTTCGAAGTGGAAGCATAACCATGAATATTGATGAATTCACGTTCTTCAATTTGACTTCAATCCGTTCCCATTCGAGTAGTATTTCATTCTTATCTCAGGTTGGTAGCGCACGTGGGTGTAATATGATTGCAAAGTATTGTTAAAAAGTAATGTGCATATGTAGGCGAAACTAAAAATCGGAAAAGGTTAAAATGTCGGAAATTCAATATTGGCTTATGACTTCATAGCGGGCAATTGCTGATAGCCATGTTACATTTTCAGCTGATCCAGCTTAAAAAAAAATTATTTTTTTGCCATGCTTACAACGTGGGTTAGGTATTTTATGTCATTTTTTCAAGAATACGTATATATATCCACCATGATTCTACCTCTTTCTTTGAACTAATATGATTCTTCACTTTTATTATTTTTTACACATCGGATACTTAAGATATTTTCCTAGGAAAAGCCAAGAAAAAGGTTAAATAATGTCTAGCTTACCTAATGAAAACGGTGTTGTAGAAGAGTTACCTAACAAGAATAACTCTAACGTTGCTGAATACAGGACTACTTCTGATGATTCTGATGGATCTTTGAATGAACCTTTCAAATACAATGGTGATGCAAGAAAGCAAAGACTTGCAGGTGGTACTAAACTCAAGGACATCCTTGTTATCTTTTGTGCTGGGTTTGCCTTGATTTCAGATGGTTATCAGAACAATGTTATGACCATGTTGAACAGTGTGCTTACTTTGGAATATCCTAAGGAGTACAATGCCTATATGAAGACAACGGTTTCATATGCCTCAACTGTTGGTACTATTTTTGGTCAAGTTGCTGTAGGTTTAACTACTGATTACATGGGTAGAAAGTGGTCAATTGTTACTGCAACTCTTTTCCTCATTTTAGGTACAATTATGTGTGCGGCTTCCCATGGTAAGACTGTTAACGGTTTACTTTGGATGTTAACTATATCTAGAGGTGTAACAGGATTCGGTATTGGTGCAGAATATCCTTCTTCTTCGGTTTCAGCCAGTGAAGCTGCGAATGAATCTGTTAGAAGAAGAGGTGGGGCCTTTGTCTTATGTACTAATTTACCATTATCTTTTGGTGGTCCATTTGCTCTTATTATCTTCTTAATTGTGCATCAAATTACTAAAGATCATTATGCCGCCTTGTGGAGAACCATGTTTGCAATTGGTGCATTTTGGCCATTGTCTGTCTTCTACTTTAGAATGAAGATGACCACTTCAGAATTGTATAAGAAAAATGCTATCAGAAAGAAGGTTCCTTACTGGTTAGCATTAAAATACTATTGGCCAAGATTATTAGGTACTTGTGGATGTTGGTTTTTGTACGATTTCGTTACATTCCCTAATGGTGTCTTCTCTGCCGGTATTATTTCATCTGTATTAAAAGGTAAAGCCGCAAAGGACTTAGATAGGATCGCTGAATGGACTTTATTATTAGGAATAATTGGGATTCCCGGTGTATTTGTGGGTGCATACTTATGTGACAGAATAGGTAGAAAGTATACCTTAATGACTGGTTTCTGTGGATACATTGTATTCGGATTGATTGTTGGATGTGGTTATGAAAAGATATCAAAAATTACTGGTTTGTTTATTGTTTTGTACGGTTTAATGATGTCTAGTGGTAACTTGGGGCCAGGTGATATGATGGGATTGACTTCTTCTGAATCATTTGCAACACCAATCCGTGGTACATGTTATGGTTTGTCAGCAGCCATCGGTAAAGTTGGTGCTGTTGTTGGGACTAAATGTTTCACACCAATTCAAACTAACTTGGGTAAGAAGTGGACTTTCATTATCGCAGCAATCTGTGGTCTTCTTGGTGTTTTAATTGCATACTTCTTGATTCCCCACTTAAATGACGAGGATTTATTAGAAGAAGATATAAAATTCAAGAATTATTTAGTGGCCAATGGCTGGGATGGTGACTTTGGTACTTCATCGGGACAAGCTCTGAGTACCGAATCAGAACTTGAAGAAGAAGAAGTCGTGAAAAAAGCGTGAACTTACATTTTACATAAATTGTGTCTTCCCTTAAACTTTATCAATTAATAATAGCAATACAGAAATCATGTAATTATACTAACATGTGTTTGACTCTCATGTATTTTCTATCTATTGATCGAATAACACTCTGTTTATTCGTCATCATCTCCTCCTACAGAAAACTTAGCGTATGTTTGAGGGATATCAACTTCAGCTTTCCCGTCTACTATATGTACTGCAGCTGTAGTGTCCACTGGAGTCGAGGCAACAAATTTAGCTACTGTAACTACAGCTGGTGGCCAACCTAACATGATTAAAGTCAAGACAGTCATAGCTCCAGTAGCATTCTTAAGTTGCTTGCTAAAATTTTCAACAGAAAAGGTACTGTTTCTAACCGGGACTGATTTCGCAGAGCGTAAGAGAGATTTACTCAGAGTGGTGGTAGCTAGCCTCCTGAGCGAAATTTTTGCCTGACCTTTAAACATTCTATTACTAAAGGCAGATTATTCTGACAAAAAGAAGGGGTAATAGAATTCAATTAATTATAGAACTAAGTCATTTTTATAGTATGAAGATTACTAAATGAGTGCGGGGAGGGCTCCTGTGCTATCGTGCCTGTTTCAGCCTGTGTTTTTAAGCTTTATTTCTACGTACAAAGCAATCAAAAATTGAGAATCGACTTGATGGGTAATTTGCAGCCGTCAAGAAAAAAGAGGAAATGTTGCGACACTCTCTATTCCCTAGAAATATAATTTCGGCTGTTTAACGAGATGTATAACGACCTGAGGTCTTGTTCGCTCAATCTTAATGAAAATTCAATTTTTAACACTGAACTAAGAGAATAACCATATCTTGATTGTCGATGATTTTAAATATTTGTTTCCCAATTAAGTTTAATTGAGTTAGTAGTGAGGTTTTCTTGCTTGCTCTCAATCTTCGTGAAATAAACAGTAAATATACATTAAAAATTGAAGTAAAGTAAAGTCCTATTGACTTTCATTAATATTCAAAGCTAAAATAACTAAAAAAATTCGAAGAGTAATCAGTAGTTGATAATCTTCAAATATATAATAAAACATTATAATGTAGGAAACTTAAATTGAAACTGTATTCATGTATTCATGTATCACGCATAATTTAAATTTTCAAAGCCTCCTCGTATGAAGGTGGGTTACCAGTGTATTCTATGGATCCCTTTGGATTGAAGGTTGCGTTATTATCAGAAACATCAACACCACTTTCGAAGGCCTTATTCTTTTCAATTTCAGACAATCCTAAATCATCTCTGGCAATCCAAATATGAGGTTCATCGTCATTGACAGCTGGATCTTCGTACGCAGTACGAAGGAAGTCGTCATGGTATTCAATGTAATTAAACAAACTAGCAGGCATCCTCGTTCTGATTTCATCAAATGATTCAAGCTTTGGATGGAAAAATTTCTTCAACCAACCAACTGGTCTAGCACCAGTGACAACGTTACTACTCTTTTTGACAGAAGCATCGTTAACCTTTTCTGAATTGATTGGTGATTTCGAATCAGTCGTAGAGTGAACATCGTGCTTATCAGAGTCATCTGAGTTGATAACATTGTTATCATTGTTAATTAAATCACTTTGAGGTAATACATGCTCTAATTTATCAGTTAATCCCAATTGATTGCCACCTTGCCAGTAATTCTCTCCTTCGCTCTTGATTTCTTTCCAGCCTTGATCGTACATTGGGTATTGGAAAGTTGAATCACCAGAAGCATACTTAATTGCAGAAACTGGAACAGTTTCTACTACTGGTAAGAACTTGTACTTGAACCAAAGATGAGCCAAAATAGTTCCAGCAAGTGGAACTGCTTCTAAAGCAACACATGCCCAATTCTTACTGAAAACAAACATAGCGAAGAGACATAACTCAGACAAGTAGAGACCAACGAACAACTGGAATAAAGATGATACGTAATTTCTACCTCTTGCATCATTCTTATTTGGTTGAAGCACATAAGTCAATTGGTAAAGGAAAGCACAGTAAATTAAGATAAAGGTAACAGCAGTGAATCCTAAAAGCAAAGGAGCGATCACTGCATAACACATAGCAATGGTAGTTAAAAGCTCATAAACAGGATAAAGAACGGACCAACCAGGTTGACCCAATGTGTGATAACGCTTCCATTTGGACCTTGGAGATGAATCCAAAATTTTACCTAAAAATTGAGCCAAAATCAAAGGAACCATTTGAAACAAAAGTCCCGAACTAACAGTTAATCCTTGTAAACATAAGTAGGATAAATAAAAGCTAGAAGCAGGTGGAATCTTTTCTTTCAACATAACTAAAGCTTCACTAGGGTTATCAATAATTTGTGTAACAGAAGACGAGGCAGCAGAACCTAAAGTTGTAACTAAGAACACTTGAACGACTTCGAAAGCAAAGAACCAAGAGTGGCAAAACAGTTCCACCTGTTGAACTGTGAGATTTCCACTAACTTTACCCATCTTTTTGATAAATGGAGGAACTAAAGACATCAAAATTGATAAAGCAACAACAGGTAAAAGACCGGTAATTAAACCAAGAAGTACACTTGGTAAGTTGTTGATAAATTTGAAAGCTGGAATAATCTTAATTAAGTTATCAACGTGTGAAATAGAACCAACAAAGGCAACAGGAATAGCCCAGAAAATGATCATAAGGGTCAAAACAGTATTTGCAAGAATCTTCTTAATCCATCTCTTTTTTGTTGTCAAAGGTAAATTCTCCCAGATAATGTCATTTGGTGCTACACCGGTGACTCTTCTGGTTAATTTGAAATCCTTGTTGTAAGGAATTGCTTGATAAGCCTTTTGCAATTCTAATTGAGTTGGGAATTCAATGAAAACAGAAGGAAGTTGAGCATTTGAATGGCACTCTAACTGCTCTTTCTTGATTTCCTTGTTTAATTCACCTAATCTTTCCTTTCCATAATCCAATGTATCAACCTTCTTACCGATTAAAAACTTCAATCTATGAGTCGGTCTCTTTTTACCGTCTTTTAAGTATTTATTGATGTCATCACTTGGTGCAGGAGCTTCTTTATTTTTTTTAACACACTTATTTCTTATATTGACAGCCTTTTTAATTACCTTATTAACGGCACCCTCATATTTTCCTGCTAATTTCGTTCTTTCTTTGACTTTTTCACTCAATTCTTCAAAATTACGAGCATACCAGACATTAGTGGCAGTTGGGAAATAGGTCCTCAACTCTGTTTCATCCAATGCTTTTTCAGGGAGTTCAGTTAACAATAATGTTCTTGTAGATAATAAGGAATCATACAATGGAGTTGTCTGGACTACGTGTCTGAAAGTAGTATAGAAGACCAATTCACGGTAGATCAAGAATACAGCACAACCATAGAAAATCCAAGACAAGAAAACCTGAGCAAAAGTTCTCCATTTGTTCTTTTGGTTAGCCATTGTAAGAATATCGAAACCTTTCAAACCGTTTGAGTTGGTAGCAGAAAGTGGGAAAAGAATTGGCCATAACATAAAACATCCCAAAATACAGAGTGCTCCAAAATTGAAAAGGAACCTAATGAAAAAGTAACCATCTACACCAGCTTGTTGGATGATAAATGATTCTGGTTTCTTGAGGACATGCGATAACCAAGAAAAAGCACCTGATGGATTTTCATCGGGTTGGAGGTCTTGAGGAACTGACTTGACAGCAGTTCTTGGTTCGTAAACTCTACTCTGCTTCTTTCTCAATAAAATGAAGAGCAGAAGGAAGACAACAAAAGTAATTAAAGTAACAATAAATGTTGTAAGGAAGGCAGACACACTTGAGTTAGATGTGCTTGAAGTTGAGCTTGCCATCTTGAAAAGTTAATCTCTCTTCTTCAATCTTATTCAGTATTAATTAATAAAGAAAGAATGCCCTTTTCTTAAAAATTTGATACAATCCGTTGAACTTATGTATCAATTGGCGATGACGAACAGGCCTTTGTTTGTTTTTATTGGTTTTTTTTTTTTTCTATTTTCTATTTTTTTCTGTCAATATCAAACAGGAGAAACAGATGTCTAGAAAAATTCGGGTTTCAAAAACCAGGGGTAATTTGTAAGATATAAGGTTAATTACTTATTTTTCAAAAAAATAAACCTTACAACTAATCAAAGGTATCTAGTTCTATGAGCACTTTTATTTAACGTAGAGAAAAACTTGAGAAAGAAACTTTGGCTTAAACCTGGGAAGGTGAATTGTATTTATTGTATTTCTTAAATCCCTGATCTATTCTTTTATGCAATCAACCAGCAATCGTCATGCGAAGAGATGTGAAACGTTCGAATTACACAAAAACTTGCAGCGCAATAGAGAAAACGCAGTTTGTTCGATGCGGCTGGGAAACCTTTTCTTTCCACAAGTGGGAACTCAATAGAATTGGGCTCAAAACCTGTCCCCTTCAACTATCAAAAGGCTGTGCAAATATATTATATTTTGCCCTAGAAAGTTCCTTCCCTGACGTCAATAGGCTTGTATTTGAAATTTTCTCTTCTGAGAATAGAGTATTAACATTAACTTGCTATTTGGCAGGAGAGAGGGAAGTCACTGTACTACTAAAAAGAAAAGGCTACAATGTGTTCGGCAAAAAGGCTTAGGGCACATATTTTTCTACTCGAAGGAATAAATTCATTTTGTATTGAAGTGGAAAATGAAGCTTCATCATTCACTGGCAATACATATTTGGTAAATTGGCAGCACGTATAATAAACATTAAAGCTTTGGACACGAAACAAATTGAAAAAAAAAAACAAGCAAAAAAAAAGTCAAAAAAAAAAATAAAGGCTAAAAAGACTATAGCAAGCTAAAAAATTATCTTCGATTAAAGTAAGTTGCCTGTGATATGCATCCTCTGAAATTTTTAATAATGAAACGAAATTTCTATCGTAAGTAGTCCTCGGCATGATACTGCATCTAATAGGGGAGATCCTAAAGCCTAAACACCTTTAGATGCATTTGCTTCTCCAGTCAAGCAATACGACAATACTTGTGTAACCGCACTTAAGCAACCTTGGCCCTTTGGGTGCATTTAGTGCATGGAGGCCCTTATTTCTAGACACTTCTACAAGATACAAAGAGTTGTAAACAAATTAAATGTAAATTAAATTATTTCTCTATTGAACCTAAATGAACAATAAAATATATGTAATAGTAAGAATGAGAACCAACTGTAACTTTTTTCATTCTACTGTTTCGATAGTTTTACATATCGAAGAGTATTGTGACATTTGTCACGTGAATTTTTCAGATAATATTCTGTGTAGAACTGAATTCAATTAGATGCTTCAAGAAGACTTCAAAATCACTCGCTAGTCTTAGTCGTACTTCTTGGAGGGATCCCAACGGGACGAAGGAAATCTTCATCATTATACAATGGATGGTCTTGATGGTCTTGATGGGTATCATAGTTAGTTTCCGAATCGGAAATGCCTGGTGGGGGTCCAGCAGGAGGAGCGATGTCATTGGTAAAAGCTACTCCACCGACATTATTACCACTTGCTGGAGGTGGGACCGATGTAATCGGTATTCCGTCTGTTGTACTTGTGTTTCTTCTATGTGCTGCTTCTGGCTGTTGCACTTCTCCATCAACATCTAGACCAGTTGACCCAAAACCAGTGAAAGTAGGACCACTAATTGAACTTTTCTTTGCTGGATGGAATTCTCCTTGTGCATCATAGTATCCCATATCAATATTGTCTGTAGCCTCTGCAGTATATGTGGGGACATATGCAGAAGTCTCGGGGTCTCTATTACGGTGCCCTTGTTGATTTTGAGATTGCAAATAGGAAGGTGGTGTCATCCACCGAGTACCATAGATTGGTTGTACTCCTGCCCTTGTTCTCTTTTTATTAGCACGAAGCGTTCCAAACACTACCACTATTATGAATACAATAAAGATTGCGAAGAACGCCCATCTGGCGCCACCGCTTGAGGTCCAGCCATCACCATAGGAATCCCTAGCCTTAAGTGCTGCCATTTTGTTCTTGACGAGATTTCTATTTTAATAACAAGTCTCACTTCAAGTCTTTGAAATGTTCCTAGGCCTGAATAAAAACTAAGGACTTACAGTAAAACGAGGGTAACTAAAAAAGAGGACTTTGCTCTTTTAAGTATATAAACCAAATCAAACAAAGTGTTGGCTTTGTTTAACGAAATTTTCTCCTTTATCAGACATTTCTCGGAAATACAGGATTTAGTGAAAGTGCACTACCTGTCATTCGCAAAGAAACTCAGACCTAAGAAAATGTTGCTAAGCAAAAAATCTTGGTTTTTCGAAGGAAAGTGTACGTTTGGTGCAAATAAATTTTGGAATGCTTGGCGAAGATTTTGATCTGGTGTGCTTGATTCTTGTGTAGCAATGGAGGGAATAAAAGGTAGAAAGAATGAAAATAATGAAGATTGAATGGGACCTACTAAAGTTTTACTAAGTTGCGGGAACGAGGACAGCATTTTATTGAAGGCTATGCTTTACTCCTTCAATGATTAGAAATTAAAGCCGAACCCGGTTGACTTCCAACTCTACTTAAAATGAAATGTGATAAGGTAATCGAATCGTAGAAGATGTCATCCTTTAAGTGCAACTGTTCTAGTCCTGCATATTATTTGTCTTGCTCCATATGATATGTCTCTTTTTTTGCAGCTAAATGTTTGTAGTAGATCAACCAACGCATTATAGTAGATCCACTTTATACTATGGGCTTGAAAAATGTCCCCGAAATCATTGAAGTAAGAAGAAATGGTGGTTCTGTACTAGTGAGCTTAACACGTATTTGGAATCAGTTTATTTTGGCAAAAATTGGTGGGAAAGAGACTATATTTTTGCTCAAAATTCCAAGTTCAAATAAAATAGGATATAAATACTCTTTTCTTAAACAACTTTCTCTTTCGAACGATAGTCATCTATATAAATACTCGGCTTTGATCAAAATAATAAGAATAATAAAAGAAAATTTAGCTGATAATATAACTACGACTGTTAGAGATATATACTATCGAGATGTAGTCTTATTTCAAAGAAATCAGATACATGCTGCAAAAATTATAAACGACCTCGCTTTCTCTTTGGATGTGACACCTGAAGATGGGCTACAGATAGCTCCAGGACAAAAAGGTCTTGTATATGGAGCTCTATCAATCAAAAATTCTCACGGGAATCTATTTGATTTTAATGAGCCTGGATTAATCCCCATTTTGACAACCAGTTATCTATCTGAGTTTAAGGTAATCAGGGGCCAGCCGAAAGCGATAATAATTTTAGAGAAGGAGGCGGTTTTTAAATCGATATGTAAGGAATTGAAAAATCAAGATCATAATTTCATTGTCATAACAGGTAAAGGCTTCCCTTGTCGATTAACGAAAAAGTTTATTGCGCTATTGGTATACCATTTTGCAGATATCCCAATATTTGCTTTTGTTGACTCAGATATTTACGGAATCCAAATTTGTGCCAATTATTTGGCTTCGATTCAAAACAATTATCATGATTCGGGGATAAATGAAGATGAGAAACTCTTGCGCAAGAAAACTTCTCCAGCTTGCTTTACCTACGCTGGTGTATTTTTGTTAGAGTATAAAACCGGATGGCTAGATATCACGAGCAGAGACTGGAAAAGGATGCAAAATTTTCTAATTCAGAGTAAGGTAAACTGTCAACTGAATGGTAAGTTGACAGAGGATATTCTTCTTCAAGAAGTCTCAAGAGGAATGATATTCCGTAAGAAGTGTGAGATGAACTGCATTTATGAAAAGTATTTAGACTATGTCGTCAAGAAAGTCAACAAGAATCTACACAGCGATTACGTCAAATTGTAATTGTTGTTGATTTTAATAATTTTCCAAAACATGGCTGACCATAAGAAACTAGATAAGAGGTTGCATCAAAGCAGGTAAAGAGGATCATAAATTGAAAAAGAATAGAATGATTCAATATAAATGGATCTAGCAAAATATATAAGCAAATGATTATAAGCATTTCGTTTTACGAAGCTAAAGTATTAAAGTTTTGGAGGATCTGGGACTCCTGCATTTAGTGATGTTATTACACGTGAATGAAACCCAAAACCCGGCGCAAATTTTATTTGGGCGTTGTACACGAAATTCTTCAATTTTGTGGGAACATTTACAACTTTCAATTGATGAAGCATTTTTACAATTACATTAATATCCTGGTTTATTTAACTTTTTATTAAGAAATAATGACTTATACCTCCCGTGCCCTTGGAGCTGCCAACACCTTAGAAAACAGAGTTTTCATCGAAAAAGATGGTAAGCCAGTTTCTCCCTTCCACGATATTCCATTATATGCCAATGAAGAAAAGACTGTCTTAAACATGATTGTTGAAGTTCCAAGATGGACCAACGCTAAGATGGAAATCTCTAAGGAAGAAAAGTTAAATCCAATCCTTCAAGACACAAAGAAGGGTAAATTGAGATTTGTTCGTAACTGTTTCCCACACCATGGTTACATTCACAACTACGGTGCTTTCCCACAAACTTGGGAAGACCCAAATGTTACTCACCCTGAAACTAAGGCCAAGGGTGACAACGATCCATTAGATGTTTGTGAAATTGGTGAACAAGTCGCTTACGTTGGTCAAGTTAAGCAAGTTAAGATCTTAGGTGTTATGGCACTTTTGGATGAAGGTGAAACTGATTGGAAGGTCATTGTCATTGATGTCAATGATCCATTAGCCCCAAAGCTTAATGACGTTGAAGACGTTGAGACCCATTTACCAGGTTTATTGCGTGCCACCAATGAATGGTTCAGAATTTACAAGATTCCAGATGGAAAGCCAGAAAACCAATTCGCTTTCTCTGGTGAGTGTAAGAACAGAAAGTACGCTGAAGAAATTGTTACTGAATGTAATGAAGCTTGGGAAAAGTTGATCAAGGGTGAATCTCCAAAGGGTGACATTGACTTGACTAACACTACTTTAGCTCAAACTGCTACTTACTCTGAAGCAGCTGCTACTGAAGTCCCAGCTGGAACTAACTATGCTCCAGCTCCAATTGATAAGTCAATTGATAAATGGTTCTTCATTGCCGGTGCTCATTAGTGAAGCTCAAATTTATCATTTATATTTGTTATTCAGGAATGAATGTTCTATTAAAATGCACACTTTGCTTCAAACTGTAATGGGAATAATTTAGACCCAAAAAAATATGTAGCTAGCTCCGTAGAAGAGTGATTACTAAGGTCGAAGGTCAGAGAACTATTTTTTTCGACAAAATATCAGCAATCATAATCTTCAGCTTATAGACATGGACTGTCTCGAGGTAAACATTGTAGTTAGTATAATTTGTGCGGAGAGTTAAATTACTAAATTTTTGAGAAGTCTCATAGACTATAAGTCTGACTAATAAGTAGGAAGAAAATCTCCGGAGTTATGGAGTTATGGAGTTGTGGAGTTATGCGCGAGTTTGACAGTATGTACGGTCCTAAGCCACTACTTAGTTGATTCTTCATAGCGAAAACATTACACATTATGTCACCAGCTTGTTAACAATTTGCGAAACGGGAATAATTATCTCATCATATCTTGCGAGCCTCAGTTATTTCCTCAGTATGAGCTTCGTTTATTTTTATTTCCTTCAGGATAAAAATCGGCTTATGATAAAGAGTATAAGATGACTTCGACTTCCTTCATTTCCAAAATTTCTTACCCAAAAACTCTCGCTCGACAAGCTTTAGTTCTTCATTGAATCAACTGTCGTTGCTAAAGTATTATCAATTGCAATTACTCTACATTTTTCACGAACTATGTCTAACGGAGCAGGTAAAACCTTTAAAGGTGACAACGAATGGATTGACTTAAAAGTAAAAAAGGAATGGTACGTCTCACCAAACACTAAGCACTTGGTCTTCGAATTGGAAGATAAGGACCATGTTTCCGGATTGATCACAGCTAGTGCTCTTTTGATCAAGTTTGCTGCCGAAAATGAAGATGATGTCATTAGGCCATACACTCCAATATCTGATATTGAAAAAAAGGGAGAAATTGAGCTTGTTGTCAAGAAGTACGAAGGTAGTAAGGCAGGAACCCATATTCACAACTTGAAGGTTGGTGACTCATTGTCCTTTAAGGGACCAATTGTTAAATGGAAGTGGGAACCAAACCAATACGAGTCCATCTCTTTGATCGGTGCTGGTACTGGTATTACTCCATTATACCAGTTGTTACATGAAATTACCAAGAACCCTGAGGATAAGACTAAAGTTAACCTATTCTTCGGTAACTTGACCAAGGATGACATCTTAATCAAGAAGGAAATTGATCAAATTGCTTCGAAGCACAAGGAACAAGTGAATGTTGTCTATTTTCTAGACACTACTCCAGAAAACTGGGATGGTGAAACTGGTTATATCTCTAGAAAATACTTAGAGAAGAACTTGCCTGGCCCAAGTCCAAAGCACAAAGTTTTTATTTGTGGTCCTCCGCCCTTGCTCGCATCTCTCTCTGGCTTTAAGGTATCCCCAACTGATCAAGGTGAAGTTACCGGAATTTTAGCCGAATTGAACTACACCAAAGACCATGTCTACAAATTTTAAATGTCACCACCAAAGGTGACCAAATGGCTTCGAATGTTTTGAATAGATGAAAAATATAGTGGACTCGTGCAGAACCTATTTAAAGAGAAATTATTTCAATCACATATATACGTTGTTGTTTGTCGAGAATTAGTATACAATTGTAGGATGGATTTTCTGACGTTGTAACTCATAGTAATATTTTGATCATTGTCATATAATGAGTATTGATCGCTATATACAATAGAAATTTTTCTGTAATGACTCGAAGTGGCTCCTGTTTTGTAGTACTCAGAAGAAGACTCAAATGCATCAAGTTTAAAGCAAATCGCGACAACTACCTTTCAAAAAAACTCTGGAAGAAATGAAAGAAAATTACTTTGCTGCATAGGCGGAAGCACGTTCCAGTCTTCTCTTTAACTTGCTTGTGTCTTTCGATAGCTCGATACGGGACTTGGAGGTGGAGCAAATGAATCAACTGCTTTTACATGCTTTCACATCCTTTGTTGAAAAAGGGTGCAAATTAATCGATGCTCAAAGTATGCAGGACACAAGAAAATCAAGCATTAACAATGCAACATTGCAATATATAGGCAATTCGTTTTCTAATGATGCTGTCACGGTGAACTAGTACTATTTTCTCTTCCATTTCAAATTGTCCAGTTGGTTTACTAGTTATTTATGGAGGTTTTCCACCACGCTTCTACAATGCTGACTTCAATACTTTTCCATACCAGAAAAGTACATGACATTCCGAGACCTCATTGATCAGTTTTCTGGAAAAATATTTGCATTAGCCTTAAAAGTTTCGTAGAAGAGTGATTACAAATGTGGAAAGTCAGAGAACCTTTTATCCCCACGGACATTGGCATTCAAGCTTTAACTTCAGTCTATACATATAGACGTTCTCGAGTTAAGCAAAGTAAACTGTGCTAAATTACTAATTTTTAGAAATGTCTTGCAACCGCACGGCTGATTAATATGAGGAAGAAAAAGTCCGGAGTTATGGAGTTAAGGGTGAGTTTCGTTATACATGTGCTCCTCAGCCTCAAAATATTTCTTTCAGCCCTACAATAGCCTTCTGGTTGGGAAATATATATATCACTGAAATTCATTTAGTTTCCTTCCACTCTAAGTCTTCTCAGTACTGTAATTCGGGATATGTCTATCGTTATCATTGGTTCTAACGTCGCTGGTATTACAGCTATTGGGACTATCTTTAAGGAAATTCAATCTTCTGGTCAAAAATCGAAGTATTCCATAACCGTAGTCTCAAAATCTAGTCATATCTATGGAAACCCAACTGCCCCACGTCTATTAGTTGAGCCTCAACATGCAGATAAGGTATTTTTTTCCGTCGAGAACTACTTGAAAAACCATTCAAAGGGAGTTAAATATGAATTTATTCATAGCTCAGTTGACAAGACTGACTTCAACTCAAAGATTTTGACGTTATCATCAGGAAAGGAATTGAAGTATGATTACTTGATAATTGCCTCTGGTTCACATGCGGAGAGCCCGGCTTTCAAGCTACATGGTGATTACCTCGAATCTAAAAAAGCAATTAAAGAAGTAAATAAATCCATCCAAGATTCTGGAAGTATCGCCATCTTAGGTGGTGGGGCTACAGGAGTTGAAACTGCATCAGAAATTGCCTATAGTTTCCCTAAGAAGAAGGTTACTCTTTTCACTGGTGCTGAGGGTCCGCTATCTGCCATTGGTAAATCAATTCCAGCATCAAAAAAATTAGAAAAGCTAGGAATTAAAATTGTGAACAAAAAGAGGTTTAGTTCGATCGACTCTACTGATACTGGTGCGTCTGTAATCACTTTTGCTGATGGTTCATCTGAAACATTTGACTTTTATCTTCCAACTTATGGTGTATATCCTAATTCTGATTTCCTTGATTCTAAATACCTAGATGATAATGGATATCTTATTGTTGATAAAAATTTAGCAGTTAGGGGCCATTCTGATGTAATTGCGTTAGGAGATGTTGCTTCTATTACTGAAAACTCTATAGTTGATATTAAATTTCAACAAACCAAGGTATTCACACAAACAGTGAAAAAGACTATCTTTAAAAAAGATGTGAAGTTAGTTGATTACTCAAGAGGTAAGACAACCACCTTAATTCCGATTTCTAAAAATGGAGGTGTTGGTTTGATGTTTGGCTGGAGTGTTCCAAACTTCCTTGTCAAGCAGATCAAAAGTAAGGACTTTATGATTTCTCAAGTGGGAAAAGATTATATTTGAATGCTTTTCTATTAGCTCTTTCTTATACAGCTCTTCAAATAATATTGGCTTATTGCCTAATAATTCAGTATTTTACAAAAATTGTTAAAAAATTTTATCCTAAAGAATTTTCTACATTTTCAGAATAAAACCTGAGATTGTAAAGTTTTTGAAATATATATAATAAATGGTCAAATACACCAGATTAACTGTATGCTATAAACTAACAATATTATTTCAAAAAGAATTAATTAAAATGAAGGATATTTTCAATAATATGCTTATCAGAATTACTCCTTAAGCTTCATAATGTAAATTTTTTTTTTAATTCTACCTTTATAGGATTCTCTGGAGTATATGATAATTTGATTGTTACCATAGAAACCGCGTTCTTTTTTTTTTACGTAAACGTCTAACTAATTCACAATACTTGTGATTTGTATGTTGAAGGTTTTTCCATAGCATGGACATCCATTCACAACTTGATGATCCGTTTGTTAGCTCAGATTTACTCTATTATAATTTAATTTCCTCTATAAATTCCAATGGTCTAACGACTTTTGATCTTCTAACGTATGCACATTCCTCCAATAGAGGAACGACAAGCAGCATTCTAGCAAAAAGGCTAGGAAGGTCAATAAGGGAAATCGATACATTTTTAGATATTTTGAAAGAGAAAGCAAATAACACTATAGAGAGCAACCCTATTCCTGTTCGGGAAACTGGTGATGAAAATAATGATGGTGGAGGGGATAATCAAGAAAGTGAACCATACTTGGCACCCACGGGTCTATTCTCTCTTGATAAACACTTAGGTGGAGGCATTCCAATAGGAGAAATTACTGAAGTATTTGGATCTAGTGGATCAGGAAAATCACAGTTTTTATTTCATTTATCAATGCATTGGCAGACGATAAAAGAAATCCGAAAACATAAATGTGAATGCATTTTTATATCAACAGAATCTCCATTACAAACCGGTAGACTAGAAGGTATAGCAAAGTCCATTCCTGGTACCCTGTTAGAAAAAATAACTTATATATATTGTCCAGATCTTGAAAGTCAGGATCACATAATGCAAACACAATTACCCGTTCTATTGAAGAATTCTGAGCGAAATTACGGCCTTATTATTGTGGACAGTATTTCACATCATCTTCGTAGGGAGGATGCCATCTCGAATGTTTCGTACCTTCGGACAAGTATTGCACAACAAGAGGAAAAACTTACATCTCTTTCAGGCTATGCTGGTATAAAAAAGAATATTGATACCCAATATGACTCATTCTTCAAATCAACAGCGAATTATAGAAATTTTGCAGCTAGATCCCGCTATTCAATTGAATTGTATAGCCAGTTACAGAAAATAGCCAAAGATTACAACCTTGCAATTGTAATTGCCAACCAGGTTAGCGATTCATTCGATAGTGATAAGAGGAAGGGTGTTAGCATTAGTGATTTTGACGATAATCATTTAAACTACGACGTGCAAGTTGCATTTATATCTGGTTGGGATAGAAAGACGGTGCAAAAGCATATACAAAAGCTTGACGTTTCACCAATGGCAAACGAATTGTATACTGACCTAATGAAATCTTTTGATTCAAGTAGAAATACAAGGAGAAAGCTAAATGAGACTGAACTTGATCCAAGAAATAAAAGCGCTTCTAGAAATCTCACCGAAATGCAAACTAGTCTTGTAAATGATTTACACCAAGAGACAGGGGGGAGTACGAAGAAATATGTCGCAGCATTAGGTTATCACTGGAGCCGGAGAATTACTACACGTATTTTATGCATGAAAACCTATAGGCCATCACTTCAAGCACCTGCCAGAGTGGACACTGAAACAGGAATGACATACGAGCAGCTATGCGCAGGTTTCGAAGTTCCCGCTGATGATGATCCGGTTCCAACAAAGAAGAGGTCAGATCAGATTTTCAATAACTACCAACCACAATCTCTTGCAGAATTGGTTGACAGCTGGAAAGTAGAAAGATTCTTTAGAGTTATTGCCTCATCCCATTCACTGTCTAAGAAAAATCACCACATAGATAACATTCCTTTCTCAGTTAATAGCTGTGGGATTAGGGAAGGAAATTAATATCAGAAAAGATCGTGCTCCAATGCAATGCTTGTTTGAATATTGAATAGGCCATCGAGATACTCGCTAGTAATGAGGAGAATCAACGTGCCACGAGTAGTGCGTAGTCCAAACAATGAGGGTGATATTTTGTGCGATCACAGATCCGAGTTAAAAGTTAATCATTAGTTAATAAAAACAACAAGATTATAGAGTGACGCACTTAATCTCTCTTGGAGCACAGACAACATAGGATACTATATATATATAATCACATATATTTTATGAAAATATAAGGAATTGGCCAATACATCCTCAGTAATTTGCCATGAAAGTATGTAATCTTGGAAATAAGCAAGCAGTGAAAGGTTCTTAAAATCTTCGTGAAGTATCAACGCACCTAAAGTAAATACAGAATAGGAACTGTAAAAGTTTACTATTCGTATGACTTAGGCTTAGTTTAGATTGTGATAGTACAAATTTTTAATACTTAAACCTAATACTTTTTCTTCCCATGTTTTATGTTGAACACGTTCTAACCAATTTAGTTTATTGATGAAGTCGATATTGAGCTTGTCAACCAGGAATTGAATTTCCACTCACAAGATAACAACCTTGTTATCCGTGGAGGATGTGAGCTATTTGCTACAAAACCTATGAGTACGGACTACAAATTGTTCAAGACTATTGACAAACACTTAGATCAAATTTTGGAAGATTCTCAACTTTCTCATTCCCTTGAAAGGGAACGCCAACATTCCATGAATTCTTTATTTGGAAGTAGTGCATCTCCTCCACCTTCAAATCCCGGGACACGAAGGGGAAGTTACATTTCAGAGCGCGACAGAAGGAATAGTGCTTCTCTGATAAATTTTCGAAGAAGCTCGTTGCTGAATCCTTCTAGCAATTCAACCCTATCCAACTCCTTAAGCGAAAGTGGTAATGTTACAGGTAGCAATACATCATATGATAATCCAGTATTTGACGAATCTCCTTTTGGCCCTTTAAAAAATGTGACCACGAGAAAAACGTTCGCCTACTTAATTGCGATATTAAATACTACATATCCTGACCATGACTTTTCCAATCTACAACCGTCTACTGAAAACTTCCACAAGGTGAATGGTCCTGAAGAATTGATAAACAAGTTTAACAATGTGATGGTATCGTTAGGGAAAAAGGAAGACTTATTGAATTGGATCTGGGATACAGTGAATCTGTATATGGACATAATTCCTCCGAAATCTGCGTCGAATAATGGTTTTGCCAGATCGAGGCATAATAGCATGAATGGAGGCGGAAACTACGCGACGCCTCTTTCACCAGCTGAATCTCCCCCGAATGGTAATAGTTTTGAAGGGTGTCAAATATATGAATTTCAACCTACCGATCAATCAATTCTTGAAGACTTGAATTATCCATATCAGGCAATGTGGTCATATTATTGGTTTATTTACAATAAGAAGAAGAAGAGGGTTTCATTCTTATACTTGACAGCAATCAATAAGATACATTATTCTCTTATTAATAACGGAAGATCTTCGTCATTTAACAGAAGGAGAAAGCTTAGAAGTGCAAATGGTATTCTGAACGTAGAAAGTGCCATCGATGATGACGATGACGAAGAAGAAGAGATGTACATGGACGACTACGTAGATGAAGAAGTGTTGATAGATGACGATGACGAAGATGTTGAGGATATGGAGGATGATGTAGTCGGGGACATTGAAATATGAAAAGATTTTCAGAAAGGTAATTTGGACTTACACTAAACAATCATCCTTGCTTTTGATAGGCTCCCTTGTATAACTATTTGTAATACGTTAGATACGTAAATATACTTATGAAAGTAGAATACATATGATATATATTCGCTTGGAAATTGCAGAAGCAATCTTCATTCGGATGAAGTTCTAGATTCGAAAAATCTTCATTGTATGTGGCTCTTTTAATTGTGCCCTGATAATCCATGAGTGAATTGCTCTTTTTTAATATAAAGTTGCTGTCAAAATTGTAAAACAATATTTCTGATATGTGAATTTACTACCTTGAATGATATAAAGCTTTGGAGCATATTGGACTACGACTACATCTTATAAAGCAGTAATTGCATTTGCATTTTCTATCTAGATAAGGAAGAAAAAGATAATTTACCGTATTGAGCGTGGGGGAAAAACTTCAAGTAGGTACCACGAGATAGAATCAGATAAAGCAATTTATCCGGTGAGTACTGCATATATTTACTACTTCAAATGCATGATTTGAAATATTGCTATCCCACATTGAGAATCTGCCTATAAATATCACAGCATTCTCCCCAATTGAATTGCAATCGTCCAAGAGTTGATACTAGAAAGCAAATATAAGAGAAATGTCATTAGCAACAACCAGAACTGCAACGTTAAATAATGGAAAGAAGATCCCACTTTTGGGATTGGGTACCGTTCCTTCAAATGACAACCCCGCTGGAGTAAAGGACCAAGTGATTGCTGCTGTGAAAGCAGGCTACCGTCACATCGATTGTGCTTGGTTCTATGGTACGGAAAAATACGTGGGCCAAGCATTGTCTGAGCTATTCAAAGAAGGTGTGGTTAAAAGAGAAGATTTATTCATTACAACTAAAGTTTGGCCATCATATTATCACAGCCCGGAAAAGTCGTTGGATGCATCATTAAAGGATTTACAAATTGATTATGTTGACTTACTTTTACAACATTGGCCAATTTGTTTGCATGGTGATGAGAACGGTTTACCAAGTATTCCAAAGGACAAAGATGGAAATATTATCTATGATGACGACCCGGCATCGGGAACTAAGTTTATTAGCGTTTATCATTCGATGGAGGATCTTCTTGACAGATCAACTAAAGTTAGATCTATAGGTGTCTCCAACTATTCCATCTCAAAATTGAAGCAGCTCTTACCAGAAGTTAAGAAGCATATTCCTGTTGTTGATCAAATTGAGTACCACCCTAAGTTACCACAACAGGACCTAGTCGATTTTGCACAGGAAAATGGAATCTTGATCGAAGCGTACTCCCCTGTTGGAAGTGAAGGTGCACCTGTTCTCAAGCTTCCATTAGTCAAACTGTTAGCAGAAAAGTACAATGTTACGGTAAACGAAGTTGCATACGCATACCACATTCTCAACGGAAGAGCAGCATTACCAAGATCCTCAAATTTGGAAAGAATCAGTACCAATATCAATTTGCCCTCGTTAACTAGAGAAGAACTAGATGAATTGTATGCACTTGGAAAAGAGAGCCCAGAAAGATACATCAATGATCCATGGGGATACGGTTTAGGCTTTAAATGGTGGAAAGGGGATACCTTATCAAAATAACTAGATCATAATATATAGTGAAACTCTATGTAACAAAGAAAATATAAGCAACTTTTGATCCTGTTGAAAAATATGTAGTCTCAACTACTTTACATCAGTCTAAAATAAAATGATGAAAAATATTACTATACTTTACATAATTTTGAACTTTCAGCACATCGTAGAGAAAAAGGGAGCTCTCCAAGGCTGATTGAAATTCAATCAAGCAAACGCGTCGAGGTATATATAAGGTGCATTTCCAGATGCTTTTGTCACAATTTTTGCAGCCAGCTTAAGAATGCTCGTGATCACGTTAGCAGAGTAACAAAAACAGCCATACTCGATGGAAGAAATAGAAACAGCAAAATGAATGAAGTGGACATTGCAACATGACAAAAGCTAAGTATATAAAGACCATAGCATAACACTAAATAAGTAAAAAATCAAGTGTACCACTTCCTTGTAAAAGTAATTGAGATCTTTAACATGCAATTAATGTAAGCTTACATGATCAGTAGAATATAATTCAGCAAGCAACAACTTAATGACCTCAATGCTTGCCTCACCTTCAAGCCAATAGGTATCTCACAAACTTGACATTTCTAATATCTAGTAGTTATCTCTTCTGTCTCTGTTTACTCTATACTAAAATAATAGTAAAGGCTTTCACGATACAGTACTGGACCGTTTATTGGTCAGAATCTAAACTGGAAAGTCAAGACTTATCTCACCATAATCAGCAGAAGGAGCCATTTGATGTTGCTGAATATTGCAATAGAGGAATGATGAATAAGGGGTGTCCCTGTACCTAAATGTAAAGATAATGCAAAATGAGCCTGTTATTTTAAGATGGCAAAAGAGCACCTAAGAAAAGAGGTTGAAGACATACATAATACCCTCTCAGCGGAAAGAAAATGATAATACTATTGTGCTTAATTTCCTAAAGAAAGAGTCACTGGATGCTTGGAAAAAAATTCGATTACTACGAGCAAATTTGAATTGTAGAGTACCATTCTCAACTTCAACTAGCTCAGCCGCTGTTGGTGCTCACTTGATTGGTATGGCATAGCATAACATTGGCAATTAGGCTAAAATGCACTTGCTTGTATACTGAATAAGAGTGTCATAGATATATGGAGCAATCTGTTTTATACTCTAGGTGTACACATATTTATTCATTGCTGCAAAAATTATGTACTTATTTTGTTGCAAAGGTAGACCAATACTTAAGTTTACCTACCGAAGAAGATGACAAGGAAGAAAAGTTGGAATCTCAAATCTACCCTACTGATAATTTGGCTCTTGCTACTAGAACCGAAGATGATATCTCCTACTTGGATGTCTATGTGTACGACGACGGTGCTGGAGCTCCAGAAGGTGTTGATGAAGAAGAGGAAGACAAATTCGATGCTGATGTCGCCAAGGGACTCGTCAGGGAATTTAACTTGTACGTCCATCATGACATTATGTGACATAAGTAACTATACACAACAATACAACACCAACGAAGGGTATTGAGCAGTGTTCATACACTTAGTAGTGATAATACGCAAAATCTGTCACTAGTTTTGTGAACTAAAGAGGAGATTCAAATATATTCATAATCTTTTATTGTATAATTGAATCTTCAAATCGAAAAAACATCTAAGTGAAAGCTGAACAATGGAAGCAATCTCTATGCAAAAGTATTCCTTAGGTACGCCTAGCATCAGTTAGTGATTATAGGTGCCTATACGCTATCTTCAGACTTTACTGCATCGTTTTTGACTTATCTGTGAAGATACATTTAGATTGAGTAGCATTATAACTTAACATATCAATATAACTAATTCTCTACAGCTTGTAGCATGAAGAAGGTTTGTGCAACATTATAATAGATTATGCTTCAAAATCCACTAACAGCTGAAGGAAAGTATAAGTAGGTGATTTGGCTATATCAATACCACACCGAGTGAAAGTACTTATGAAAACATAGACTACACCCTTCAAACGAGCAACATTTGAATTTTTTTATCTCAGAACAGAGTAGAGAAATCTTACAAGAATATTTCTTAAGACTCCCAAGGTACATTTTGTAGTCTTTTGATAGCCGTTAAAAAGCGATGGATCTATACATTTCTTCTATGAAGACAACTATTTTTCATTCAAGTTGAAGAATCTTTTGTATTGCATGTTTCTATCTTTTTCAATAAGCTTTCCTTGTGTCCAGATCATCCTTTAGGGATCAACCGCTTTTCACTCCATGGTTAAAGTCAAAATACTTTTAGTTAACGGCATCGGGTCAAATTGAATAAATGTTCCTTTGGCATAAACTATTGATGGAGCTCGTTTATGTGACATTCATTAGAATCTCTAATCAGAGTTGGATCTACCTTATCTCTCTACAAGGACATATCATTGCAGTGCGACGTTGTACTTAGTGACAATTTACATAGATTTTTCTGTCATAATTGATGCGTTCTCTCATTTTGATCTTCTACATTCATTTGTCATTACGAACTGATTACTCTACTTTTGAATTTACCGCATCACCTTTCATAGCCTTAAAAATTGTAGGCTATATCTTTCTTTTTCCTCTCAGTCTGTTGAATATGATAATGTTTTGATCGATTTATTTAAACTATCCACCTGTTAATTCAGTATCAACTATTTCTTTCTAGCACATGTTATTATTCTAATTCTCTCTATGATTGGACATCATTGTGTTTTTGCTACTAGAGAATGTAGGCTTTCTTTACATAAATAACTTCTAGTTTAAAGTCTAATGCTGAACGTGATAAGTATCATCTTTTTTTTTTTCATTTTGTATCTATTTTATTATTCTTCTAGTTTCATTTATAATTGGGACTTTTGTCTTCTAGTTAGTGAAGAATGTGGATATTTTTGGTAGATTATCTGAACAAGTATTAAATTCAAGGTTTATTGATTTCAGTATGATCATTTTCATTTTCTAGTTATTGTGTTATTCTTCTATTTCTTTCTACAATTAAAGTTTTTGTTCTTTGACTACTTGAAAGTTATTATCATTTTCCGTTGTTTGTTACGAAGTAAAATATACTTCCTTTGCCAGAATACACTAAATTAGAATTGAGAAATTTTTGACAAGATTTACAATACTTCAAATGAAATTATTATTTGTGTTCTTTTTTTATAATTACCCCGAAGTATCCTATTCAAGAGTAGAGAACTTTCCAAATTTCCTTTATTTGAGACCATACTGGTTTTCTGTCTCTTCAAATTTAATGAAATGTATACATTTGTAGAATCTAAATGTATATTAACTTTTTGGCTGCAATTTTTTATTTGCAGCCTCTTTAAGTTTGAATATATGCAAGTTTTGGCCAAAGCTTACAGGTTTCTAAGGTAGACCAGCGAAAAATATTTGCATAACACAAAAATTCTACTATTTTCATATCAACTAAGTTACTAAAAGCTTTAGCTGTCTTCCTTGAGGCTTGTCAATATAGTAATGTGGAGTTTAAACGCACACTCATGAATATGCACGTTTTTTTATTGAACTTCGCGAGAGGCTTCTCATCTTTTGAACCATACAACACTTCTGATTAGAAAAATACTTAGTACATGATCTTCTTCTTTAGTCAAACTTTGGTAATGGAGGAGCGTCATGCAAACTATGACGAGTTATTAAATGATTTACTGCCTGAAAATACGTTTGAGGAATATTCATTAAAGTCTACCATGTCTAATGAGGAATTGCCACTCTCTGCTCCTCTGGTCAACCTGACCCTGCAGCGACTGCTCTTACTACTTCTGGAACATATACCAAATGAAAAACATGAGATAGATGTCAATCTTGGCTTCGGAGAGGAAGAGGAAGTTAAAAGAAAGCAAATTTCTCCGTCATCAATCAATACTTTGCCTCCAGAGATACTATTGAAAATATTTAGTTACCTTGATCCTGTCACATTAACTGAAATCTGGAGAGTTTGCAAGAGATGGAAACTACTAGCCCAAACAAAAGAAATATGGTACAAATCATTCAGTAATGAATTTAACACTCAAGAATCTTTCCCTTCTATATCAAATTCTAAGTTGTGGATTTTAGAATATGAAGACAGACTACTCGCAAGAAGAAAGTGGGCCAAATCAAGGCTCACCTCTCAATACTACAAATTTATGAGTGAGCGATTTGTATCAATTCCAAGTCTCAAAGTTGACTTCGAGTCAAAGAAGCTAACCGGATTGTTGGATAACGGGGAATACGGAAGTTGTAATCTCATAAACGGCAAGAGCTATTCTTACATTCCAAATCGACCATTTTTTACACATAAGACGCCGAAGTACAACCTGCAATATTTAGTTCAGATACTTGCCGAAGATGATTCTATTTGGGTCAAGAAGCTACAGGCAGCAAAGTCGTCAGGTTCAAGTATCAAGTCTTCTGTTCGATGCGAAGGAGATTCATTATCTGCACAGAATTGTTTAGATATATGTGATGGTGGTTACAACCAAGACTACTTTGTGTCTGGAGATGTATCTGGGTTTTTAATGTGCTGGAATTTTAAGGGGAAGTTAATCAAGAAGTATAAACTATCGGAATTCCCAATAATTTTCGTCAAGTTTGATTACAGAAATAAATTTATTGCCATTGATTCGAAAAAGAACATATATTATGTTAATCGAGAAGAAGGAAAGGTTCATTCACAGTTTCTGTTGAGCGAAGAATATGAATTCAGTGATCTAGATACTTTAGACAGTAATTTCAGCGATGCTTATGGACTGAGGTGGTGGGTAGAAGTTGACTTCGGTTTTGATAAAGTAATATTTATGCATGGATCAAAGATTATAATTGTTGATTATATTGAATCAAAATTATTTAAATCGTTAGAGTTACAATGCCCTATCCGAGGAGGGGAGATACAAACAACTAGACCCTTAAAGCTAATCAAATATGACAAAACTATTGCAGGTAGTGATGGAATCTTGTACAGCAATTTGCTCTCGGACAATTCAGTACTAGTGTGGAACATAAGAGATGACAGAGCAGGGAAGACTATTATACCTCAGTGCCACTTTAAAACACAGTTTGGTAAGCGTGAAGAAGTTACTAGTATGGCTCTCAATAGCCTGGTGCTCATACTTGGATATAGAAATGGATTCTCAGAAGTACATGATGTGTTTACTGGTGAGCGAATTAGAAATTGTACTAAAGATTTTCCTAAAAATTTTGAACACTACTATCACGGTTGCCCTACCCATAAGATACTATTGAACCCAGATCCATTGATGCCTAATGGTGTTATTATTACGTATGATTTAGTACAATATTTTCAATTTGGGGAATTACCTGATGATAAAGAAAAAAGAAGGAAAGGAAAATTAAATAAATCTATTCATGGACAAAAGTTGAGTAATAGGAACATAAAAATAGAATTAGAAGAATATGATAGACAGGAAGAGGAGAAGAAAGAAGCTCAGAGACTTATCAGCAAATTCAACGGAGACTTTATGAATGAGCCCATTCTTGATGATAATGAAAATGATATATCTCTAGCCCTTGCAGTGAGTCAAAGTGAAAGTGAAAGTTATAAGAATTTGAACGACGAAGAGCAATTAAAATTGGCTTTAGAATTATCCTTGAATGCTACTAATTCAGGCGGAAGTGCAAGTATAGAAGAAATACAGAGTAACGAAGATGTTTTATCCAATGAGTTTTCTCAACAATTAGCTGAAGCATTAAGGTTGTCATTGGAAGACCATCAAAAATAAATTTATCACGAGTTAGATAACTCACGTTCACAACTTGGTGTAAGTATAAAAATTAGGATACAAACTAATTATATGTATTCGATTATTTATAGCCCTTAAATAAAAAAGATTATTTATAGCCTTTATTTTAAATTAGACCTAATCCATGAAAACTATCTTAATTATAGTATGAAGTCTTACTCCTTCATTAACTTTACTACTTGATTATTTATCAAAGTACAAATGTCTTCCTTCTTAGAAGCTTCCAAGTAAGGAAAATCGTAATTTTTATCACATATGGCCTCTTTCATGTTTTGCCATTGGAGTAATTCAAAATCTTGTTCAATTTCCACAACTTTATCAACCCTAGTGATGGATCTCTTATACTTGAATCCACTATACATCCTATATCTGATCACCTTATTTTCTTCATCGTAGAGATCAGGCTTATCCATAAGGTTTACAGGGTCTAACTTGGGGAAGTTACAATGTAAGGTAAAGACAGGAACTGGCCCATTGAAATCTAACTTAATCAATTCTTCAAGATATTGAATATTCTCTTCCAATGAGGTTCCCTTTTGACTTGCGGACTTGTCTAATACTTTTGCTTTGTAAGCATCAAAATCAATTAAGGCATCCTTTTGACCCATTGATACTCCATGAAATTCCTGAACACTGTCAAAATAACCAAAAGTCTGAATGTTAGATTTCACTTGATAGAATGATTGTTTAGCCACATGCGCTGCTGCGGGAAATGTATCTTTATCACCTTCTCCAGGTTCTCCTAGAGAAAGAAGCTTATAGTAAACCTTAGGACCATACATGTTATAATACAACGAAAGTAAAAGCGTTTTCGAATGAGTTGCCTTGTTAATAAGAAGTTGACCAGATTCAGTCGAACCGTCAGGAATTGCACCATCCAAGTCATGGAACGGCACTTGATCTCTTTCTTCATCGGTTTCTAAAATTTGAGGATTTGTAAGAGGCATCTTGTTATATCTAACTCTCTTCAGTCTATCAACTTTGACTCCAGCAATATCATAGAATACCGGTGACGTTACTCTATTCCAGTAGTCTGGCCAGGTGATCATACCGTACTCATTGAACAAAGAGCTGCTGAAGAGAGGCTCAGGAGATTTGATAAGTATATTGTCAGCATCAATTAGGAGAACGTTTTGGAAAGAGGAAACCATCAAAGCTAATGACTTATACTGATAAGTCGCTAACTTTTTGGTCCATTTCAACATTACAGAAGGACCCAAGACATCTGGAATAACTACACAAGCAGCATTATGTTGGGGTAATACTGTAGTACAGAATTCAATTTCTGCTTCATAATCTTTATACCTTGGTATCACGACCTCAATGGGTAGGTTACACCCAGTATCCCTGAGAGCTAAAATAGAAAGGTAAGCTAGCCAAGAATACTTTCCTCCACCAACAAATACGATACCGCTAGTTCCTGATTTATAAGCCACATCTGCCTTCAATTCTGGAAGGTCAGCTAAAACTTTCGAGTGCTTATCCTTGATCTCAGCGATGACTTGAGGGTCAATTTCAGCTTTTGCAAGTAAATGTTTTTCAGTTTTGATCCCATCCTTACTCGAATCAGTATACCTAATAGCACTGGACTCATCTTCCCCAATCTCTGGTTTATTCCCATTCATTACTACAAATACTTCGTGCCAAAATTGATGACTTGGTTTTGATACCTGGGACCCCCCAAAAATGTTTGGTTTAGTAAACACATTAGTACTCTCAGATGAGACCCCTGGATAGAGTTTTTTATGAATTGATGTTTGGTATGCAGTTTGTAAGATAACGATGAATATAACTACACCTAATACAAGTCGTCCTATGGCACGAGACGGCCTCGGAATTGCATTCAAATTCATGTTAGTCTACCTAGATCTCACTCGTTTCACTTTAGATAAAAAAAAAACATCAAGTTATTGTTTTAACTTTTCTTTTGGAAGACGCGCCATCGAAAATAAAATATTTGAGATCTTTGAACGGCGTCCTCAGGAACGCATCTCGAAGATAAGAACAAAAATAAAGGACCAAATTGTATAGAAGACCATCGACTTGATAGTAAACTGATAAAGTAAGAACATAACAAAGAGTTTTAGGATATTCAATACTGTATATTATCTAGGTCAAAAATGCTGTACAATGGAATAGGTCTACAAACCCCTAGAGGCTCAGGAACGTCAGGCTATGTGCAGAGGAACTCTGCTTCCGTAGAGGACGGTAAGTATCAAGATAATGCCAGGGGAAGAATATATAAAACAAGACAATTGCAAATACAGCAAGATGAGATTTCAAAAGCTAACCAGCAGCCGATAGAACAAGATGTGAACATCAAAGAACACAATATGAAACGAGATGTGGAACTTAAATGTATGGAATTGAGAGACCTTCTTGAAGATCAAAATGTCGAAGAAGAGTTGATCGCGAAGAAAGTAGAAGACTTAAGAAATAGGCTTTCGTCTAGCAAGAGGGAGAAGTCACCAATACGGCAAACTGAACGTGGTGATCTGAACTTTAAAGACAAAACGAGTGATAAGATCGAGAAAGAATCCAAACATGATGAAGTTGCAAATAATGAACTGAAATCAGGATTAACGTATAGATCTAGATATAGTGAGAGAGTGTCTAGAAGTTAACTTCTTAATTTTATTATCAAATTGATTGCCTTATCACAGTGAATATGTATTTAGTAAGATTTATAAACAACGTTTATGAGTAGTAAGATGACTCTTCTTATAGCTGGTTCTTGTAGATTTTGACACTACTATGCAAAATTCTCCTCTTTTTGTACGCCATTTGCCCCATTATCCTCCTTAAAGGATTCTACATCTTCTTTCGCCTGAGAGATAAGGGAGTCAAGATCAAATATAGCTGCCTTAGATGCTTCTGGAATAGGGACAGTTTCTGAGCCAGATGGGAGCTCTTGTTTCTGCAGCACTGTAACATCAGAGATTTGATTTGTCTCTTCTGTAATAGCTCTTGCATGCGATGTTTCAACGTTGTGTTCAGATATATCGGTATTCGATGCGTCTTTAGATGCTGGAATCTTACCAGAATCAAACGAGTCCCGCTTGTCTTCTTTAGATAAAGATGCAGTATTATCAATTTCTTCTCTGTTAATAGCTTTTGTCAAAGTTGGATCATTGGTTACATCCCTATCATGACTTGCATCAAGCTCCTGTTTATCTACATCGATAAGTTCAGTGGGTTTGGACTTTAATACGACATCCTCTGCTGTTTCCGGGCTTCCGTTGAGACCTTCAACAGAGCCTGACCTTTCTTCAAAATCTTCTGTTATTTCTTCATCTATGTTATCATCTTCAGTCTTAAGATGTACTGAATTTTTTAAATTAGTTTCCACTACTAAATTTTTAACATGGCTAATTTCCCATAAATTTTCAATAACGATAGAGAATCTCGAACTAGATTCCACGGTAGTGTCAGTAATAGATTTGGGTAATCTTTTTCCTCTAGGTCCCTTTGCCCTACCCTTTCTTACATCAGATGCAGGTGCAATGGTCTTTTCAATATTTTCTGCTTCAGCATCTTCTTCAGCATCTTCTTCTTGTGTTCCTTTCTTCAACAGCGAAAGATCTACCATCCCTGGTAAGGCAATACCTCGGCCGCCCATCATTCCGGTCAAGTTGAGATTATTTCCAAATTTAACCTTATCTGAGGAAAGCTTCGATGGCCTCTTAGGAACAGATGGAGTATCTTTTGAATCAGTTGCCAAAGTATCTACAGAACCAGAAGTGCCCCTTGCCAATGCAGGGGGTTTTTGATTAAACATTTCTTGAAATGCTGCCATTTTTGAAGACAACTTCTTGGGCTTTGGAGGTGGAGCCTTATGAGCAATTGAGATGTTCTCAAGGGGGATTGAAGGGTCTCTTTCCTTCGGTTCAGGTTTCAGAGGTCTTTTTGGTATAGTAGGATTTTGAAGCACTAAATTTGACTTCGATTCTGCTTCATCTTCGACTTTATTGCCTTCTACTTCTAGAGCATCCTCAGGCTCTTCTACAGATTCCTCCTCCTTCTGAAATACTTGAGGTGTAGTATCATCAGGATTTTCTAAATCATCTTTTTCTTGGAGGACTGTTTCAACATCGTCATTGAAACTTGAAGAATCGCTGACTGGTCTGTCTTCTTCAAATGACTTAAAAGTAGTCTTTGTATCAGTATTTCCTGGGGTTTTATCGCCATCTGCCTCGGTTTCATTCTCGGAGGTTTTTTCAACTTCAGAATTGAGTTTAGACTCGATTTCAACAGAAGAGGATGTAGGTAATTCGTCAGTAAGAGGATTTTCTTCTAACACCTTTGAAATAGGAATTGAGGTAGATGATGTTGACCTACTTGTGGATGATGGTTTAATGGGCACATTTTCTTCATTCTCGCCTCTTTCGAGTGTGGATCCAGTGCGAGAGGGAATGGAGGGGGTCAGAGACTTATCTGTAGTATCATCAAAAGCACCATCGTCCACGGTATCTTTCGTATCACTAGCTTCTTCCAGAGTTGATCTAATGGGTCTGCGTGATGGAATAGAGGGAATCAGAGACTTGTCTGTCGTATCATCAGAAGCACCATTTTCCACGATATCTTTCGTATCACTAGCTTCTTCCAGAGTTGATCTAACGGGTCTGCGTGATGGAATAGAGGGAATCAGAGACTTGTCTGTCGTATCATCAGAAGCACCATTTTCCACGATATCTT